GGGGTTATAGAAAGTTAGAAAGTAAGGTTATCAGTGTTAACCGACATAGAAAGTAAGACTTTCTACGTCGGTTTCCTGACTAACCGACGTAGAAAGTCTTATTTTCTATGACCCCTGTATATATGTCGCCGCTTTAACCGAGGTAAAAAACTCATTTTAACCGACGTAAAAAGTCTTTTGTGCAGTAGTGATATCATTTTATTTGTTGCTAATATTATTATTATTATATTTTATATTCATCTACCACTATAATAAAATAATTCCCATGATATTAATTAGAATACCACTTGTATATAGACTGTTCTACATCGGTTAAAATATATTTGATGTGCAATTTTAGTAGCAAAATTGATAACATTGTTTGCGTCCTTTATTATTGTTGTCGTGTAAATGTTGTTGGGTGTTAAGATTTCTTTTTTAATGTTTAATATGTTATTTTACAAAAAAATATGATGTCATGTGAATGCAATACTAACCAAGGTAATCAAAAGGGGGAAGCAAATAAGGATATATTACTACTTGTTTTGAACCATGAAAAAAACGATCCAAAATAAAGAAAACTAAAGTTTGAAATATATACATTTAAGTTTAGAAGAAACATTACGTTAATTCATCTTTAAAAAGGCTAACATATACATCTTACATTCTTATAAATACAAAAAATGTTGGTATACACTACTAAAATTTCAGTGAACTTAAAGCAGTTTCTTCTCACCATATGTCTGTCATCAAAGAGAAATCATGTTCATGCAACTCAAAAGCTCAGCCAACGAAACATGTACTTTATTCAATATCTTACCGGAAGTAGATAAAATCAAAATCTAACAATTCAGACACAACAAAATGCTTAATACGAAAAGATAAATTTAAACTCAAATATGTAAATTAAGGATGTCTCAGAGTTTAAAAAGAAATATTCTAGGTATATAATTTTGTAATAATTTAAGTGTGGCAATAATATAATATTAGTGAATTGAATTATGTATATGTTTGTTAGTAAGACATGAAAGATGACCGACCTTTAGAAATTGCTCAAACCTACGACCATCAACAGACAACACGATTGATAATTGAGCAAATGCACATGCATCACCATTTTATAAATGGAAAAATTCTGCAATTGCATTTTTTAATTTTAGATTGATTGATGCATTATTATTATTACTATATTAATATTTTAATGAGTGTATTATATAGAGTAATTATTTAAATATATAAATTATATTTTATATTTACAATAAACAAGGTTAATTGGAATGTAAACTTATTTTTATCTGTTAATAATATATTTAAAAATAATTAAAATTTAGTTCATGGATAAAGATTAAAAAATATTGAAAAGATGATTAAATATTTTGTGAAGCAGACTAGTTAAGAAGGTAGATCTCAACACTGGTTTTTAAAAAATTTACATAAGATTGTACAAACAATGAAGAGAGAATAGCTTCAAACAGCACTAATATGTCCCTAATAATGTAAAATAAGAATTAGTGGGTGAAATTGATAACATCCCATTAGAGAAAACTGGCTTATAAATAAAAGTTTCACTAAACTCTTTTTTCTTTTTCTGAATTTTTAGTTTCCATTCACTAATCCTTGCAAAAAAAAAAATTCATTGAAAATCATCCACCTTCAGATATAAAATCACATGGAAGGGCTAATAATTTATTTGGTTTTAATTTAATTCCCCAATAAAGAATGAAAATAGAAAACAGAGATTACGTTGGATAACTCGTAGTCTTGGCCTTCTCCAGTAAGCTATTAATTATAGGAGCAAATGCATAATGATGGCACGTGAAACGGTGCTTTTGGGAATGGAGCATAAAATACCATTATTTTCATGCAACTCATAATGTGAAGAACTAAAATAAAAGAGACACTAATTCAATGGGTCAAGTTTTAATAACTTTAATTTGGTTAATAAGGGAAAATTAAGGTGAGATTTAAATTAAGATTGAAGAATCTTATTCTAAGCCTTCATATTTATCTGTTTTGATGTAACATCCGGTCAATGTAGTGTATATAATAAGGTTAATATGGACCTGCATTGAGCTGGCAAAGAAAGTTGAGCACTCATTTAAAAATGTTTTTTCAGTTTAGATTGTCATGTCCCAAGTTGAAGCCTTCCCAAATCTACCCTTTATATCATGCACACTTTTATTATCATATCAGGTTAAAATAATTAATATATATTTAGTATTTATCTTATCTTTTAAATTTAGTTCATTTTTCAAAAAATATTTAAAAATGAATACAAGTAATTTTTCATTTAAAATTTAATCACACATTTAACTTTTTTAGAGATTAATTATCATCTTCATAATTTATATTCTCATAATATATTATTAAAATAAATTATTAAATTAACAATACAAATAACAATAAATAACTCCTCGTACTTATTTTAAAACAATTTCTTATTTTTAATTTAATAATTTAAAATGATAACTCATTTTAATCATTAAATTTTTAAAAAAATAAATTTTTCTAAATTAAATAATCTCTTCATATATATATATATATATATATATATATTTTTTTTTTTTTCCAGTGCGAATCTTCTTGGGAGTTGATGATGATCGTGACCCCATAAAATTTTGTAACTCCTATCTAATTTATGATTTTGTTTCCCAAAACTTAATGAAAATTTAATATATTTACTTGTATATTTACAATTTTATCCTCTCAGCTCCTCCTCAATTTTGTAACTCTCGTATAATTTATAATTTTGTCTCCCTTAAATTTAATTATCATTTAATATATTTAAGTATATATCTATAATTTTATCCTTTCACCTTTTTATTTTTTTATTCTTTTTATATTTATTTATTATTTATTAATAATATATTATTTGATCAAGATGAATAAGATGCATCACTCTCTCTCTCTCTATATATATATATTATATTATATTATAGCATAAGTGCTGAGTTTATGTGAAAAATAAAGTTGTCTCTTAAAAATGTTAAATTTAATTCTGTACCATTTTCTAACAGAAACTTTTTGTAAAATTGTTATTTTGACATATTTTTCTTTTTACAAATGTACGAAGGTTGCATAAAAAGTTGATATTTAAATAAATTGTCACTCTAAATATTTTTAGAAAATAAAATAATAAAAAATAAATTAATAATTTTATAATTATCATTAAAAATATATACTTATATAAATTATATTTTCTGGTGGAATTTAAAATACTTGTATATATAATTTAAAATAGATATATACGTAAATTAATTTTAAATTATACAATTATTTGTTTTATTTTTGTATATTTTCTCTTCTAAAAATACTAGCCAAAAATTTATTCAAACATTAATTTTATGTATAACCTTTGTACATAAGTAACAGAACAAAAATATCTACCAATATTACCTTCACGGAAATTTTTTGGTTAAAAAATTATAAAGAATCAAAAGTTATATATTTTTTTAGTGTCAAAATTTTTCATATATTTAAATAAAAATAGTTATAAGAATAAACTAATTGATTTAATAAATATTTAATTAATTACTGGAGGGATGAAAGTACGTAGTTTGTAAAGTATTTAAATCTGTTATTCCATGTTTGTATATTTTTATTTTTTTATTTTAGTGTTTCTAGTGATACAGCTCAACTCATTGATTTCATTATTTTAATTCTTATAAAATTATGGATTTTTTAAATATAAATTCATCCTATTATATTGAAGAAAAAATTGATATTTATAACATAAAAAAAATCATTTAACAAAAATATAAGAATAAAAAAACAATTTGGTGAAGACAAATACCCAAAATCATGCATGTTTAACATAGTGATGTTTCGATGCCAGAAACAATAAATAATTAAATCCAATTGTTTGTCTTTTCTTCCGCCACGCAAAGAAAAATAAAGGTGGTGTCAGCATTTCAGCTAGCTACAGACTATCCAGTCTGGCATCCCTCATTTATTTATTCTTTTCCACATTTATTTATTTATTTTCCTTCTTTTTACACGTTCTAATACTAATAGAAATTCTAATACAACATTTATGACAAATTAATTAAAACACGTAATGTTATCCATATTTAACTTTTAATTTTAACCAACTTGAGTAGGTACAAAAAGAATCGGTTAACAAATAAAGGAGAAAACTTATACGTAATTTGGCTTAAGTTTTTTTTTTTTTTTTTTTTTTTTTATGTTGTTATTCAATCATAATCATAATTGGAGTTTTACTTCAACAACATACAAAATAAAAGTTTACCTTAAAGATAATATAGATTGTCAAATGAAATAGATATTTTGTTACAGATCTGCATAAAAAATGCATGTAAGGTTATAGGCGAATCAATTCCAAATCCGTGTTCCAAGGGGTTTCGATTCACATTGTTCTAATAAAAAGTCAATGTCACGCCAATAATTCAAAAAAATTAGCATTGCATGGTATGGTGTTTCCAAGAAGGTGAGTGTGGAAGTGAAAAAAAGTAGAGTTAACAAAGGTGTGGGTCGGAGTTAAATGGTAAAGAAGCAACTATAAAAGGGGATGCAGTAGCTACCTTCTGAGCATAACCAAAACCCAGTTTAGAGCATAATGGGGTCCCTAATGGCCTCTGCTTCCATCACTCTTGCATTTGCCATAATCCTTTTCACCCTCCCATCTGAAATCTCAGCCAACCACTACTCCTACTCCTCTCCCCCACCTCCTAAGAACCCTTACCACTACTCTTCTCCACCTCCACCAGTTCACTCACCACCACCTCCCTACCACTATCCATCTCCACCACCACCACCAAAGAACCCCTACAAGTACTCATCACCACCCCCTCCAGTCCACACATACCCTCATCCCCACCCCCACCCTCACCCTCACCCTCACCCTCACCCACACCCTCACCCTCACCCCTACCCTCACCCACACCCAACCTACCACTCTCCACCACCCCCAACACCAAAGAAGCCATACAAGTACCCATCTCCCCCACCACCAGTGTACAAGCCTTACCCACACCCAGCCTACCACTCTCCTCCACCCCCTCCTAAGAAGCCATACAAATACCCTTCCCCTCCACCACCAGTGCACAAGCCGTACCCTCAACCCCACCCAGTGTACCACTCCCCTCCTCCTCCAGTTCACACCTACCCTCCCCATGTTCCCACTCCAGTTTACCACTCTCCACCACCACCTTACAAGAAGCCTTATAAGTACCACTCTCCTCCTCCTCCAGTTTACTCCCCACCTCCACCCCACTACTACTACAAATCACCCCCTCCTCCTCCTTACCACCACTAGATAGCACTCTTGCATCACACCACATGGTAATAAAATCCTTCATACATCACTAAAAATATAACCCACTTCCCTTCTCTTTTTGATTGTTGAGTAATCTTTAAGTTGAAACGAAGATTTATGTTATGAAACATTCTTTTCCTATTGGATGTGTGAACATTTTTTCTTGTCGTATTTTATTAAGGGTGACGTAGACTGACAGACTGTATACGTGTTTGTGTAGGATCTATACAGAAAGTGTGAAGTGGAAGCCATGGACGAGACTCTGCAGATCCACAAAGAAGCATAAATGTTTATGAATTGTTTAGAGAATTGTGTTTAGTTCAATTGTTATTCTGCCTTTGTTCTATTAGGCAGTTGTAAGGCACTGTATTTTACATGTGTCTGCACTTGTCTGCATGCATTGTAATTTTCAAAGTCTGCTTTATCAAGCTGACAATTCAAATAAATTATTCCTACTCTCTTGTGGGAATATATTTCTCCTGTATCTCACCCTTTTTATAGTCACATATAAATTGAAAAAGAAATATTAGTTCTAATACAATACTTGAATAAATTTTATTTTAACTTTTTTATCTATAATATATCTACAGATATCTAAATTATTTAAAGATTAAAACATATAAAATAGGAAAAAATATGTCTTATAAATACTGCTCAATACTTTATTATACGTATAACTATTAATCATTTGATTTCCGAAGCATAATTTGAGAGAAAAATCTAAACTTAATACAAACATAAAACATTACGTGACATATGCTAACACTTTTTTGGGAAAGCGGATGGTGAAGAAAAATGCTTATTTTTTCTTCTTCTTTCAATAAAGTATCTCATGTTTTCATCCTATATATATATCCCGTGATTTCCGTCAAGTGTAATACTAGTTTATATACCTACCTATAATAGGTTTTATTATCATATTCAAATTAGATACATAATATGAATTTTTGAAATGAAGTTTATAATTAATTATATATTATAAATTGACAATATTTCTAATATTTTACACATTAATTATAAGTTAAACCTGATTAAGTTAGTTTAAATTTATGAATGAATTTTAATAAATAAAAATAAGATTTATAAAATGTTAATAGTTTTTAAAAAGTGTTTTTATACCATGTAAAAAAAAGTCTTGCATAAGACCAATTTCCCCATTAATTGAAATCCTTTTCCCCACATCACCAGCAAACTTCTCTGTTTGCGTGCGTTTTGACCCAATCTGTCAAAGTTTTCACTCCAGAGTTTTATTCCCAGCCAAATACATTTTCTGCATTAAATTTACATAGCCAAGTCTCACGCCTCACGCCTCACACCTACAAGTAGGGATTGCAAAACGGGCCAGCCCGCCCGTTTGGCGGGCTGGCCCGATATAGTCATGACGGGTTGTAGATCTTGACCCGCTTCTGCTAGAGGCGGGTTAGTAGTGGCCACGTCATAATTTAGAAAAAAATATTTTTTTTAAATAAATTTTTTTAATAAATTTAATAATAAGATTATTATTTGTTTGTCAATAATTTAATATATATATATATTATTTCAATTTAATAATATAAATCAATACATTATTTTAAGAAATTATAATTTAGAACAATAATAAAATTTACATAATAATAAATAATAACAAATATATATATATATATATATATAAATAACGTTAAACTTATAAAATTTATATTTTTTATATTGAAAAATTCAAATACCTATATCTTTTTTATTTGATAAAACTTCATATTATTCTTGGTTGAGTAATTCTTACACCTTTAATTCAAGTAATAAGGATAAAAATAATTAGTGCTTAGGATAAACAAGGAGAACAGGAGAGAAGGTTATATTTCAGGAAGGAGAATATTTTATGTGAGAATGAAACTTTTTTAATTCTCTTTTTAAAATTTTTAACTTTATATATTATCTTTATAATTAATTTTATTATAATAAAAAATTATTTTTTTATTAATTAGGCGGGTCGCGGGCTGGCCCGTCCCGTCCCGCGGGTTAGCCCGACGGGTTGGCGGGGCGGACCAAAGCGAGCTGGTGGGCTGAAAACACCAACCCGCCCCACCATATTTTGGCAGGCGCGTGGCGGCCGCGTCGGTCCTGACCCGTTTTGCCATCCCTACCTGCAAGTATATACCAAACTCTTCCAAAGGCATATTAACAAGATCAATGCATATATCATGATTTCCTTATATTATGATAGTTTATCAAGTTGTTTATCAACTTTTATTATGATCTTATAAATGAGTTTAAAAATTATCAAAATTGTTTATATAAATACATTTTTTCTAATTTTAAATAAATTTTTCTAATTTAAAATTATTCATATATAATATCTATAATAAAACATTTATTTTTATTTTTAAACAATTATTATTAGAGAGATATTTTGAAGAGATAAAATGATAAACATTAGTTGATCCCTAAAACTTTACTAAAAGAGAAAAATATCTATTTTAATGAATTTTATGAATAAAGCTTTATTTCTAAAACAATTATATAAACTAAAACAAGATTATATTTTATTTGTATAAATTAAAATTAATGTAATGTACATTTAAAAAAAAATCAAAAGAATTTATCACCTTATATTAGTACGACAGTTATTTCGTTCTAAATTAGAATTTTCCTGAAAATTATTTCACCTTAAAAATTTTTAATTTATAAGTGCAATAAAAAATTCCTTTTCTTCAACCTTCTTACAAAACTACGTCTAAGTTTCGTTGATCATTAACATATTGCCAAAAAGGTGTTCACATGTACACGTGTCACGTTGCATGTTGAGTCTCACCATGGCATGATGCCACCTTTCCAAGTACTTTTAATTTACACTCATACCCCTATCCTACACCGCCATGTACTCTTGAACCGCACCCTTCCAAGGCTAGAACAGTAGTTACAACATTTACGGAAGAAACCCGTTAAAAGCGCAGAAGAAGAAAAGCGAAATTAGTAGCTGGCGGAGGTAGCTATCTAGCACGTCCAAACATGGTGGCAAAGCGAGGCCATGCCCTCTCGTGCTTTGCACGTGTTTCACTCTTCCTCTTCGCTCTAACCCTATCCTCTGCTAGCGAAACTACGGTTCAAGACATAGCCAGAAAGTTGAAGCTCGGGGACAACCACCTTCTGCGAACGGAGAAGAAGTTCAAGGTCTTCATGGAGAATTTCGGGAGGAGATACTCCTCCAGGGAAGATTATTTACAGCGTTTGGAGATTTTCGCCGGAAACATGCTGAAAGCGGCGGAGAATCAGGCGCTCGACCCCACCGCCATCCATGGCGTCACGCAGTTCTCCGATCTCACCGAGGACGAGTTTCAGCGGCTCTACACCGGCGTCAATGGCGGCTTCCCGTGGAATAATGGCGCCGCCGGTGTCGCGCCGCCGCTGGAGTTGGATGGACTGCCGGAGGATTTCGATTGGAGAGAGAAAGGGGCGGTCACGGAAGTTAAGATGCAGGTATATTATATATGTGTTATATGTTTAGGGTTTAATCTCAATGCAAAAACATTACATTTTAACCAACTACAATTCATGGTTATTATGAATTTTTGAAGTAGTATAATTTTTTAACACTATTAATTAACTAATTATTAGAATTCATGGTTGTTACTATTTGATATTACTATTTATAGATTTTTAATTTTATTATTAGCTAACTGGTTCCAGCTATGAATAAATAGTAACAATGTCACTGTTAAAAAAATTACATTGATAATAAAAGTATATGGAAAGAAAATCAGTTTCCCAATATTTTTTTTGCAGGGCCTTACCTTAAAACACGTTTTAGGGCTATAAGAATATATTGGGCCCGAAGATCCTTATCTTAATAGTATATGATCATTATTTGTGATCAGAGTTGTATATACTATTTTTCTCTTTTTAAGTAAAAGTATTTTTTAGAATGTAATCCCACTTCATAATTTCGTGTTAGTTATTTTAGTTTTTTTTTATTAAGTGCAGATGCTGATATATTAAATTGTATTTTTTCAATATTTAATTTTCTGACGTAATACCAACTTTTTTATTTTGTATATAACTTTTGACTAATTAAAAAACAAGTAAAAGCACTTCAAAAACAAGTAAAACCACACCTTAAATTCTGTGTGGTTTTAATCAATTGGTCTTTAAAGCGTTTATATGTATTGATGTCAGTTGGGCAGTATCAATTTTTCTACTGTTTGTCTTGCACCTAATAAATAAGAGAAGGAGGAGATTCGAAAAGAAAAAATTAAAACGAAGGTATATAAAAAATAATAAAATTATAAAATAAAAAAGTCACAGAAGAATGAAAAAAAAAAAAAAAACTATTTTCCTTAGCTAATTAAAGATGGGAAGACTTAATAATCTGTTTTACGAATATTTAATTTTTTGAAGTGGTTTGCATACTTTGTGCATAAATCTGGAAACAGGGTAAATGTGGATCATGCTGGGCTTTCAGCACCACAGGGTCTATAGAAGGAGCCAATTTTATTGCCACCGGAAAGCTCCTCAATCTCAGTGAACAACAGCTCGTAGACTGTGACAACCAGGTACTATATAGTCAAAGGATTGTTCGATGCATATTTGAACTGAGATATTTCTTTACATAAATCATTTTTGTCATTCCTATTCAAATAAATTTTGCCCCTGCTGATAACTTCTTGTTCTATTTCTTTTTCAAAGTGTGACATAACAGGAACGAAAACATGTGACAATGGCTGCAATGGAGGTCTTATGACAAATGCCTACAATTATTTGCTGCAGTCTGGTGGGTTGGAGGAGGAGTCTTCATACCCCTACACGGGAGAGAAAGGTGAATGCAAGTTTGATCCAGGGAAAGTAGCAGTTAGGATCACAAATTTCACCAACATCCCTATGGATGAGAACCAAATTGCCGCATATTTAGTCAAACACGGTCCACTTGCTAGTAAGTCCCCTCGATAAAACAATACTTAATGTTTAGTGTTTTAGTAATATCTGTATGTCTTATCATTCATGAACTTTCAATATGCAGTTGGTCTGAACTCAATTTTCATGCAAACATACATTGGTGGTGTCTCGTGCCCTCTCATATGCAGCAAGAAATGGCTCAACCATGGTGTGTTGCTTGTGGGATATAGAGCGAAAGGTTTCTCAATCCTGAGGCTTGGCAACAAACCATACTGGATCATCAAGAATTCGTGGGGGAAGAGATGGGGAATAGATGGGTATTACAAGCTCTGTCGGGGGCATGGCATGTGTGGAATGAACACAATGGTTTCTGCTGCAATGGTGACGACCCAAACACAAACAAAAACATCTACACAGAATTATGCTTCCTATTAGCTACCTCCTTCTGCTACGCACTCAAGCAAATCCAATACTTTTTCATACACAATGTGATATATTTTGCATATGTCACATTGTTGTTAATATAAGTTGGTATAATATTTTGGTACAATATAAGTCCTGTGACCTCTTTCTATAATAAAATCTTTCCAGGTTGCAAATTGAGTGTATGATGTTTATATTAAGAGTTAAAATAGTTTCCGTTGCCGGGACTTGAACCCGGGTCTCTCGGGTGAGAGCCGAGTATCCTAACCAACTAGACTACAACGGATTATTGATTGATTGGAATGTTATGCTTAAAATATATCTTTTTTATAAACAATTCTTCAAGTCTCAAACTCAAATTTTCAGTTCTATCAGTTCTTTCATTCGTAATAGAAAAAAAATAATACACCCAATAACTAATTAAATTTCGAAATATATTTTTCACACCCACAAATGTTCAACCATATCCATCTAGTAACAAATTACTTCCCCCTAATAAACAATACTAATTAAAAGATCGAACTTACTTTCACGTAATAGTTTCAGAGACAAATATATCAAAATGCGTTTTACTAAACTTTGAAATAAAAAAAAAAACGCAAAAAACGGAAGAAACAAAGAAGAAAAAAAGCTAAAAGCTAAAAGGAAAAATGAAAAATAAGATAATGAATATGAAGAAGAGGTGTAAAGGAATAATAATAATAAAAATCTATTTAAACATAAATAATTAAGTAGTAATTAATTATAAAATCTACTGCTTTAAAAGATTACATAATGGAGATGTGCACATTAATACAGCTATGATACTACTTTATAATTTTTTCTTATTCACATGAGCAACGGATCCGTTGTAGTCTAGTTGGTTAGGATACTCGGCTCTCACCCGAGAGACCCGGGTTCAAGTCCCGGCAACGGAAATTATTTTCTTTTGACATATTTTTCCTTTTCAAATCTCATGAGTTAGGGAAAAAGTCTTCATTGTAATTAATATATCGTGATTTTCAACTTCATTATTTAATGCAACTTAATTTCAATTATCAAAAAGTGTATTATATTGTCACTTTTTTAAACGTGTGACTTGAATGTTGTCATATTTTGGTGAAAGTATATGCATTTTAATTTAAAATATACCACCTATGTTTTTGTTATTAGAGTATATTTTTAATTTTTCTAAAAAATTACTTTTAAATAAATATATTATTTTAACGTGACTATCGTCTAAACAATTTTTATAATAATTCGTTTTAGAGATGTATTTAAGTTTTTCTTATCCAATAAATATGAACGGTTTTATCGTACATACTATTTATTATCTTTTCTTTCTCTAAACACTTAAAAGTAATATATTTTTATATTTTAAATGTATTATTTGTCTTCAGATTTTTTTTTCCAATATAACATTGTCTACTCATTTCACATATCATGTTAAAATTTATTAAAAAAATATTTTATTATTAATTGTTATACATTCTTTTAGAATATATTAAATATATACTTTAATTTATAATTTTTTATAATCATGTTATCATCTAAAATTAACATACATAAAAAGTTAACTAATTTTCTTTAGGATATTATTGTTTGTGGAGAAAAAAAGTAAGAAAATAATAGTTATGTAATTAGATAGTAAAAACAGCGATAAAAAATATATATTATTTTTTACTCTGACCTATTTTATTCTTTATTCATTTACGATAGAAAATAGTAAAAACATACACCGAATTTAAACATTTTATTAAACACATACACCAAATTTAAAAATTTAAATTAATATAATTATCATTTTGAATATATTTATTTTTAGTAAAAACATAACGTGAGGTAACGTGTGTGGCTCCTCCGAGCTTAGTTGCCTCATTATTTATGACCTCAAATGACTAAAAGCCTCTCAAACGTCTTTTTAATTCTTCTTCACCTTGTTGTCATTAGTGGTTGGTGGGGGGGTATAATAGTCATATATTGGTATTACACGTGTATAAACAACAACAATTTATCCACACTCTAGCAAATGAAAACAAAAGTTATGGAAAAAGGATAATTCTAATTATTTATAATATTTTCTTAATAAGGAGAGAAATTAAAAAAAGAGTAAAACCATGCAATAAAATATTTGTGTTGACTTAATATCCAATATTACTAAAATTAACAGAGTAATGTAATACAGTCAGTGCATGGATAGAATGTCAGGGTGAAAAGTATGATAAAACAAACGTGTAAAAAAAAAATCAACTATTTAAAAATTTATCAAAAAAAATATAAAAATAAAAAATGGTGGCAAGTCGCCACAGAAACGTGTCCACAGGCAGCCATTGAAAACGCAGAGAGTAGAGAAAATGCAAGTTCTTCTGTTAATTGTTGCAGCTGAATGCTTGTAAAGTCACGTATCTAAATCGTACCTTGAAATTCTTAGCTTCTGTTTGTATTCAGTCTCTTTGCTCAGCCACCACCACCTACCGTCAGACGAAGCACCATAAGGGTATTGCCCTGTTTCTTTTTTAGTCAATACATCATATATAAATTCGCAATTTTTTTTTTTTGTTTCATGTTTCATTTGGTGTTTCTTTGATTCAGATCTGGTGTAGTTATTTCTTTTGTTGAATGCATTCCTCAATGAGGGACAATGTTCATTGGTTTTTGTCTTCTACCTGGAATTATTGGGATCTCTTAATTTTTTTGTTATTTGCTTTGGATTTTGTGTCCTTTGCGTGCATGCTTGCCAGTCTTTGTTGCTTTCTTGACGATGCTGGGCTGTATTAATTGTACATTTGAAACCGACACAAGTCTTGAGCTGTATACGGTGATATCGGGAAAATTGATTTGCCGGGTATTATCCAAATACGGTCTTTGATTTGTCTGAATTTCTCTTTCCTTTGAATTTCTCTTCCCCTTTCATTTATGTAAGAGAATTGTTGGGTGCTTCAAGTGAGCAAGATTTGGGGTCTAGAAGTAGCATATATGTATTCTTTACCCACTGTGTGTTATTGCAGATCAGGAAGTGGAATGAATTGATGGATAAAAGTTTCATTTGATGATATTGTATTTGATGCGAACTTATGGCTACCTAAGTCCCACGTCTAGTAGCATGGGATGCACGGTGGAGTATTTAAATGCTTGTTTTCATCCCTTACGAACTAGCTTTTGAAGATGAGTTCTCCAAGCGCTGCGGTGCTTTTCAGTATTGAAGTGATATATGATAGGCTTTTACATAAATCAGGATTTCTCCATTGAAAAGTTCTAAGAGTAAATCAATGCCATTTTTTTGGAATCCTGTGTTAGCTTGTGCATAACTTCTAATTGAATAGCCATAGATTTACTAAAAAAAGTTTACTTTTTTCATTATAGACCATTACTATGTGTGTGTTTCTGTTGTATATGTATATACGTGTATAACATATCAAACAGAGGTTTTGTCACCTAAAGATCCATTTATTTGGTTACCTTGATAATACTCCAAATTATCATAATCCTCAGGCTATTGATACCATCTTACAGAAGAGATATAATGTGGAATAATCAAAGAAAATGAGGTTTGGAGGAACATAAGTTTTATGTGTTGGTCAATGCATGAAGTAAAGGACTGTTGAAAGAAGATATTTATGAATGTTGTTGTAAATAATTTGTGAAATTTACGCTTGATTGTTTTTATCCGTTTAGACTTTACCTTGTTGATTTTGTTTCTTTTGCCAGTTTTATTAGTGTTGCACTAAAAACATAAATTACACTTTGCCAATATTTTTCCTTTTGAAGTAGTTTCGTAATAATGCAGCAAGAATGACAGATGAGCACCAGTTCATTTCAAACCCTGTGACATGCAAGTTGCAATAACCGTAAGGAAGCTTGGAGGTACTTCTAATCTTTAGAAGGAAACAAGTACTAATATTTACTGTATAATTATTGCGGGAAATAGTCATTTAATTTGGATATGATGGAGTTCTGTGCTGAAAGTTCCCATTCAAATGGGAAACAAACTTTGAAGCATTCTAAACCTGCAGATGAAGTGAAAAGATCCAGTGAAAAGGCTCACAGAAGTTCTTATTTAACCGGAAAGCAAAATGTGCAGCAAACTTCGACCTTTGTTAATCATGGTGAGCTTGTGATTGTAATTTTCAAAGTCTAGTAATTAAATGGTCATTTTCCTTTAGCATTATTTGTTCATCTATTCTGCTGTAGTTTACCATTTGAAAAACAATAACCTATCCTGATATCCCCTATAGCTTGTTGGTAGCTATTTTATTCATGCTAGTTACAAGGATGGTATATAATAATTTTGTTCATCTGCTGTGATAACGTAAGTTGAGGATTTGGAAGGAAATTGATCTATGAAATATCTTTTGGATCTACATATTTGAGAACTCCAAATTTGTATCAGAGAAAACAAGCTTCAAATTCCTTTGTCACTGAAAAAGAATTAAAGAAACAAAGAATGAAATAGTACTAGCTTCATCATAATTTTTCTGTTTTTTATTTATTTATTTAATTCTTCTAACCTTTATTAAATAGATTTTTCTATTTTCTGTTCATATTTTAATTTTTCTGCTGTTATTTAAAACTTAATATGGATGGATATAAATCTGCAGCTGCAAATTCTTGGCACGAGGATAGAAGAAAATGGGTCGGTGATAAGTCTCAACATCCACCTAGAATAGCTAAAGATCCAATTATTAGGTACAACCAAAGCCAACTTCCTTTTTTTTCATTCAGAGTAGGATCAATCATTGTTATTTATAGTAGTTACAATGAAACGTTTGGAAGGTGTTTTATCTTTTTTTATGAGGAAAAACAAAAAATGAGATTATGGTTTAGAAGGGGTTTTTTCATACATATTTTTCTAGTTTCTTATAGGTATTTAGTCTTACAGAGGCAGAACTAAAGCTTCTTCATTGATGTGTAAGAAGTTGGAATTCACTGTTCTCTTGATTTTCATCTTTTATACCCGTTCCATGCTGAATCCTATTCCTCACCTAATAAACCATCCGGGCCAATTAATTAGAATCACCTGTGCTATTTCTGGCATCAAAAGAGCTCATCCAAGTCGATCCCCCTTTTCTGGTCTTAGACTTTAATAATTCATTTACATATTTACTATAAATTAACAATAAATGTCACGTGCTCATAAATTTTTAAATATCTATTCCACATATGTAATAATTATTAAATTACTGAAGTGACTGTAAACTTCAAAATGGATTGAAGTTGACTGATATCAGAATCACCCATTATTTGAATGTAATAACTAGTTGTTACTAATTCTGAAAGAATCAATATCCATGACTCAGTTTCTAAGAATAAAAAAATCATTAAGATGATTTTTTTTTTATAGGACAAAAATCCCTAACAAGTTTTTGTTTTTTTTGGTGGATTCAAAAATCCCTAACATGTATTGAAGAGAATTTTTATATGAGAAGTATATATTTGTTCACAAATAAAGAATAAGAAAAGAATGTGTATGCCTTCAAATTCAATAAGCTCAGATTGCATGTGGATTCTCAGGTTACAATTTTAATTTTTTCGTGGTCCCCTTTGAGCAATCTGATCCACCGGTATTTAAGTCTGGTGCAACTTGGCAAATAAAGCCACATTCTTGGTACAACCCAAGTAAAATCGGACTAGGATTGAAAACTTAGTACATGTGTTTGGAGTCCCACATTGAATAAGATGAACTAGTTGATGTGATATTTAAAGTCTTGAGATTCTTCTACATAACTGGCTAGTCATTTGGGTTTAGCTCTACACTTGTGTTGAAGATCTAATGATTTTGAACATTTTTATTTCAGCTGGTCAACGTCATATGAAGAGCTGCTTTCAACTAACGAGCCTTTTGCAGAGCCAATACCCTTACCTGTAAGATTCCCTTACCTGAAACAATATAATCTAATGCATAAAAATGTATGTATTCAATGGATCTCATAAGGTAAAAGTTTATTTATTATATGTTAATCTTGAAGCATGAACTATAGTTTTAACAAGTTAACCCTTTCTTGCACATTAGTGTTTTGATTGTTGCGTAACAAAGTACACAAATTCTTAAAGTATCTCTAATGCAGAGGTCTTAACCAGAATCTTAAAGTTAAGATCGAGGCCTTCATTGGAGCATGCTGATATGACATGGTGAAGATCTTAAGACGCGAGTCTTAAGAATAAAAATATATTTAATTATACAATTAAATCATTTTTTATGTTATAAAAAGTTGAAATGCAAACAAAAGATTATATAAGTGCGTAAGTCACAGTTGAATTAAATTTGCAGTAGGATCTTAAAAATGATGTGGCATGGTAGAATCCACATAAAATAAATTCGTTTGGTAGCTTTACCTGCTATTATTACATTTTGAAGGAATCTTATCCTTGCTGTCTTTCAGAGAAAATTCCAGCATAACTGCATTTTATAGTTATTCATTTGAAGCTAAAATACTTCCAGTATAACATTTCTTACGTGTACTGAAACAAATTTGATGGATTGGTGGTGGCTCATGCAGGAGATGGTAGCTTAGTCGATATTTGGCATGATGATGAAGGTTTCTTTGACTAGAGTGCTGGAAGTTTTAGTTAAATGTCGAATGAAACAAGAATTGTGTAAAGCCTTTTAACATGCAATGACTTCCACTGCTCTTGTAGGTGTCCGCGCACTGATCATGATGGTAGAGAAAGAACATCTATGCTCTCCACATTAACTCAGCATCAAATCCTTTTTAAATGCACAAATGGTTAATGCTTATTTTTTACACCATTTATCTAATGACAAATTTCATTATATATTATATACACACACCCCACCAAAAGAAAATATATTATTATTTGTATCTTATCTACTGATCCATCTCAGCGAACGGACAAGTTCATATCCATGTATTAAATAGATGTTTTGACAATGTAATTTTTCATTTATAAATTGAATGTGTTGCATTCTCTTTTATTGTGACTTCCGGTTACAGATCTAGCATTTTCTTTTGGTGCAGATTTTTTTTTAATGGAAACAGAAATAATTTATAAACTTTTCTAAAATACATAATGTTATGACAAGAAAAATCTAAATTAAATTTGCAATTTGTAAATTACAATTGTTTCACATTTTAAAATATTGTATGATTTTTTTATCGTCAATATTATAAATAATTAGACAAGTAACGTCAGAAAATTAATACTAATTTATTCTCTCTCTTTTTTTCTTTTATCTTATAACTTTTAGTACTACAATGATTAAGTTAAGCTATTAGAGGACAATACAAATTTATAACAATGATTAAGTAACGTCATTAGATATTGACGTAACTTAACCATAGATGATTGGAAAGGTAAAGCACGATTAGTTATTAATTAAACAAAAATGCATCACAACGAATACTTAAGTTCAAAGCACGAAAGAAAGACAAAAAAAGAAGAAGGTTATACTTACCTTTCAACCATCTGAAATGGTAACTAAGGTTTTCAAAAGAAAAGATAAAATTATTTGTTAATAAAGTTTACTTTGAAGAATGTTAGAATATATCCAGTTATACACTTTTCTATTTAAGACATTTTTAATATTTTTTTGTTATCATTCATGAAATTTATTGAAAGCTATAAAACCGTAAGAAAGACAACTTAAATAAGAAAATGAAGCTTGCAAATTTTTTATAATTTTTTAAAGTTATTAATATAAAATATGTTTTAAAAAAATTGTTAATGTTTTCTATTGATTGTATTACGAGTCCATTAAATTAGTTGAACAAAATATTATTTGTAATCAATTTAATTTAACCATGATCTTTAATCTCAAATTCACACATGTAATTATCTTAAATCACGTGTACTTGAAAACACAATTATGTGATTTTTATATCATATAGTAATATTTTTATGTTTACTTTTTCCAATGAATAATTTAATACATATTAAGATTCAGTTCTGTATTTTCTGAAAGCAGATTTAATGAATATATATTTAGTTAAAGAAAGGCAGTTGCAAAGTCGGGTTGTACGATGCCACGTGTCAATTTAAAAACTTTGATGGCACGCAACGCAACAAAAGCACATTCATATATATAATATATATTCCCTTTGCTTTGCCGGAAAAAAGTGTGGGAACGAAAATGGGGTACTGTAACCGCTGCTTCTTCACGCTGTGCTCTCTTTTCCTTCTTCTCACGCTTCCTTCTCTCTCCGGCGCCGATGACCGATTCGATTTTCCGGCGAAAAAGCTCATCAGAGACCTTAATCTTTTCCCATCTCAAGATGTCAACATCGTTCGCCACTCGAATTGTCACGCCAACAAAGTCGTCGAGAAACCCCTCAGATTCCCAAACTTGCTGTCTTCACACTCTGACGTTTCCCTCGACAATTTGACTCATTGCGCTGGTTACTATCCTATTCTTCATTCTCATGCTGCCAGGTTTGCTCTTCCTTTTTTATTTATTTATTTTTATTTTTTAATTTGTTTAAATGTAGATTTGTTTATCATGAGTTTATGTTTTACGTTCTTGTTGAGTTAAACGGTTAAATCCTAGCTTTATCGTTGTATCATTTACTGTTTTTTTGTTTCAGGAAAACAAAGCAAGAAAAATACGAACACTTTGTTATGGTTGCGTTTTGCTTAACGACTTATTTAATACGTGACAAACGCTCATGTTTTGGTTTTAGTTTATTGAGAAAACGTAATTTATTTTATCTTCAGAACTTGTGGAAAAGTTTTTAATTGTTTCCATTTGAGTTATAATTTATTTCGTGAGTTATTCTGGAGAGATTATTAAAATAACATGAGAACATATTCTAAACTATTTTTATGAGCACTTAATATTATGATGAAGAGGGGAAAAGAAAATTATTGAATTAAGTAATTTTTAATTTTTTTTATGTTGGCGAAATATGATTGTTGAGGGGAAAATGCTGCAAATCTTTGGTATGTATTTGTTATTTACTTGTGGGTTTGGGATGAATGGTGCAGCATGTTCTACTTTTTCTTTGAATCACGGAACAGCAAGAAGGATCCTGTTGTGATTTGGTTGACTGGGGGACCTGGATGTAGCAGTGAATTGGCTGTGTTTTATGAAAATGGCCCTTTTAAGATTGCTGACAATATGTCCCTTTTGTGGAATGATTATGGTTGGGACAAGGTAATCCGCATATCATTTGTTGCTTTTCAAAATGCACCTTTTTTTTCCGCCTGTGATTATCTTGTATGAGGTCTTGATAAATTGCCTGGTGACCTTTCAGGTGGCCAACCTCCTGTATGTTGACCAACCAACTGGAACTGGCTTTAGTTACAGTTCAGACAAGCGTGACATTCGTCATGATGAAGAAGGTGTGAGCAATGACCTGTATGACTTTTTACAGGTACTTGTCATAGAAAATTAATGCAGTGTTTTCTTATTTGGTTACCTGACTTGTATTTATTGTTCTAGAACAGAAGTTGTATCTCCTATCTTTTTATGTCGTAACATTTCTTAATGGTTATTCTTAGAAAACCAAAACTAAGCAATGTGTCGTAACCTTTGATTTTGATTTAAACAACTTGCTGAGCTTTGCCAGCAATGTCGTCTTAGTAAGTTTTCTATTTACACTGCAGGTCTTCTTTGCTGAACATCCTGAGTATGCAGAGAATGACTTTTTCATTACGGGTGAATCATATGCTGGACATTATATTCCAGCTTTTGCAGCTCGAATCCATAAGGGAAACAAAGCTAAAGAAGGAACTCACATAAACCTAAAGGTCTGTTACATTGCATAGTGAACTATTCTTTCTTAAGTTTTAGGTATGCACTGAAAGTTAAGGAGAATTGCTAGGCTAATTGAAAGTGGTTGAACAGGGATTTGCCATTGGTAATGGGCTTACTGATCCTGCGATTCAGTATAAAGCTTACACAGATTATGCACTAGACATGGGCATAATTCAGAAGACTGATTATGATCACATCAACAAATTGATGGTCCCAGCCTGCGAAATGGCAATAAAACTATGTGGTAATTTACATGTGATTTTGTTCCATGCTCTGCTTTGAATGGATGTTGTGTTTCTTATACTTTGTATGTTGGAAGGTAGGGCTGTAATTGAATTAAACTGAGAGAAATGTCGTAGGTATTTGTGTTAAAGAATGCTGAATTCAACCTGTAGTTCAGTTCCAATTCTATATGTGAATCTGAACTCAAGTTTCTTGAATGGATCATGCATCTCGTTCAAGCTTAGCTTTGGTGAATTTAAGTTGATTTTAAAAATAATTTTCAAGAAAACTACGTTTGTCTTTGTGAATTATATCTTTCTATAGTAGCGAAGTAATAATGTACAATAACATCATGCTTAGGTAAAAATGTTTTATATAAATAATTTATATAAATAAAGTATACTAATTGGTGCAAATTAGTACCTAGCAAATGTTTATAGTCCTTTATGGCTACTAAGACTTGCATGAATTATTTATACTACATTATTTGAACTGCATATGTTTGTTATTTAGTTTAGTGTATCGTATGATTTTCATAAGTATGTAATAATTATCTGACTATAAATGCATATTACTTTTTTCGAACATCACCTAATGGGAAAAGGCTTTGTTATATGAAGGTAAAAAATTACATAATAGTACTATAGGTAGTGTAGGTTCTGCAAATCATATTTAGAGTTTTACCTTGGTAATATGCAATGCATTTTAAAATATGTAAATTATCAAAGTAAAACTCCAAATTTGATTGGAGAAAAACACCTAAAATAATACCTATGGTAGTGTATGTTAGTTTTGTCCTTATATGACATACTTTTAAAATTTTTACATATAATAATATTATAGGGAAGCACTGGTTTTTAAATTTTATCTTTCAGCGATCATGTGGCATTTCAGCAACTTTTATGATCCTGGTCATTCGTGCGAGGTCTATGAACCAAGAATAACTGCCTCTCACTAACTTAACAACTCATGCTCTTACTTGTGTTGGTGTCTTCTGATTGGCTAGTTTCTATCACCTATATGCTTAAGATTTGCTTCAATCATTTCAGGCACTGATGGAAAAATTGCATGCGCGGCTTCATATCTTGTTTGTAATGCCATATTCAGTTCCATCATGTCACATGCTGGCAATATCAATGTGAGTAACAAAATTGCTTCTTAACCCTACAGAAGCTCTTATGTGGAGCCCATTGAGCATGAAGCATAGCCAAAATACAGGCTTTTTTGTTCATAGAAATTCTGATACCATGTTAATGAATCACTCAATCGAAAAAGTGTGTTGTTCAAGATAGGAGTGAAGATGAATTTTGCTTTTCTTGAACAAATTTCTGATACCTGTTACTTATAGTTTTGCTTCCCAGAATAATTTCTTCTGAAAAAAAAAAAGAAGTTCAAACATCAAATATGGTTGAAGTAACCAGCACATGGTTAAATGTCTGAAATATTTTCTCTCAATATGGATAGGCATATGGTTAATTGACCTGTACAACCAACTCTGTAACTCTTCGTTTATTACTTTCTCACAGTATATTTTGAACGAGAAATTCAAAGATTTTTATTCTGCTTGTTCGCTAGAAGATTTCATGTCTTGACATCTATGGAGATTGTGCTAAGGAACACTGGCGTATTCAAAATTTTGATCAGCTACTGTATATTTGTGCTGCAGTATTATGACATCAGGAAGAAGTGTGAGGGAAACCTTTGCTATGATTTTTCGAATATGGAGAAATTCTTGAACCTAAAATCAGTTCGGGATGCACTAGCAGTAGGAGATATTGCTTTTGTGTCTTGTAGTTCTACAGTTTATCAGGCTATGCTGATGGATTGGATGAGGAACCTTGAAGTTGGTATTCCTGCCCTTCTTGAGGATGGAATCAATATGCTTGTGTACGCTGGCGAATATGATCTCATCTGCAACTGGCTTGGTAAGTGCTTATGCTTTCAAAATATCATACATTAGACCTCTCAGTGCAATCTGTAATGTTCTTTTTCCTGGTGGTATGAATTCAATGGTTAGGTAATTCAAAATGGGTTCATGCCATGGAGTGGTCTGGCCAGAAAGAATTTTTGACCTCACCCGAAGTTCCTTTCACAGTTGATGACTCTGAAGCTGGATTATTGAAGAATTATGGACCACTAAGTTTCCTGAAGGTATGCATCTATCTCTTTCCCACCTCCAACCTCCTATAGACACACGAACATGGTAGATGTGTATGATTCTCATACAATGCAAATACAAACTTGTCCTTGCTGCTTTGATGTGTATGATGATGACATGCTTCATTTACCTACCAATTTCCCTGCGACTTGGTAAAATGATACTATATTTTGTGTGGGAAAAACACAGGTCCATGATGCTGGTCATATGGTGCCGATGGATCAACCAAAGGCTTCGTTAGAAATGTTGAAGAGATGGACTCAGGGAACTCTTTCAGAATCTGGAGATGATGCGGAGAAATTGGTTGCTGAGATGTAATCACTTATATTGCAATTAGTTCTAGAAAAGGATACAAAAATATAATGCAATAAAGAGAAGAAATTAAGTTACCAGCATTTGTTGTCCACCTCCAATCTGAACTCATTATCTTAGAATGAGACTCAATCAAAGCCATTCAACGCAACAAAATAACAATTTCGCGACTGTACCTGTAATGTTTTAGTAAAATGTTGAGATGTAAATGGCTTACGCTTCAAACTTGCGCATCATGGGATCTTCATTGCTTATACACTATTCCGAGTCGGATATGAAATCTCTCGCCATCCATGTTTCACTTTTATTTCCTTTTGTATGATAAAATTATTTAATATTATAATAAAGAAAATGCTGAGATTTCATCCACCTTTTGAGAAACTGGATCTTGTTTTCAAATATCCATGGAAAATGTATAAGAAATGAAATTCATTACTCGAATAACATTATTTTACTTTTAATTTATTATCATTTTCATGCTATAAGTAATTTACACAAATTTTAAGCGTTTTCAAATAAATAAAAATATATTTTAAATGAATAATTAATTGAGAAAATTAGTATCAATTTGAATGGTAATATTAATATGAAAATTAATAAAAAAATTAATTGTTGAAAATAAATTAAATTATATCGGTATATTAAAAGCAATTTAAACTAATTTAGTATAATTAATTAATATATTAATTTAAATTAGTATATGCTAATCAATATATTAAAGTTAATATAACAGTAAGAAGGGATATTCATTGTAATAGATTAATTAAAAGAAAATGAAACATGAAGAGGGAGAGGAATCCTTTTTAATTATTCATGGAATAAATTGATTACCTTTATAAGCAATATATTAAATTTAATTCAAGAAAAAATTAAATTAATTTAATTAGAATTTATTTAAATGTGAGTGTAAAAATCTTTTATAAATATATCTACCATTTTATAGTAACTTGATTTATGTGTTCATTATCAGCAGTGTGTGTGTGGAAGAGTGACGGTAGAAGAAAAAGAAAGAGAAGTAGTGCAGCAAAATCATGTCATCTGCTACTTCCATCGGATTTTCAGCAAATTCGTGGTTGCTCTGTCACGCACGAATGCCTCCTTCATGTTTTCCAGTTTCAGTGTCTTATTCTTCTTCTTGGAACTCTTCTAAGTTCAACCATTATACTCAGAGAGCATCCTCTGAAGGTGAAATTTATAATCTTATCGCCATCTTCTATTCATGCCCATTTGGACATCGTGCCTTTCTTCAAATCAGCTTCAAAATGTCAACGCTTGATGTTAAATTTTCGCTCTTCCTTCCTATTTTATGAAGTATGGATTTGGATTTGGACTTCTGAGCTTACTTATGTAATTTCTATAATTGAAATTGAAAAAAAAAATTGTATTCAGGGGTGCTACAAATTGTAATTCTGTATTTAAATAATGTGTTTCCATGGTGCAGGACTTCCTAATGAGTTGATTGAAGACTCGAAATTTGTTCCTTTGAATGCGGAGGATCCTATATATGGTCCACCTGTAAGTCATGGTTAGTTTTGAATAATATGTTTTCTACCACTTCTTATAATTTTTAACATCACTGCTATGGGAAAATAATGTTCAACATACACACTGATACAAAATGTCTCGAACTAACATTTCCTGGAAATCAAAAGGTTTTATCTTCTGGTGTCTCTGATTGGCTCATTTCATATTTATTTAGCTTTGAAAATATTTGGGTAAGTTTTTGTGGATGCTCAATTCACTCATCTTGACTTGGGTTAGAACTTAATAATCTGGCTGACTTTATATGTAGTCAAACGCGATTTTTTTTTCGTTTTGCAGGCCTTATTGTTGTTGGGCTTCGAAGCAGATGAAGCTTTGAAGGTGATCTTATGATAGTCTTTGTAAACAATAATGTGGTAGTTTCATGTCTTGAAAGATTTTACTCTAAACAAATCATTTACAATGCCTTCTGCTGTTTCTTTCACTTGATCTCTCCTCTCTCTCTTTCCTTAAGTGGCCATTCAGTGTACTTGAATTTCTAACCAACCTTCGGTCTGGTTATTGTTTGTGCTTTTAATTTGATGACCCAAAAATTATTGACATATTACCTTTTCTTGATATTTTTGCCACTGTTGAAAATCCTCTACATACCTGTAATGATTTCCCAGTCATATTTTACTTTAAATATATTAGCATTCAATTGCCTAGGTCATCTATCCTTTCCAAAAATGTCATTTAATAGTATAATGTGCATCCTGATCTTGAGCAGATTCAACAGCTTTTGAAGGAGCTAGATGGTGAATTCCTGAAGGTAACCTCTCATTTCTTGTCTTTCATGGCCATTTTATTTGAAAACAAGTAGAAATCCATTCATTATTTTATTATGGTTCCCACCAAACTATATTGCTTTTAGACTAAAAAATCATTCTTTGTAAGACAAATGTGAATGACACAACAAATATACAAAATGGAAGGATAATAACTGGCTGCTCTTATAAAAATCAAATAATTTTCAGCCTTTTGTTGCTAGGTAGTATTATGGATCAATAACTAGTAAAAGATGAATTTTAAAATAAGCAAAGGACAATTTTGATCAGAAGGCAAATTTTTTCTTACATATGCAGAATAACAGGATGGCTCTAGCTTGTGCTCAACCTGATACAAATAGTTTTGTACTTTTATTACATCGGAGTAAACAACATAGGGAATGTGCCATTGAGTGGTCTGATTAATCAACCACTTAAGTAGCCAAATATTGTTTCCAAGTCATAACTAATATTCCATGCTGTGCCTCTTTGACCTAGATGGTGCGTTGTGCTGCTCTTCTCAACAGATCATTCCTTCAACGTTATATATTTCCAAGAAAACAAAATATTATCATCAAAACATACTAGGAATTTGATAGAGTAAATCACTCACAAACAATTAAAGATGCTTATATAGACTAAGAAAGTGAATAATTGTAATTTGCTCATAAAGGAAGGGTGAGATAGTGCACAAGTCTCCCTGAGAGTATATAGAGGTAGATTTTAGAAGCCTTATCCACCACTACAAGTGGATAGGCTATTTCTAGGAAACTCTTACCATTGAGTTAGGGCTCACCCTCGAGGATTTTACCCATCACTGACAAAAATTTGAAGGTAATTTAAGAACTCTTATTTCCGTAATTATCTCAAAAGAAATTGAAAAAAATAATTAGGGAATATAATGTATTGCATTGCAGGTCATTTACTGTACTGAACACATGATTACACGTTCGCTTTGGGATGCAATGCATACAACACAACAGAGTTTGGAAGAGGTCAAGGTATATAAATTTTGGACCAGCTAATGATGCATTACTTTCATCTAACATCTCTCTCTGTTCACTCGTGAATTTTCACTAATAAAGGGATAATATATAATAGAAAAAAAATGTTTTTTCTTTGCTATTGCTGCCTAACTTTTCACACAAATTCATCATTTATTTGCAGTTTGTTATGCAGACATTATCATAGGTTTTCTTATATATCTAAATTGTGGAGAATTCACACTACCTCTAATTTTGTGAATAAGAATCTTGACCCTTGCAGCAATGTATAAGTTAACAAACATGCTTCTAATGCACTAAGGAACTTTCATCAGGTCACAATATTTCATTCGTTCATATAACAATCCTTAATTTATAAATTATATTCAAATCTCTGTATGTTCAGTATTTTGTACCCTGCAGATAGCCAAGTCACTTCCACGGATATGTTTCCTATCTGGTTTAAGCGGAGAGGAGATGATGATGTTCATAGATTCTTTTCCGGAAACTGGTAACAAAAATATGAATACTTCCTCTGTTGAAGATGAAATCTTTTTTTCTTAATATTCTTGGCAGATTTCACAGGCTCACAGTGGGTTGGAGTTTCTTTTATGCAGGACTGAAACCTGCTGCATTTGCTGCACTTGTTCCCAACAGTGCCAATAAACCTCTGCAGGAATTGATAGAAGAAATAATGGGAGACCACGAGATGTTGGTATGTATTTTTTTGGAATGATTCTTTATCATTTTCAACGAGCTTATGATCAATGGGAAACTATATTTATGACTGCAGACTGGAGAACAGTTCTGAGGATTTAAATTTCCACTGAACCCGGGGGAGCGATTGGAAAAGCGACCCCTGATCTGATTGAAACCAACCGGTTTTGGCAGTATCAGGGAATGAAACTACACTAATAGTTAGCATTTTATGAGTAGAAAAGCTCAGCTGTGCTTGTTACACAAGTTAGCAACTGATTGTTCCAAACTGCTTTGCAAAGTACTTAATTGGATATTCTGTTGTCAATGCTTATTTAAAGCATGGATGGAATCTTATTCTTTGGCTGATTGCATATTCTAAAACTCGAAATAAGTAATGAAAGTTGAGACTTATGGATTAACAAAATTTAGGCAAATTTTGGATGACATTTGACCATAATAGTTTACCATGTTGGTTGAATATTGTCAAACTTGTAAAAATTGTTGTTATTTTTTTAACCACAAAATTCAAACATAAAACTTTTCTGAATAGGACCATATTCAATGTTAGACTAACGGCTTCTTGAACATGGAATAGAGAGTTGAACTTTACAACATAATAAATCTATTAAACTATGATAAAGGCTACAATGGACCGGTCATATAACTGGTTTATCATGGACTACTTTTTTATATTGCTAGATTGATTATTGTACAACCTTTTATTAATCTTCTATTTACAGTAAGTTTACATGTTGGTCATTCCACAATATTAAACGGGATTTTCTCCAGCAGTATCGGTTGTGGGATGAGTTTCTAAACAAATTAATTAAAATGATTTGAAATTAAGAAATAAATTTGTTGATTGAATGTAACCCATAATGTTTTGTTAAATTCCTGCATTGCTTTCACAGATAAGAAAACATTCTGTTTTAATTCCAGCATTTCTTCATTAGTTGGTTCAATGCCATTGGTCACCCCATCAAATTGAATAACGATACCAATTAATTGACTAATTGCCACCATCAATCAACTGTCTTCCGCAATCTCGTCAGAGCATACTTTACCGAAAGCTTTCACAGGAGAGGGACAAAAAGCAAGAAAAAAATCTGGCGTTAGACAGAATACCGGTATTTTGTGCAGATAAAATTAATCTATAGATGAAGTTCACCAAAAACCGCTAACATAACATGCCCAGTGGCTTTTGCCTTCAAATTTGTTAAAGAAGCATCTAAAGTTTGTAAGGTTTAAAACTGTTTAGAAGCATTTAATTCTAGTGTTTTTTAGCATTATTATTTTTTTAACGATTAAGCATCATAAAGAATCTTAAAAAATATCAACCGAGTTAAGGCCTAAAGTCCATCAATCCTATGCCTAGAAATAAGATAAAAGAAGAAAACAAAATTACATGGAAGGACTAGGCCAAGACCCATAAGTGCAAAAGTTAACAGAATCTAAATTTTGGGAGATTAAATCTATTTCTAAAAAAATCATACTAACACATGGAGCAATGTATCAAACCACGTGAAAGGAAGACATTTATCCATACCTAAATTAGCAAGACTATCAATATATCTATTGCCAAACCAACAATCTCGAATTTTTCATAAAATCATATCACATGTAGCAAAATGTAACATATTCATACCAATTAACACAGAAAATCCTCTAACATATTCGCCACAACTTCCCCTTAACACACCCCATTCGCAGCCAAACAGATTCGCCACTACTTCCCCTTAATACACCTCGCCATATTCGCCACTACTTCCTCTTAATACACCTCGCAGCCAAACATATTCACCACTACTTCCCCTTACTACACCCCACTCGCAGCCAATCCCGATAACCCACAAGAGAACACGACCATTTAACTCGCCACTACTTCCCCTTAATACACCCCATCGTAGCCAATCCCGATAACATTAGAGAACACGACCAGTTAACTTAATCCTAGGCGCAGTGATAACCCATAAAAGAACACGACCAGTTAACTAACTTAATCCAACCAGTTAACTTGTGATAACCCATAAGAGAACTTAATCCTAGGCGAGCACTGGATGGAAAACTGATATTATTCTGTTAAATCAAAACGAATTTAACTTTAACCACGGATTAAATGAACTCCAACCAGATTGACGATAGATTATTTTTATCCTATTAATCTAATTTTTAACTTTTATTTTTAATCATCTAATTTATCCTATTCCCATAAATTATTGATAAATTATCCAACGATTTTTTTTGCAATCTTTAATCATCTAATTTATCATCCACGTAAGTGTATCTACCAACTTATAATAGATTAAACCGGTAACAATTTAAGTAAAACAATTTAACTCACTTTGACACCACCAAAAAGTGTCTATAAAATGTTTAAAAAACTAAAAATATAAAAAATAAATAAATTATGCACATTTTTTAAAGTTTTATGCACTCACAGACAACCTATGAATGAAACAAACAGAGCACAGCAACTCTGGAAAAATTCTAGGACATGGAACATGATGTCCTATAATTCATTTTGGTTAAGTAAATTGAAATAACAGTGTCAAAATTTCCTGAAACAAGCTAATGCGAATACACCAAGCAAGGCTCAGCAGCAGTAAGGAATGACTTGTAAAATTGCATTAAATTGACGCATCTACATAATTGGTGTTAGAAAAAAAAAAAGCTCCACTACAATATACAAGGGCCAAGAGGGCAAAGCATGAGGTGAAATAATTGCAAGGGCGGTAAATGGACGGCAACTAATCCTCGGATGCTCTGCAACGCCAATGTTCCGTAGTTTGAAGGATTATACATATTCATCTATACCGTATTGAAATTTATATGACGACACGCTGTATGCCACTGCATCAATGTAATCTGACAACAGTGAGGATCTTTCTCTAAAATTAAAGAGGCTCAAGGGAACCACTTTTCAGTCTTTCCATCCGCGCTTGAAGACCAGACAGTGCTTTCTCATCCATAGGAAGTACCCCACCGTGTAAATTATTCTCAGTACCAACATGTTCAGATGCATGAGGAATCTGACTATGAGGAAAAACATGATTCAAGTTGTCATTTGCACTTGTTAGGTGCCTAACACCAGATTCAGTACTCCCAGCAGCAGCTGCTAATTGCATGCTCTTCATCCTCTCTCTGATTGCATCCAACGTTCCACTGGTTACTGCAATTCATGTAACTTCTCCATGTTATTATTTCTTTTAAAATTAAAATTATGTGCAAAACAAGTAAAATTATGCTACCATACCTCCTGTCATAAATCTATCATTTCTTTGGTCACCTAATGTATAGTCAGAATGTAACGCTCTAGACGTAATGGCATTCACAGGCCTATTCTCCTCACTGTATGATGGGGGTAAATTAAAATTTGTTGGCTCTGGTTTCACATTTAATTTAGCATCACCTAATGGATTTGCATTTACAGGTGAGAGAGGTGCAAAATCAGGGGAAGATATGTTTAAAGAAGCCGGTGGAGGAGTAGGCATCGGTAAACTGGAAGGAGTTCTTCCAGCTGCAGCATTCTTCTCCATCTGCCAAAATGTTAAAATCAATGCCAATCGTCAAATACACCGAACTGCTCATAGAAATACAAAATGCAAGCCCAATTAACATGACGTGGTAATATAAATAAATCATCTCACCTGAGCAAGACCATCTCTAATGTAGGTGCGAAATGCCTCACTAGCATTTTGAAGCTGAGCAAATATGTCAACCTAAGATAAAGCACAAGAACCTCAATAAAATAAGCAAAAATTATAGGCAGAGAATTTACTAAAAACCGTCTCGTTACATCTTATCTGAAAGTTATCATTATTCATCCACTTTGAAATTAGCAATTTGAAATTGAATTGAAGATAAAGTGGGAGAAAGGAAAATCTCAAACTTTCTACAAGTCATTTCCTTATTCATCCACTTTCTCTCTAACTAAACAAGAAAATGCATCACTATTTCTGTTTTCTTTACTCTCAATCAAAATCCCTCAATTATTACCTTAGGGTACAATTGGGTAATCCGATATAGCTCATATAGACCAATTGTGCAAGTTTGCTTCTCCCCAATCTTCTTAAATATAGCAGCCAACTCTTGCTGCAATTTAATTTTGAAGACAGAAACAAAGAGTCAGGTGTGAAATATATAGGCTTTTAAATAAAGTGGAAACAAAATAGGATATTATGACACAGTAACACAAGTAAGAACAGAATAAATTAGAAAACATTGAGATATATCCATTGTTGTTAGGATTGCGAATAAAATTTTAGGCCTCTTCAGTAGAACCTATGGGGCGTGTGAATAGAAATCCCCCGTGAGGCAAGCAAACACAGATTTGCGGGTAATATCGCCTTATAATCCATTTTATAAAACACCTAATTTTCCTTTTCTCCTTTAAGCACAACTACATATCTTTCTCCTTTAAAATTTATTAAAAACACTTCTAATAGAATATAATAAATAGTGAGTTGCTTAAAAATGATGTGACATCATAAATCTCTGTTTTACATTTTTCAAGATAAGAAGCAACTAATGTGAGTTGATCCTATTAAAGATGTCCTTGATGATTATGATTTTTCAATATATGTTTATTTAGTGTTGTGAAAGAGAGGCTTTTTTTTTTATGTTGCATTTTTCAAAGCATATATATGTATATAGGTAGGATCTTCATTAGGTAGAATTTTAAGTTTAACAACATTGGATACAGTTGTAGTACCCAAGATACTGAGAAATAAAGCATAATAATACCTTTAACTGGGCATCAGCAGAATGGGTACCCGAGGCCGAATTATTGGTAGCTGAATCGCCCCAATGGTTTTGTCCCCCAGGTCCAGATGCAGTCAACATTCTTGCGGCAGCCAAAGTCTAAAAATCAAAAGTGGGAGAATAAATAGAGTATATATATAAGTCTACTTCAACAATAAATTACATTAATTTGTTTCAATTATACCTCAAGATTAAGTTCAATGTAGGCAAGGATGATGGGTTGAGGTTTTGCATCAATAGGAACCATTGAAAGATGACCCTTTATCGCTGCACCACGAAGCTTGACAAGTTCATGCAGAACAGTTTTTACCATTCTTAAAGGTTTGTCATCAGCACCAGCCCTACACAAATAAAACATCAGAAAATAAAAGTGTTTCTAGTTTTATTTTATAAGCAAAAAAAAAAATAGCAACTCTATCCATCGATCAATCAATACCTTTTTCTAATTTCCTCCATTCCCAAGTCTTGCAGGTACAAATGGATGCTTTGAAGTATGCGATCAAGGTCAACATCATAGATGGTGCTCTGAAGAACCTGGCAGCACAAACAAAATACATGTTATGCTGAAGACAAAATTAATTAACAACTATTTAAGCAAAACTACATAAATCTACAATGCATAATTCAATACCAATAGATCCATATATAATTCTAATAGATTGGCTAATGGATTTTATTTTGTGATGTATGTACCCAGATTTAGTGTTAGGGCAGGAGCTCAACCTTTCTTTTTACCCTCTTTCATTTATAAATACAATGTATGAGTGTCATTGTACACTGTCATTTTACCCTAAAATATTTCTGTCAAGTTGGTAAGATCTTACTCTAGTCTCCTTTGACACTATACAGCTTCAGCCACCAACTGCTGTCAGTTGCGATTAACTGGTGCAGTTCTAAGTGGCAAAATTAGGGTTTCATGCGCCTCGGGACAACCCCTTTAACTACAAGGTCATCCGATCTAGTGTCAAAATTGAATATGGATCTATGGCCCTTCTTACATGTGAGCTTGTGTGGATTAAACAACTTCTTCAAGAGTTAAAATTTTGTGATAATGGATAGATGAAATTGTATTATGATTACCAGGTGGCTCTTCATATTCCATCCAATCTAGTGTTTGATGAGAGAACAAAATATATAGAAATCAATTATTATTTTGCCACAAAGAAATGATGTCCAAGAACCTCATTACTGAGTTTGTTAGTTCTAATGAGCAACTCGCAAATATTCTAACTAAATTTGTAAGAGGACATAGGAATCAAATTAATATTTTAAGCTTGATACATACAATCTATATGTTCTAGCTTGATACCCAAATTTAGGGTTCAGATTAAGACAGGAGCCCAACCTCTTGTTTGTACTCTTTCATATAAATACAATATATCAGTCTACACTGTCTTTTTACCCTAAAATATTTCTCACAAGTGGATTTTTAATAATTGAATGGCCAATAGATACTAACTGATATTCAGGCCCGTAGAAAAACTAAAACTGTTAATTCATCCATCCAGTACATATTATAGCAATTATATAAATATACATGGCTGGGCAGAAGAATTATGAATCACATTTGCCTATCATGGATATGCTATTACCACAGATTCTGAAGTAGTCTCTATCAGAAATAATAAAAGTTCAGAAAAAAAAAAGAAAAAAAAAAGTGAGAGAAATAAAATATCCATTTATAGCCCAGTGCAAATAATAAATTAGCCCGATTCATCATCCTTTGGCTTATGGGCTATGTATTATCACATAAGCCCAATAACCTTTAGGCAACTAAAATAGTTTATATCTTTTTCATTTTGCTTATGGCTGCACATCTTACCTTGGTAAGCTTGATAAGGCATTTTACAACTAGATCAGAAAACTTTTGATTTCTGGTAGCAAGCGACTCATTTGATGCTGGTGAAGGCCACCTGGATGGATCTAAAGGCCGCAAGAGATTGATTAAGACAACAAAGGATGAAGTACGATCTGCATTATCCTGTATTGACAGTAAATAGTTACTAAATAACTTGCACTACATTAGATCTGCCTAATGCTTGACATTGCAGTTCAACAGAAGGGTGGAGAGATAAAATTCCTAACCAGAATCTTAAGCATCAATACATTCAATGCTTTCAGCAACTGGCTTCCATCTTCCATATGTGGAACCCTGTCATCCAAGAGCCACAGAAGCAGCTCCGTAATGAGACTGTCAAGAGTGCTCTCCTTTACAGCATGTGCTAATCTTTTATTCTGAAAAGTCTGTATAGACCACAATAAATTAACAATGAAAAATAACTATTAATATATATAAGATGATACAAATATCACCGCCACACAAAGAAGAAACAATTACCTGCATGAGAGTATTGAGCACATATTTACAAGATCTTGACGAAGCCCCAGTCAAATTGAAGTCAAAAGTTCTTGCAACCTATTTAAAATAATGGGAGAATAATTAAAACAAGAAGATCTTTCCCGAGATGATGACAGTAATTTAGAAAACCAATTCACCTTATTTGCAAGACATGAAACTAGCCTATCTGCATCTTTCACAAGTTCATCCATAACAACACCTTCTGGATCATTAGTGACCTGACCTAACTCATAACAAACAACTTTCATTCCATCAACAGACTGCACCAAAAAAATTGAAAATCAGAGTTCAACCACCAATTCCAAAAAAACAAGAAAGAGATATTTGAGGGGGTCTCAAGATATACATGTCTATCAGCAAATTAATTAGTTTAATTCACCTGTTCAGGAGAACCAAAAGAAATTATATCAAGTGCTTCATTCCAATCAGGGGGTCCATTAGTAACAGCCGAAGAACGGGAAATCAACTGTCTCTCAACGTTACTGTCAGGTTGACCATAATTTTTCCTGATATCAACATGAATGATAAGGAATAATAAAAAAAATATTGGCTAATTTGGGACGAGGTAAACTTTCCTTTAATCATGGACAAAAAATGAACGAATTTCAATAAAACTTTTACCACACCTCAATATAGGACCAGCAAGAGATCTAGACATCTCTCCACTTTGCTCTGCAACATCAGACCTAGTAATGGAAGCAATAACAAAAAATAATAACCGGTAAACATCTATATTTAACTTTCATATTTAATAATCTGCACAAAAAACAAACTCTTTAGTCCAGGTAGGAATATAGGTTAATGTATCCTACACTTGAGAATAAAAATATGAGAAAGAATGCTTAAAAAGTTAATCATCTCTCAGCTGAAGATGCAAAGAGAAGATATAAAAAGACTACAACTAGGATTCTAGGTGAAAAATAGGTACAACAAAAAAACATCTTTTAGCTTTCCAAGATTTGGTCAGAAGATAAGTTAAACTATTCTAAGACACCCCTCAACTCAAACAAGAGTATATAGATTGCATGTACCAAGCAAGTAAAATATAAATTGAATTTGAGGTCCCTTCAAGGATTTAATCAAAATAGATGCAAGTTGATCATTGGATCTAACGAATTCAATGCAAATTTCCTTGGACAACAATTTTTTCCAAACAAAATGACAATCAAGTTCTCTGAGTTTGGTTCCCAAATGAAAATACAAGATTGGAAGCAATGTGAATAGCATGGTTATCACAATACATTCTCATTTGCAAAACTTCTCAAAATTTCAATTCTTAGAGGAATTATTTTATCTACACAAATGAGTGACATCGTCTCCTATTCCTAGCTTCAAAATTATATCGAGTAACCACATTTTGTTTCTTGCATTTTCAAGAAATATTAATGTCGCATAATATCAAGTAGTGGAACGTGTCTGTCTTAATGTATCAAACCTTATTTTCAAGGTTATCATACCCATATATAAAGTATTTCATGAGGTGAATGGCAATATTCCAATAACCAAAACATGGAGTCTCCATAAATTGACAAACAACTCCAATTGCCAAAGACAAGTTAGGTCTAGTAATAGTGAGGTAAATAAGTTTTTGAAAAAGTATTCTACATGGTTATCAAACTATAGGATTAACTCGGACCAAATTAAATGGACTTTGTTCAAAGTCACGGGTTAGACGTGAGTGTATTTAAAGCACCCAAAATGACACTTACCTTGGTTGTTTGGTTAGACTCACACTTTAGATCACACATGTTTCATTTCGAAGATTGGATTTTGGATTTGTATTTTGGTCTCACAAGCTTGTTTGTCTTCGAGTCTACATTCACTATCATAATTCACAATTGCTATCATTTGCCTTCACAACTCATTGTTGTTCATGCTCGCATATTGTTGTTCTTGCTTGCCTTAGCATTCATGCTCATAGTCAATCACATTCACAATTACCACCATTCTCATTTGGGTTCGCACTTGTTGTCATTTGCGTTCATAGTCACCACCATTTGATTGAGCTACTTCAGTTGGGAAATTTAGTGGCATCATTTCTTATATGATAACGTCACCAACATACACAATTCAAAAAATACATTTCTCAAAAGATTTATGGCAACAAAGACTACATTATTCATTTTTACTGTTTTAGCTCAAAAATTTGTACAATGTGGCTCAATTTTCCAAATCAAAAGCATGTGAAGATTCTTTAGACCATAGAGAAATTGGCGTAATTTGCAAACTAACCCACACACTCCTTGAGCAACAAGGAGATGCATCCATGAAGAAAAACATTCATTATATCCAACTAATGGAAAGGCCAAAGACAAATAATAGTCATGGGAAAGAAGAGTTAAACAATGGTAATTTTGGCCCCAGGCGAATAAGTATCACAATTTTCAAGATTGTTTATTTGTGTGTATCCTTTGACCACCAATCTTACTTTAAGGCGACCAATTCCACCACCTAGTCCAACTTAATTAACATAAAAACCCATTTGCATACAACTGTCTTCCTTTTATGTGGAAGAGGGACTTGCTCTCAAATGTAATGAAAATAGAAAAAATGATAGCTTAGAAAATAGTAAATAGAATGAGGGTTTTGGGTGGACAAATACCTTTGTGAAGAGCAATTGGTCCTCTAAGATCTCCATTACCAGGAGTTATGAGATGGTTAGATGAAGGTGAAAGGTGTGAAGAAGAGGACTGGCCATGTTGTGTTGTATGATACAATCCCAGCTGATAAAAGGGGGTGATGTTGGTCCTGGTGGGTTAGATTAGGGAAGGAACTTTAAGGGGTGGTTTGATATGGAGTGCTATGAGGGAATAACAACGGTTTGATATGGACAATAACATCCATATTTTTTTTGGAGGAGAATGTCATTGGAAGACTACAACTACAACTCTAGGTGACAAATAAGTACAAAAAAAAAAGGTTTGGGCTTTCCTAGAATTAATTACAGGGTATGTTAAACAATTGTAACATCGACAAACGCCCTTGCACGTCGCTCTTGAGAGTTGGTCAGAGGATAAATTAAACTTTTTGGAAACCCCTAAACACCCTTCATGTTCCAACTGCTTCTTAAAAAAAGTGATCATAATCTTAAATAATCACATTGAGAAATCACAAATAAATTGTACTTCCCTATTTAGGTCTCCATAGCAAAAATCATGGCTCTTGTAAAAAAAAATTGTCTTGTTTCACTACCAAATATGCCAAGTTAGGACTCCCACCTATGAGAATTTTATTTGCTAATGGAATGCCTTGAACAAACCAAACCATGCAAGTATTCCCAAAATCATAGTTCAAGAACACCTAATCCTACTTGTGAGGCATAAGCACTATTGATGTTAATGGTCTCTTGAGTAACCACCATTTAATGTGAGAAAATTATATCTAGACGTAGTATGCTAATTTTGTGAAATCTAAAGATTGGTTAGTAGTTGACAAGCAAGGATCATAGGACTTAGGTTGTCATATTTGAGAGTTCACATAACCTCGTGGAGCTTTCATAAACTCATCGCATAATGTTGACTTGTAATCACTTATGTAATACAAAAAATAATAATCAGAACCCTCTTAATGACATATAGGCCTAACTAAACACTATAAAGAAAAAAATAAAATCATAATAATAAAATGCAATAGATTAGTAATAAATAAGCTCAAACTACATTAATGACCAAATTATAAATACATTAGTAAAAACATGTAATTAAAATGAAAACATTTTGAAAAAGGAGGAAGCAAATCAAGTCATGGTAAAGCAAGCATCATGATACCAATGGACCTAAAACTTACAATTGATTTCAAAAGATTTTGTGCAACTTATATGGTTTAGTTGACTAATTAAAGGAGTTAACTCTAGAGTTTGACAACCAAAAGACCTATAAGAAAGTCATTGTGTAGTACTAAGTTCATTTATACTTCCTTGACTGGACCTATGTCATGCATATCCCTCAAAAAAAATTCAATATAAATAAGATCCCCTCCTTTAAATTTTTTTCCCTAAAAAATTCACCCAAATCCTTAAATCTCAACCATCATAACATGATCTAGCTTCTCCTAAAATATGTATGCGACACCAAATAGGATTCCTGCCAAATTTAGTAGGCAAAGTTAATAAACATATTGACGGTAAAAAAATGTCTAAAAGGAATTAAACCATGTTTATGTGTTCATTTTTAAATAATGATAAGAATCAAGAGATCATAGAACAAATTAGAAGGAAATGCATAATGCAGTGAGTGCACAGTAAAATAACAAATTGGAATGAATAGACACACCCATTTTCCCTGACTGAGCGCCTTAAAATGGCCCTTGCTTCACCAGGCTTGCCTTCCTTCTTCTTTTCCATCTCTCTTACCTAGCAAATACACAACCAACATCGTCAATAATTCAGTATATCAAGCCAAGACAAATTAGTTAAGTATGTAATGACCTTCCACTTGAATCTATCATCTAACATGCTTTTTTGAGCATCTGTTAGCTTCCCAACAAATTTCCAGATGTCGTCACCTGCATAGCAAGATTATACAAGCAAAATAACTCAGCATGTGCTAAGAGGTATGAAGAAAGAAAAAAATAAATATAACCTAAGTTCCGCAATTGAAAGAGTAAGCAGATCACTTCATCCATAGAGGACATGCCACTCATGCAATTTACACAATAGTGCAAACACACACCCCAATCCCACAAAGTAGAACAGCAAGCTTTCTTTCAAAAAGTTTCCATTCCAAGGAAGAACAGACATATAATATGGATATATATCTCGGAAGAAGCCACAACTATTCACCAAGCACGTACAGAAATAGAAAGATAGTTCGATAGGGTATGGCATACCTAGAATCTTATAACCAGTAGCTAGTGTATTTAATGCAGCTTTCCTAGTTTCACCATCCCGTTCTGCTGTCAAACTTGCCACAGTTTGCAATGATTTTAGGTGCCCACTAATCTGTCGACATAATGTCAGGGTATATTATTCAAGGAAAGCACAGCGAATATGAAAATATTTAAAAAAAATATATAATAACAATACCTCTGCACAATGATGATCAATAATAAATCCAACAAGATCAGCACATTCAATTCGAGTTCGGTTATTCTTAGAGCGCAAACCCTCTAATATATAGAGGAAACATTTAGACGCAGAATATATGACAACAAATTGTTTGGTCAGCTCACGCATTTTTTCTCGAACTTTCTCAATGTTATGCCCTAACTGCAACATTAAAATAAGAAATTAACTTATACTTCCTCATCTGTAAAACCGAAGTACACTACTCAAACCTAGTACCTAAAGTTAAAAAATATTTGGCAGAAAGCAATTAAACCATTAGAAAGATTCACAGGAATAATAACATGCCACAAATATAGTTGTTATATTAACCTTCTCTACTAGGCATGGAAGAAACACTGCCACTTCAGATTCTGTCAGAGAGTACCCCTCATCCTTCAAGGTGTCAAGCAGCTCTGGAAGAAATTCCAGCACCTGAGCAATTAAATAAAAAAAAAGTTACAACAGAAACCATACATCTCCACAATGAAGGAATGAAAGGAAAAGAAGGAAACTGAAATCACAACAGAAACAAAAATAACTTGAACCTTCAATAGACATGTTGTGTTTGATTTGCAGAACTGTAACACAAACCACCTTAGAAGAATGTCCAAAACTTCTATTACTTCCTTAGCAATGGACGGAAGTGCCTGAAATGTGCAATTGCAGTTTGTACAAGTTCAGGCACAGTCAACACTTCAAAAGAATGCAAGTTATTCAGAATGTTAAAAGAACAACACCTTCTGCAGCATTTCAAGTCCCTCAACTTGCTTCTTAAAATCTGCACTTAAGAGTCTCCTATGTAAATCCTCTCTGAAATACTTCATCATATCATTCTGCAAATTGACATTGCATTTATTATATAATTCAATAGTTAGAGATAGCTGGTGTTATGCATGTTTATTCTTCGATAAATAGCCCCACCTCAAGATCTTGAATTTGCTCAGCACGAGGGTCCTCAAACTTAAACCTCCGAACCACCATTCTCTCTCTATCTTCCTGCATGTAACACAATCATCAATATGACAGTCCAGCCATGCACATACTTTTAAGATCTTAAGTAACATTTAGTATACCCAACTTCAACAAACAATACCTTATTGGAATCCTTGATATTTAACAGGGCTTGAGACTGGACTGCTATATCTTGAACAGATATTGATTCAGATTTAGTGCCTTTAGTTGCCACAGCTCTCTATTGGACAATGAAAAAAATAGTTAGAAATCCAAACAAATGTAAGAGTAATTAAAAGATGAAAAAACATACCGAAGATGCAGCTCTAGTTCCATGTTTTGAAACACCATTGGCAGTTGATTTCCCCACCTTCAGTTTTGCTGGTGCACCCACTGAAACTGATTTTGCTGACTCAAATGAATCTAAAAGACAAAAAAAATGTGGAGGTAAGAGAAAGGTAAAAATAAGAAGTAAATTTGACCATGAATCACACAAAAAATGAGAGCATACCTTGAAAAGCTCCATATGGTTTCAACTTCTCAAGAACTAGTGTCAGTGCTGGTCCATGAATATCTTTAACTATCTTTTCAATCTGAATAAAGAATTTAAAGATGACTGGTATCACATTAATATTAAGGAAACAAGGGAAGAAACAAGCTTTTTTCTCATACACATACCATTTCATGTCCACTAACTCTCAGTATCTCATTAATGCAAGCCTCTGCTGCCTTGCGAACATCAGAAGATTTATCCTAAGAAGCCATCATAAATTTTGTTCAAAAAATGTATGAATTACAACTAATTTAATAAATATTATAAACCAAAAAAACCAGAAAGCTCAGTAAACAGATCGTACTGTCATTGCAGAAGAGGCAGGTTTCAGCAGTTGAGCAGCTTCAGCAAAACTACTTAATCCAGAAAGTTGCTTAGATAACCAATCAAAAAGATCTTTACGCCCATCCGCACCAATTTTAGAGTCCACCAAAGAAATTGCAATATATGGAACCTAAAGTAAAAACCATACTCAGGACACAGATACTCAGGACACATAATAACAGAAAACAGGATAAGACATACCATTTTATCAAGATGAACAGCAGCCAGCCAAGAATCTAAAGTATTCAGTGCACATTCTCTCATGTGCTTCTTGTTGTCACCAAGACATTTCAATATATCAGATAGAATACCCTGCAGCAAACCATTTCAATCAAGTTCAAATAGCAAACAGCAAAAGAACAGTACCAAGTGAAAAAGATTAAGAAAACATAACAGAATCATCTTACCTTGCTAGCCTTCTCTACAGCTTGTCCCATTGCAGATGCAACATTGCCAATTGTTGTCAAGGTAGCCATGACAATGTTTTTGTTGCTATCAAAGAGCCGTCCCCGAAGAGCTCCAAACAACTCACCTGGTAATAAAACAGTTAGGAACAAATAAAAAGAGTGACCGATTTTATAATCAACTAGAACAATTACTAAAATATAGCATGCATTTTTTTTCAATGGGTAAAGGTTGGGGGGAGTAGAGAGAGCACAAGGTTAGAAAACAAAAAATAATGTTTGGATTACCAGTTCCAGTTGCTTGAATGCGCTTATTAGCCTCTTCCAATATTTTGTTCACAGCATCAACAGACTCCATACGAACCTACAGTTAGTAAAAATGCACAGCAAAGCAAAATTAGAAGAAACAGTCCAATAACATACTTCCTTAATTACTGAAAAGCTCAATAAAACCTTAAGATACAAAATTAAAAGTAAAGTGCTAGCTCTTATCAAACAAACCTTCCAATCAGGGCTTTCCAAGCTCTTCAGTAGTGCTTGAGTGATCTTTCCACTAATGTCTTCACGAGGCAAGCCATCAAGTCCACCAGCAACACCAGATGAAGAGGAGTCTGATGTCCTGACAGTTCTCTTGGTAACTGCAGACGCTCCCTGAAACAGAGGAAACAGAATGACAGCATTAGGAATCGAAGACACAACATAGAACTAACCTCACCCAACATAACATACCTCAAATGGATTCTTCTCATATTCAGTATCAAGGGCACTTAGCAGTGCAGGCTTTACATCAGCAAGAAATGCTTTAATGTCTGCAAGGAGAAAAAACTTAGAGCCTTGATATCGAAATTGAGATGAAAATTCGAAACACAAAGTCACCTGGACCAACAAATCTATGCAGGACACCCAAGAGCTTAATTGATGCGTTTCTGGTAGCAGCAGTACTTGACTGCAGCCCAGTGTCTTTAAGAAAATCAATTAAATCCTGCATAATAAGATTGGCATTAAAACTAAGAAACTTTAACCAAAAACATTATAAACTAAAAAATACCAAAAAATATTTATAATGCACCTTAAGCTTTATATGTGAGACACCAAAATCCTCAACAGCAGAAACCATCCACAAAATTCCCTCACTAAGAACCTTAGGATTCTTATGCTCCTTCATGATCTTGTAAAGCTACAGTAAAAAAAAGTTTTTCAAGCATTATTTGTTTAATATATCAACATAAACAAAATCAATGATATACAGCCAAAAAGAAACAACATGCACTTCAATTGAATCCAGAAATAGGCCTAAATATAATAACAGGAATTAATTACAAAAATTAAACAGCTACACAAAGACTATTTTAGAAATTTTATTCAGATAAGCTAATTACAGATTTCACTGTATTACAATAACAAATTTACAATATCCTAAAACTATTGCACAGACAACAGTGCAAAACAATGACATTCAACATAAGGCAATTCAACTATTTACAACAGGATAACCCCACGCAGTTGCCAATTGATCATTATTTTACCATATTCAAAAAAGAAAAAACAAGCATGTCCTTCCTTGGCATAAATTTATAAGATTCAGATTCTAGGAGCATGCTTATGCCCTAAACATTAGAATATGCTTATAAAGAGCAACCATGCTTACTCTCTCAAAAATGAATACTGGACCAACTGCTTCACACAAAGTACTCAGGCACTTCATAGCATGTGCTCGTGTCTTAATATCTGCTACACGTTCACTTAGTCCTAACAATGAAAAACAAGTAGAAAATTAGACTAGTCATTCAAAAATTAAACAGGGCTCATTAAGGGTAATAGCTAAATAACCCACCTGCAAGACAAAGTACCACACACTTCTTTGGAAATTTAGCAGCAGTTGAACCTATATGATTGACCACTTCAATAACTTGCTGCTGAACCTGCACAATGAAAATACAAGCTTAGGGCAAATAATATCCTTCCTACATTCACAATAAATAATTAAAATAAAACATTTAAATTCCAAAGAAAATATTTGAGAACCTGAACATTTTTCTCGCCCCAACCAGGTAAAGTGCAGAGTAGACGTATCAAAATTTCTGCTGATTGGTCGAGGTTCTGTAAGCCTTCTACCTGCTGTTTTAGTGAAGAAATAGCTGCAAATAGATAACTTCAGCAGCCTTATTTTATCAAGAATGTCCAAAAGGCATCACCAGCAAAATTAGAAGGATAACAAACTATATTTTATTATCTTTCACCTCATCACTTTTGACAACAGGGAATGGCAGGCCGTATTTCAAAAGATATCACAAGATAGAATTCTATTCAAGTTCTGATATAACAGGGCAAATTTCACTGTACCGAATGGACAACCCAAAATTACAAAACAACAATTACACTTGCCGCTAAAATTTAAAAACTGAGGTACATACAGAACCTCAATTTAAAATAAAATGAAAAAAAAAAAACGAGGTTGAGGTACATACAAATAAATGCAGCAGCTTAGCTACTAGCAGTTTAATTCTATGCTATGAGAATAAAATTCATGTTACAAGATATAACCAATCCATCAAGTCCAACTTGTCATAGTAGACTTGTGTCTGATGATTTAAAGGTTAAATCCTAGACTAGGCTACCTATCTACCCCATTCACCAACATGCTTCCACCCATATGAAAAATTTTAAAAATAAAATAAGTCACCACACTTGAAATAGAAAAAGAAAATAAAGAACTGATTTTGAGAGCCTGAAATCATCTTCTTGTGTTCTCTTATTTATAGGAGATAAAAATACAGATTCAGAGATACAATAAATAGAGAGACATGATTAATCCTAAAGAAGATAAACAGATGCATTCTAGGAACTAGGTCTACAACTAATCTCATAAATGTCCAACAAGATACACTTAATCTAATAAATACTTCAACACTCCCCCTCAAGCTGGAGCATACAAATTGAATGTACCAAGCTTGGAACAAATGAATTCCATTCGAGGTCCTCTCAAAGATTTTGTTAATGCATCTGCAAGCTGATCATTGGAACCAACAAACTCAGTACAAATTTCTTTAGTCAACAACTTCTCCCGAACAAAATGACAGTCAATCTCAATATGCTTAGTCCTCTCATGAAATACTGGGTTGGAAGCAATGTGAAGAGCAGCTTGATTATCACAATACATCTTCATAGATTGGATCTCACAGAAGTTCAATTCTTGCAAGAATTGTTTTACCCAAACAAGTTCACAAGTAAGAGACGTCATTGCCCTATATTCAGCTTCAGCAGAGGATCGGGCAACAACGTTTTGCTTTTTGCTTTTCCATGAAATGATATTTCCTCCAAGGAAAACACAATAGCCTGTAGTGGAACGCCTATCCATAGGAGATCCAGCCCAGTCGAGCATCACGAGTACCCAAAAATTTGGGTATTTCCCTTATCTTCATATAATAATCCTTGTCCTGGAGCTTTTTTAATGTATCTTAAGATTCGAATGATAGCATTCCAATGATCCACACAAGGAGCTTGCATAAATTGGCTGACAACACCAACTCGCAAAAGACAAATCAGGTCTAGTAATCGTCAAATAAATAAGTTTCCCAACCGAGTCTTCTATATCTTTTCGGGTCGGAGAAAACTTCACCTCGTCCCGCCATTAACTTCAAATTTGGATCCATAGGACTCGTCCACGGGTTTGCAATCAATCATACCTGTCTCTTTTAGAATATCTAGAGCATACTTCCTTTGAGAGATGACAATACCTTCTCTTGATTGAGCTACTTCAATACCCAAGAAATATTTTAAATTTCCAAGATCCTTGGTCTCGAAAATGACTACACAAGTGTTCTTTTAGCCGAGATATTTTAGCAAGCATCATTCCCTGTGATGACAATATCATCAACGTACACAATTAAATAAACATGTTTGCCAGGGGCATTGTGACAAAAAACACTCGAATGATCTGCTTCGCTGCGTTTTAATCCAAAAGCTTGAACAATAGAGCTGAATTTTCCAAACCAAGCACGTGGAGACTGTTTTAGGCCATAGAGGGATCGACGTAATTTACAAACCAAACCAGACTCCCCTGAGCAACAAATCCAGGAGGTTGCTCCATGTAAACTTCTTCTTCTAAGTCACCGTGCAAAAAAGCATTTTTAATATCCAATTGATGAAGAGGCCGATGACGAATGGCGGTCATGGCAAGGAACAGGCGGACGAGTGGTCATTTTGGCTACTGGAGAAAAAGTATCACAATAATCAAGCCCATATATTTGAGAATACCCTTTAGCTACTAACCTTGCTTTAAGACGATCAACTCGACCATTGGGCCCAACTTTAATAGCATAGATCCAACGACAACCAAGCTGTTTTCTTTCCCGAAGGAAGAGGAACAAGCTCCCATGTTTCTTCGTGATCAAGAGCCCGCATTTCGAAATCATGGCTTGTCGCCATCCAGGATGATCAAGCGCTTCGACCACATTTTTGGGAATTGTAATAGAGGAGACAGAGGAAATAAAAGAACAATAGGAAGGAGACAATCTATGATAACTAAGAAAATTGTAAATGGGATGAAGATTACGAGTAGAACGAGTACCTTTACGAATGGCAATGGGCCAACTTGAGTCATCGTTATCGGGAGCCAGTGGTATTAGAGGATGATGGTGAAGGACCTGTTATGGATGGCTCATCTTGAGGAATAGGATTGTTCACCTGGTTCCTACGTTGATAGGTGATGATAGGTCTGTGATGCTTGATTCTAGAGTATTTTGGTTGGGATTTGGGGTGTCGGGAATAGGAGGTACAACTCGATTCAACAAAGGGAACAGGAAACACATTTTGGACGAGAATCAATATCCCGCATAGAATAAGGAAAGAAGGATGATGATTCAAAAAAGGTGACATTAGCAGACATGTAATACCTCTTGGTTTCGGGAGAATAACACCGATATCCTTTTTGAAGACGAGAATACCCCAAGAAGACACATTTGATAGCTCTAGGTAAGAGTTTATCTAAGCCAGGAGTCATGTCATGAACAAAACATATACATCCAAATACTCTAGGAGAAACATGAAAAATTGGTTCCTTTGGAAATAGAATGGAGTGTGGAACTTTATTATCAAGAGAAGAAGATGGCATTCTATTAATGAGAAAGCATGCGGTTAGAATAGCATCTCCCCAATGATGAATAGGCATATTGGCACCCGAGTAACAAGGTACGAGCGGTTTCAACCAAATGTCTATTCTTTCGTTCTGCTATACCATTTCTGTCGTGGTGTGTGAGGACACGTGGATCGGTGTAAAATGCCTTGAGAATTTAGGACATTAGAAAAATCGGTAGAAAAGTACTCTTTGGCATTATCACTTCGTAAAATTTTGATTACTTTTCCAAATTGAGTTTTGATTTCATTAAGGAAAGACTTAAAGATAGGCAATAGTTCGAACGATCTTTCATAAGATAAACCCAAGTACATCTAGAAAACTCATCAATAAAAGTAACAAAATATCTAAAACCAAAAGATGAAACACGACTAGGTCCCCATATATCCGAATGAACAATACTAAAAGCGGAATCACATCTAGATTCAGAATGATTTGGAAAGGATGACCTGGTATGTTTCCCTAGTTGACGAGCTTCACATTCAAAAGTTTGAAGGTTCGAAGTTCGGGAACCATTTTTTTCAATTTTGCTAAATGAGGATGCCCTAATCGCTCATGTAACAGTTTTGGGGATAAGGATGCAACACAAGATACGGATGACTTAGTACTAAGGTAGTATAAGCCTCCAGATTCATGTCCTTCTCCAATCAGTCGACCCGTACCACGTTCCTGGATAACAAAGCAATTGGCATTAAAGGTTACTGAGCAATTCAATGATTTGGTTAATTGGCTTACAGAAACAAGACTGAATGGAAAAGAAGGAACACAAAGTAGCCTTGTGATTAAACTCTCCGTAGAAGGAACTTCTTCTCCAGTTAGAATCTGGTCTCTAACATGATTAAACTCTGGATTCATAGCCCTAAGAATCATTACCATATAGAATTTATCCAGCTTCGTCTTCCTTTCTTCTAATGATTCTGCCTCCAGGAACATTTTTAATTCTTCAACAGCTGACTGAGCTTCAGCAACAAAGGACATCATGGAATTATCCTCTTGCTTAAGGGAGGCTAGTCTATTAGCAGAATCATAAAGTCGTTGAATATCATTAGCAAAGATATTTTGGGCCTTTTTCCAAAAAGAATTACATGTCTTAAAGGCTCGAAGAGTGCTCAAAATATGTGGTTCAACAGATTGCCATAATAGTGCACAAAGTTGATAATCCAGTTTCTTCCATTGAGGAGTCTCGATCTGCTGGTATAGTACTCCCATCTTCTTCTAGATGATCATGAACTCCTTGACCTAGAAACCAGAGCTCAACGAGAGGAAGCCCAAGACAAATAATTTTTTCCATTTAATTTTTACGTGGTTATAGTCGAGTCCCGGAAAAAGATACGGACTACGGTTCCGACATTTTCCAGGAAACAAGAGAGGACCAGCGTGTTGTTAGAGTCTCTGTCGAGACAGGACCGAGAGAGTCGAGAGAAAAACACAGACCCACCACGTTTTGTGACCGAGAACACAAAACAAAGTGCGAGATCCGGCACCGGGACGACGAGGCGAGCCGAATAGAGGTGGCTCGGAGCAAAGCGGCCACCGAGAGGACGGCGCGTGAGGCCCACGCGCGGAGGAAGCCGCGGACAAGGGTGGCGCGTGGAGGCGCGTGAGGCAGAGATAGAGGAAGCGAACACTGGGGTTGGGTCGCGCTCCTCGAGGCGAGCCAAACCCAAGTGTCAGAGAGGAAAACGGCGCCGGAGAAGACAGCACCGGCGGCGGACGGCGGCGGACGGCGGCAGACGGCGGCGAACGGCGATTAATGCCAGAAAAATAACAGAGACAGGCAGAGCGGGATGAACCCGCTCTGATACCAACTTGAAATAGAAAAAGAAAATAAAGAACTGATTTTGAGAGCCTGAAATCATCTTCTTGTGTTCTCTTATTTATAGGAGATAAAAATACAGATTCAGAGATACAATAAATAGAGAGACATGATTAATCCTAGAGAAGATAAACAGATGCATTCTAGGAACTAGGTCTACAACTAATCTCATAAATGTCCAACAAGATACACTTAATCTAATAAATACTTCAACAACCACAAACAGGAGTCTATCACAAACCTTCTAGACGCTCTTTCCATACAGCACTTTTCAATAGGGTGATAGTATCTGACTGTACAAGAGAACCTATTCGGCTTTCAATCTCTTCTAGACTCATCTCACTAGGCTGCATAATGTTAGACAAAAAGATTGAATAAATACAATTAATTATCAAAGAAAATGAGAAAAGGATTCAGATAAAAGAGACAGAGGACAAACAGATGTTAATTTACCTCAACATCCTCAGGTGGTTCAATTGATTTTGAAGCCTTCACTTGTGCCACTCCATCTGTTTTCTTGTTTGTCCCAGACTTTACAGCCCCCCCTTTCTTTGAGACAGGCTAGAATGTGCAAATTATTTAACTAATCAACTTGCATTCATCAGAAATACAATAATAATATCATCATATAGTAGTTAAGAGCAAGAATAAACATTCTTACCACTGACTGAACAGGTCTCTTCCCACTAAGCATGCTTGCTGCTGACCTTTTGACAAATGCACTTTCAGAGGCCTGTATGCAGATCAAGTGATATATAAATGTTGGTTCTCGAATACATATATTCAACTTTAAAATTAAATCATTCATAATTTTTTTATTCTCTATATTTAACATGGTTCTCAAATTCATGTCCAAAACGCATTAGTGATGCAGCATTCATATTCCCATCTCATATTTAAGGTAAAGATTGGAATCACATTTTTTTAATGGTTGTCAAAACATAGGAAAGGGAGAGGGATTGATCAACGAAGAAAGGGAAATTGGGAAGAGGAAAACTTCCAACTACATACAATTAAAAAAATAGCCAATCAAATCTAGGAGAAACCCATGAATAAAATGAAACTGAAGTCAGATTTAAAAACAAAAGAAAAGTAAACCCACCTCTGCAGAAGATGCACTTGCACGCGTATTTTGCACAGAAGCTGGAACATTATTACCAAGTGTCAGCATAAAACCAAAATATAATATTTAAACATCAATCAAATCACAATTAAGATAATGACTCAAATAAGGAAGGCAGAAACATAGCAGGATTTGAGAATATTCAAACATCAGTGAAACTGATAAAAAAAATTGACTGTTGCCCAGCATATTTACTGAAATTTAATACCTGGTTGAGGCATAATTTGAAAGAAATTATCAGAATGAGACAGATTGAAAACTTGTAATTCAAAAAGCAATGGTCAGCCTGATAGTATGAATTTATTATCTGATTTACAATATCAATATCAATATCTGAGAAAGAAATTTTTTTACCACTAATAATTATAATCAATGGTCAATCAGATCCAGTCTTCAGTGAGATGGTCCAAAATAGAGACACAACATAAGTTGAAAGACATTGCCCATACTATAGTAAAACTAAATTTGAAAGAAAAAAAGGCTGTTAACATTTAGGACATACACGAAGCTCAATCAAACTGCAAAACTCAACCCCCTAATTTGAGAAAGGAATCAGACATCCCATGTGGAACCACTGCAACGCATTCAATTTGTTAAAGATGGATATCTGTATCTACATTTGGAAAAATGTTCAGCATTGGCAGAATTTTCACGGTACTCTGGGTAGGGCAGAGTGCAAATAAATAATGAAATGTCAGTATAATTCAAGTTTTAAACTCTAACATCATCAAAGAGGTTCAGAAAAATATTTTATTTGCAGGCACATAGGTAGTATTTTGGGCTCATGGAGTGGATTATTTTCCTGGGCTTACTGGTTTCAAAGTGTTATGTGGGCTTTTACTTTAGAAACTTGGATTCACAGTCACATGATGGGGGAAGCACAAGAATTGTCTCAACTGGCTAGGACACCACTTTATTCAGGTAAAATGCACTTCAGCTATTCCAAAGCTTTCCCTGTTGACAGTTGGGAGTAAGCTTTGGAGGTACTACTGAAAGCCCAAGCCTGTCAAGCCCAAAACTTTCATTTTCCCCATCACATCTAATAATATCTTTGTTTCCATATTAATTAAAAAGTACAAACCTGCAGAAGAACCACCAGTCACAGCATCTTCAGAACCTGAGATCATTTCCGAAAGCTTCTTTCTTCTAACATCATCAAGTTTCTCCAATGACCTCTCCAGAGGTCTCATGCCAACAGACTATTAACAAAGTGAAGGAAATGATGATCAAAACCTCAACAGCAAAAGCATATTATGAAGCAGACAAGAAAATGTAATTGAAACAAGTTTTACCTTAGCTATTGCTGCCAATGCTGAAAAGGCAGCATCCCTGACTTCAGGAGTGCCATCATTTAGGCACTGCAATATGCAAATTTTAGCATTTTAAAATATCTTAGACAAACATTTACAATGTATTTTTTACAGAAACACAATTACAATAAACTGTATCCTAGAATAAACACCAGTTCAGAACTTGAACACTAAACACGATGCAAATACTAACAAATGTAATGAAGCTGTTTATTAAATCGAGTTTTGAGTGAACGTACGCCAAGAAAGAAGAGAATCAAACTGATATTTAAATAAAATAACTAAAACTGCTGGACAATATAAAAGTCATGGACTCTAAAATAGCTTCTAAATTCCACCTAAGAAACAAAACATGCTTACTAAACAAAATTAAACAGCAACAAAACAAACTGACCTCCATACAGATTGGCACATAATCCTTGTGCACCTTTGTAATAACACCCTTGTTACTAGTTTCGATACAAAATGTCACCCAGGTCAAGGATAACGATCGCACAAGAGGGACTTTGTTTTTTGTGGCAGTCTTAACATCTGCAACAGATTAAACATAATACACTCAACAAGAAGCAAACTAATACACTAAACAAGTAAACATAAAACACTAATGACAGGCTACGATACATTAAATTATAGGTCAACAAACAGAAATATACACAACAACTTGTGATAAAAATACAAACATAAAACACCAATCTAAATCATGGAGTGTTCGATATAAGTAATCAAAAAAGTAATATAAATATACAACTAAATAACAGCAGGAATTATTGAAGTTTTGTATCATGTCTTGCTGAGTATACAGAATGTAAAGGGAAAATGACACCAAAGATCCTTCGTTCTGACATCAGTGGTTAGTGATGTAGGATAGATATTATAATCTTCAGTTTTGGAACTAATAAACTTCACCAAAAAAACACCAACGTGGCCCCGGTCAAGGCCATGCAAATTCAGACTAGGTACAAAAAGAATGCTAGAGATTCTAAGATCCTTTAAATCCACTAATTAAATTCTTTAACCTATAGCCTTTCAATCAAAAAGCAAGAATGGGAAACCTGCCTTCAATAATATCTACAAGGCTGATGCATCCAGCTTTATGTATAGCTTGAAGAGTCTGTATCAATGCCTCAGCCAAAACAGGTTTTTTTTCCTTCAATTTTTCCTATTAATCAAAAGGAAACATAATAAGCAACCATTTGAAGAGTAAATTATTATTTATTGAAAGGAAAAAAAAAAGATATATTGATACAGAAAGAAAAAGTGCAAGCAATTAAAAGTTGTTGTAATTCTCTGTTGCAAACCCATATGTATGTATGTCTGTATATATACACTAAACAGAGAATTACCAATAGTTAGTTGTACCCAGTTACAACTAACAGAAATCAGAAATATCTCTAACGTAAAAAGATTACAATAGACAGCAGATAGAAATATCTCTAACATTATTTTATATATATAAATACAACTTACTATTTACTTTAAACAAACATAAAACCAATTGGCAATATGTGGAGTAGCCTAACATGTATTTAAATCATACCAAATGACATGAGGTAGACAATGTGGGACTTTCAACACGCCCCCCTCCATCGAAGCCTGCCGGACCAGGCAAAGGGTACTTTTGACCCATGACAATAACCGGAAAGATGTTAGGCTTTGGCTCTGATACCATGTTAAGGTTCCAACATAAAACCAATTGGCAATATGTGGAGTAGCCTAACATGTATTTAAATCATACCAAATGACATGAGGTAGACAATGTGGGACTTTCAACAACTTTAAACAAAAATTTCCATAAATAGTCTCATGTTAACACCTCTAAAGGCATTTAAAACAGAAAGAATCAACCTTGTCCAAGCCGAAATCAATTACTACTTAAAAATACACAGCAGTAAGAGAAATGTAAGGTGATGAGCAGTTCAAAACAGAAAATGACTTGATTGCATTTACATGGAAGGAATACACATTAAATACTACCGGTACAAGTAACAACTAACCAATGAAGATTATAAAGTTCATAAACCCAAAAGTAAAAAGAATTCAATTGTTAAACCCTTGTACATAAGCTGTAGGATAGTACTTACAAGCAAAACAGGCAATAAAAAACGAGAACTTGCAGAAAAATGAGTTCTTAACCCACGAGCAAGATTGCCAATAGCCTGAACAGCTTCAACTGCAACAGCTATATTCACATCTGTAATAAGCTGCAAGCACAATCCACCAGTTAAACTTTTGTTATCCAAAAGAAGAAACAACAAAATGCAATGTCAAGCCAACTACGTTCAAGATCACGAAACCCATGGTTCACATAAACAATTAAACATCAGACTGAGAAAAGAACAAAATGCACCACTGTCAATTTCAAGGCCACGTCATTTCCATAAAACACAAATATGTACACCATACCTTCTTTAAGGTTCGACAAACTTCAGAGAAATCACCAGGAGAAATCCTTTTAGTTGATGCAAGCTTTGTTAGCTCAGCAACAGCTTCCTTCCTTTCAGACCATTTGGTGGCTTTCTGGGGATTAATAAGACAAAAAGTAAACATCGAACTGAGACAGATTACAAGCATATAACAACAGTAAAGGTGCAATAGTTACTGAGTACAATCTGAGAAATGGAGCAAAAAACTGACCACTCCATCCCAAAATCCTGATTTCTCCAAAGGAGTCAATATATCAACAGGATCAACAAGTTCATATTCATCAATTTCCTGAGGAGCTGATTATCAAAGCATTTGACAACCAAGAAAAGGCATACATTAGTACTACCGATAAACACAACAATGTCTGAGAAAATGAAAAACATAGCCAACATACAAAATTGTGCATACCATCATTTCCAGAATCTTCAGTAGGGCCAGGACCCACAACCTCTGACACAGCCTCCGGTTCAGGTTCCTTGTCTTGCTCAGATCTAAAACATGAAAGAATATTTTCTTATGGGTAATGCCTATACATGTTTTGTATCAATATATTGAACATAAAAAAAAATCCACACCGGTGGTATAACCATCAGGTTTGTTTGATGAAAGTTGGCCATAGTCCAGTGGAAAATGCCATCTTTTGTTAGTAAAACCAAATGAAACATGTCAAAATCAGGAACTACAACCTAGAATTATATCAAATATTTGACTTCAGAAAATTGATATGTTCACAACAAAAATGCTTTTAGCAGAACTCAAAAATGCTCCATATATTTTGGTGGTATAAAATTTGCATTGTAACCTCAGAACATCTATTATTCACTCCAACAAATCACTTATCACTTGCAAAAAGAAAATATAATAATATATGTATAAATTCAGATCTATAGTTATAAACCATTTCAAGGTTTTGAACAAACAATAGAAAAATGGGAAGTTCGGGGCAATATAAGCCAGAATAAAGCAAAACCTAAAACTGGAAACAAAGCTTCAAAAACCAATTTAAAACAAAACACACAAATAGACAATTCCAAAAAAACTAGGAACCAAACAATTACAAAATAAAAGGATGAAGCAAAAAGAATATGGATGCACATAAGTTATTCATGCCCCAGTAAGTATGGAAAATATCCTATCATTGTATCGAACACTCGGTGTGGAGAAATTCAAAACAAAAGAATCTAAAATCAGACATCCACCTTATTTTACGGGTTGGCTTTGCTGTTCCTGTAACATTTACAAGTTCTGCTTCTAGCTCTTTTTTCTACAGAAATAGGGAAAAAAGTTTCTGTATGATTTCTTTATAGATGATAAAATAATAAAACAAAACAACAACAAAAAATAGACAACCAATTAACTTACCATCGTGTCTCTCATTTTCTCAAACAAAATTGACTTTACACTATCTTTACCAATCCAACGGCAAAGTTCAAGAGTCAACCCTTTAGAGCACGCACGAACATTTTGATCTTGATGATCAAATAGTTCTGGAAGCATCTTCAATATTCTTTTTGGCGGCACAATTTTCGCTCCAAATTCACTAGCAGCATAGAAAATAATAATTCTATAAAATTCATAAAAGATAACAGCTATTATAGATATTGCAACAAAGAGATTTCAAACCTCAAAGCTTGAAACATAACATCAATTGCAGGTACCACTGCTTTAGCAACTTTGTTTTTTATTGCTTTCTCCATTGCATCCTAAAATTACCAAAAGCCTTGAGAAAATATAGGAAAGGAATAATATGGGAAGTAGACATGAAGTTATTAATATAGGAAAGGAAACCAAAACTATTTGAAATCAACAGTTTGGGATAACAAACACTGAAATTAAAACATATAATTAGACCAATACAACAATTTCATTGGGTTTTTCAACAAACAATTAGCACTTTTCTGAATGTAACATACCATAAATTATTTTTCATAGAAATTAGAAAAAAAAACACATTAAAATACCGCTAGATCCTCATTAGTGGAGGGGCATAAGTAACCTCATGCAGATTAAACTTTTGCATACTAAAATTACCAATTGATATATAGAAGAAACAGGAATATGAAGAAAAAGACTAGTAGTAGATGAACTGCTATTGACTAGTCAAATCCAAAGAAAATTCACTATGTAAAAAAAATTACAAAATTGGTAATAATGAAAATGGAAAACAAGGTTAATTGAAATAAAAAACAGTTTGAAGGATCAAACCGCGAAAAATATAAAACAAATGGACCCCTAAATAATATATATTTCATTATTAATTGATTATATTTTTTGCATATACCAACCCTCAATAAATTAAAAAAAAAAAAAATAACACTCGATCTTAGTGGAGGATTCAATTCCTAAACTTGCATGAGTGTATCTAAAAATAATATTAAACAACAATAACCAGTAAAAGTCAAATAATTATTTCAGTAAACATGACAAAATACAGAATAAAAATTTTGCAAAAGAAAAAACAACTGCCTGAGGTAAACCATTCATTCAATCAAAACTGAAGGAAGACATCAAGATTACAATTTCTATAAACTATAACTAAAGCCCCGGAATCCAGTATTGTTAAAACAGCACCCTAAGCCAACCAATTATTGAGAGATAGAGGGAGGAAGTTTGCCATTGCCCAGTGGCTCCAAAGAAAGATAAAAATCGAAAGAATCATACAGACTAACATATATCAAACGCTGTCTCCACTACTAAACAAACTAAGAGGCAATAACTAATCCCTTTAAACATTATCCCCTCATGTATAATATAACTGACAGATAGCAACCAAGATACAATTCAGTATGCCAAATAACTGGAAAAAGCAATAGGCACTGTGATTAGGAGGACTACTTGAAGATTCTTATTATATCCGTTATCATCGACAACACAAGTTTAAATTAACGACATAAACAGAACAGACATCACTACTGAAACAAAAATGCATGAGCAATCTCTATTCAGCTAGACACAAAAGACAACCCCTCCCATACAAACAGAAGTAGAAAGATATTCAACATCAAAAAAGTCAAATAAATAGTACCAGAAACGCATCCACGGCCTCTAGTTCCACCCATAGCAAAAACACTGCTTGAGCCTTCTCCACCGTTTTCGGCCTTCCCGTCAGACATTTAGCCACAACCGCATCACAGACCTCCTTCCCATACCTACTCCGAAATTCAAATTCAAATTTAAATTCAAACAGGAACGGTAACTTCTTCAAAACAAAAACATGCGAAAAATTACAAATCTAACAAACAAAACAACGGAATCCTCACCTCCCGGCGTCGGCATCCGCAGCTCGCAAATAAGCAATCAACGCATCCAGCGCCTTCTCCTGCACCGGCGCATTCGAATCCGCCACCGTCTTCTTGAAAAAATGACCTGCCAAATTAAAAAAAAAAAAACACAAGGAACGAAACCACGCATAAGATCCAAACGGAAATGCACCTTAACAAATAACAAGTCGGTAGAGAACCGCATCCAGATCCACCATACAGAGATCGGGAAGCGAATCGCAAAACGTAAAAACCCTAGGCGAAGAGCAAAAGAAAACACCGACCGAATTCGCGGATGCGAGAGTCCTTAGGATCGGTGATGGAGTCGCAGAGCGAAGCCAAATCGATGTTCGCCTCGTTGCGCACTTTCCAATTCTTGTGGAAGAGACGATCCTCCCATGGCAACTTCTTGGCTTCCTTCAACAACTTCTCTTCCTCCGACATTGTTGCTTCTCTTCTAGCAAACTACTATCCGCACGTTTCAACCCTATCGATCTCCACCAAATCCTATAGAGAGAAATAAGAGAGTGCGTGGTTGTTCGCGTGTGTGTTCGGTGGTATTTTGGTTTGCGGCATGTGCCGGCGAGAGGGAATGGGGGGAAAATGTAGAAGAAAACGGTGAATGAGCGTGCATAAAGCTTTTTTATATTTGCTTCAAAAACACAACAGAGAGAGAAAGAGGGGTTTTTTTGTTTTGGATTTTTTCCTTTATTTATTAATTTAGTTTTTCGTCACTTGGGACGGGGATGGTGGTATATTGGTATTTACGTTTTTCTTACCCACGGTCCTTTCGGGCGCGTGGACACATACGCCAATTTTGAATTGAGATCTTCCTCACAAGTCACACGTCAGCATCACTTTACGAGATTGGGTTACGTTGTTATCTCGTGTTATCCTTGGAGTGAAATAAAGAAAATAAACAACAAGCATTACAATTTGAGTAATTATATCTTATATTCCTCTTTATATTTTCTATTGTTTTGTTTCATTATTTAAACAAAAAATTATCTTCTCGGGTAAATAGTAAAAAATAATATTTATATATATATATATATGTTATAGAATAAAAACTTTTAAAGTTTATAAAAAAAATTGCGAATATTAAAAAATATTATAATTAAAATTCATATTAAATCATTTTTTAATGTATAAATTATATTTTTGGATTTAGAGTGATAATTTAAACGCTGACATGTTTTTCACCATCAATATTTTTGAAAATTAATTAAAGTTCTAGGAATAAAATTTATAAAATTATATGTTTGTCTCTAAAAGAAAGAATCATAAAAATAATATATTTAAAAAGTAAATTTATTTAAATAAAATTTATATAAATTTATTTATTTATTTAAATAGTAGTGTTTACTGTTTATTGATCATTATTGATTGAAAATTATATGGTATGTTGAATAAAAAGTTTTGTTCTTATATTTTTTATCTATTTATATTATATAAATATCTATTGTTATAAATTCTTGTTTATTATCTTTATTAATCTTATTAAAAAAAGTTTCTATAGAAACGATCAATCATATATAAATAAGGGAATTTTCTCTTTTTTATTATGTTATTCAAAAAATATTCAATTTTTATTGTTTCTCTTTTCTATTTTCCTAAATGAAACTAATATATTTTTAGGAAAACTAATATATTAAAAGATATGTTAAAATAAATATTTTAAAAACAATATTAAAATAAAATAATAATAATTAATTATTTAAAATTATAATGACAAAATATAATTTTATTTATTTTAACAATAAATAATTTTAAAATATTTTATCATAATAAATAATTATTTATTTAATTAAAAAATATCAAATATTTAAAAATTAAATATTTTTTTTAATAATTACATCTAGTTATAATAACTTATAATTAATTAGATTATGTAATTTAAAAAAATATTTATTAAAAAATAATTTTAAATAAATATTTATTTTTTTCTTAATAAATATAACATTATTTGTAATATTTTAAATGTATCATCTAATATTTATAAAATATAATATATTAAATTATAATATTTTTAAATTATTTAAATATTTTTATTTTTTTAAATAATAAAAAACTTGTATTATCAAATTTTAATCTATTATTTTTAATTTAAGAATAAAAGGTAATAAATAAAGATAGAGAAAAATAAAAAAATAAGAAAGGAAAGTATATGTATTATATTAAATTAATCTATTTTTTATAATTAAATTTTATGTGTGAATAATAAATCAGTCTAATTGGATAAATAAATCTATAAAAATTTTATTTAATTAATTTTTATTTTTAAATATACCATTTATCTTAATTCTGCGTTACCAAAATTTTCTTATTTAAAAATTTAAAATATCTCTGAATATAACATATCTTAAAAATAATAAATCAATGTTTTATTTTTTCAAACTCCAACCAACCTTTTTAAGGGATGTTTTGTACAAGCTACATTTATTTATAGTCTCAAATTATGAATAAACACAAACACAATTGTTTATTTCTCATGGGTTTTCTTTTTCAGAGATTGTTGGTTTTAGACTATTTGGTTGTAGAGCAAAATGAAATAGTAATAATGAAAAAAAAACATTTTAACATTTATTTTATTTTATCGTTGGTGTTAAAAATACTTAGAAAAAGGTCACTTCGCATAATATATATTTCGTTTTGTATGACACTAATTTAGTTGAAAATATATTAAATTTATTTTTATTAAGTTATACAATATTAAAGTACTTAGTGACCCATTATTTGATTTTGAAATCTATTTTTAAACTTATGAAGAAAAAAACTGTAAAAGTATGTGATAGAAATATTGCAGTATGTAACCTAAACTTGTATTTTGTTTTTGAAGGAAGAGAAATATTCTTCTTTTGTCCCTATTCCTGCTCAATTATTTTTTTCCTAAATCAACCAAAACATGAACTTAACAATTACCTGGTTGTTTTTACGTTTTTGAATATCACGTCAATAGAATTTCAAATTGTAACATTATTTAAATATAAACTTAATCAGTTTAGTCAATAAAAATATAAGTATTTTTTAATCATTTTTTAAAATTTAATTTATACGAAATTGATTTTGATAATTTTTGAATAAATCGTATTTATTTTTGCAGACCATTATCTCAAGAATGCTTAACTTTCAAAACAGGAAAAACAGCACCATTCAACTCAAGTTACTCAACTGACAAGCACGACGCCACGTGTGCGAAAAAAATATTAAATTTAAACAGAAATACATGTTGGTTGGTTAGATATAAGAAAAGTGGTAAATTTATAGTCACAATATAATACCTATTTATTGGCAGCAGTTCATGAAGTTTTGGAGGGAGTGCGATGGATGGCGTGAGAGTGAATCGCGAGGAAGGCGCGTGGGATGAGAAAGGGTATGAATGATTTTGGTGGTACTTTAGTTGGGCCGGTTTTATGAAATTTACATCTGGAGTGAGTGAGTGAGCGAGCGAAAGGGTCGCCAACGGGTCTATGGAGCGGCGAGAGAGACACCAAACTTGTTTTAAATCATTTTTATTATTTTAACATTTTTTTATCATTAATAGTTATTTATTTTAAACATACCAATTGATAAATGGGTGATTAATAAAGTTTATCATACTCTATATCTATTTATTATATTATCATATAATAAATGATAAATTGAATAGTTTCAGAGTATTGATTTGTGAAATAATTAATATTTATTGAATGGTGAAATGTATGGCAATGCTAAATCATAATGATTTATAAAAATGTGATGTGATAAAATGATGACTATGTATATATATTTTCTAGTTTTATTTTTGTGAGGTGGAGTTGTCAGTTGAAAAGCCAGTGTTATCTTCTCACGGGAAAGCAACTCCTTCCCCTGTTTCAAAAAGCCATCCCATACCTACTTCCAAAATTTAAACTCCCATTGTAGAGACCCCGTTTGGGTTCCATTATATCCAAAAAAACAATACAGATTCACTGTTCAAACCAATCATTTAATCATAAATGCTACAAAATCAATTTCATATGGGTTTAAATTTCATATACTGGTTAATTCATAGAAAATGGTGTAATATAGTAAGCTTACTGATATGATTTTTTTTTAAATATATAGAAATTAGATAAATAGTATTTTGTAGTATGGTTTCGGGAAAAACAGATTATTCTATTAAATAGATTTTTAAAAAAAGTCGTAATAAGTCTCCATAATAGTTTATTTTTTCATAGAACATAAATTATGTCAGATAAGAGGACTTTAATTTGTTAATTAATTTTTAAAAAAGTCATATTATATAATGTAATTTATTTATTTATTTGTTTTTTTTTCTAATTGAAACATTACTGTCATCTTATATGATACACATTTTTTTATTTACCTTTAATTGTAGTTTATAGGTTATGTTATTAAAATTGGTTATATATATTTTTAAATATACATAATTCAGTTATTGAAAAAAAAGATAAAATATAAAATATTTTTGTGTTAACTAGAAGTAATGAAAATACATTATCAGAAAAATAAAAATATTAGAAATTTCTGATTTATAAGAACAATTATAATGATTATATTTATATATAAATAATGTTTTGTTATTTATTTATTTTGATATATGCTAACAGTGATAGACTTTTCTTAACGTTATTGATGCATTTTTCTTAACGTTATATAACCTTGATCAATACATCATAACTTTGTTTTTTCGAATGTAGAGCATAATATATATATAGAGAGAGAGGGGTAAGACTCGTTTAAGGCAAAGATCCATGCATTTGGTGATATTAGTCATTAATATCGATCATAGGGAGCTTAAAATTCATTTGATGTATATTTTATTATCATAAGATCTTATTATTATATTAAGTTGCCCTGTCATATTACTGATATGTTTTACCACATTACCGAAGACACCACCACTATAATACTCATTATCATATCAGCTTGTCTATACAACCTTATGAGCATGTAAATAACAAACAAGATAACAACCATCATGATATCATATAAAAGAGAATATCAATCAATACCACACATGATTATATATGTAATAAGGTCAAATAAAAAAGATACAAACTCTCACTACTAAATTTTTTTTTCATTTAATGTATTTTTTATTTATATAATTTAAATTTTATTTAATTTACCAAAATTTACATATTTATTAATCAACATGTATTTAAATTCAATTATATGAAATAAAAATTGAAATAAGATTTAAAATCAAAATGCCAAAGAAAAACTAAATAACCTAAACTCGTGCAACTTCTAACTACAATATATATATAATCAAATTGTAATCACATATAGTATAAATTATAATTTAAAATAAAATAAGAACACTAAAATCATATCATAAGACCACTTTACTATTTTTATTAAATAAATTATAAAAATAATGAATTTATATAATGTAACACTATTTTTAAAAAGCAATTAAACAAATTAAAATTATTGATACAACTGCTTTTGTTAAAAAATAAATTAATAATCATAAAATCATGTTAGGATTTGCAAAAGAAAAAAATATAACTTCGATATATAAATGATATTGTAAAAATAATGATATTATCAAATATATTAAACATTAACAAAATATATATATATATATATATATATATATATATATATATATATATATATATATATATATGTGTGTGTGTGTGTGTGTGTGGTTTTATACTATAAATTAATTATAAATTTGTGTTAAGAACTCGAAATAAAAACTTAGTTATCTTTTTCTAAATTTTATTTGTAAATTGAATTGAAATTTTTTTTTATTAAAACTGTTCCCATCGTATGGAATTTTTATTTTATTTTTTGAAATTCAAATCCCATTTTATCACCATTTTTTAAAAATGTATTGGTAAGTTAAATACAATCTTAAACATCAATGTACGACATACCAATGATTAGGAGGTGACATACAATTGGTTAGGCGTGAGTTCAAAATCAACTTTTTGATATTTTATTATCGTTATATTCAAGTTCACTTATATTAATCATTCGATATTTAATTATCTTGAATTTATTATCGCATTATCAATAACAAAATATTATAAATATTATAAGAGAAATTAAAACTAACAAATATTGCACTTGATTAAAATTAAAATTAACACATAATTTATTAATAATGAAATATAAATCATAAATAAAGAAAATTTTAACATGTTGCTTGATTCAAGTAAAGAAAGTATCAACCTAGGAATTTCGTGCTCACCAAACATGAATCTAAATAATCACATGAAACCCACTACTTAATGAATTCATCGAGAAATATCTAAATGAGGTGTCTCCTACATTTATCATAATGATGTTATGGATGTTTACGAGAAGACATGGCATCTCTTTGTTATTGTCCAACAGGAGTAATTTGACACATGAGTGCCTACATTTGAGCAACATAATTCATAAAACGGTTATCGTGACCCCTTGTTTAGTCACCCTTTCTCGTCATTTTTTGTGTACCTGCTATGTGTCAATACTACCTCGTATTTTTTCTCCATCATGATTTCATTTTCTTTATTTTATGTATAGTTAGATGTTTTTTTTGTTATGTAGGTGTTATTTTCTTATTCTTTTGATTTGAATTTGTTTCTCTTGCAAAATAAAAAATAAAAACACTATGAATTTTTGAAATCTTAAGTTTTTGTTATTATTTTTCAGTCTTTTTTTTTTTAGATTTTCAAGCGTCGCTACATGTTGTTAGCACTTTCTCTGCTAGTGTCTTATTCTCCAATGCCTTCATATTAGCCTCGCGTTCAGCCGACGTCTCCTCTGGAGCTTCGCGTGTCACCAGCGTCTCTTCCATTCTACAACATCGTATGTCCCCGGAGCATCCTCCACGACTTTGTGTGTCACCATTAAAAAGAATGACAGTACATACAAAAATGCAAACAAATGAATCACTATAAATTATCGATTTTATTTATAACTGATGATATATTCTACATTATCTGATTTTCCATCAGTTCCTGAATTGAAATAAAATGCGTAAATTAATCTATGTAAACAATATTATTCCATAATGTTTTTTGTTTTGTTTTTTAATTATGTTTGGTGAGTGGACTTGGTTCGTAGGTGTTGGAATACCCTCAGCTCTCGTATCTGGATGATGGTTAAGCTTGTTCTTTGTTTGGTATTGGTACGGTAGCATTTTATATAGGAACGTTGATGAAAAAAAAAAATGCATGGAAATTTCTTATAATGCCTCATTGATTGAAGAAATTTCTTTTAAATCATCAATAATTTTATAAAAGTCAAGAAACCAAGGAACCAAAAAACAAGAAAAAAGAAATCAAGAATGAAAGAAACCAAAAAACGAAGAACAAAGAATTGAGAAGAATGCACACGAAATTAGAGAAACAACAAATGTGTTCGCTGGCTCAACCATTTATGAACTTACGGTAAGAGTAACAAAAGAATTTTGGAAAAGATGTAGTACCACACCTCTTTGAACGGAAAAATTTGTTTCTAAAATTAAAATCATTTTTAGTCATCAATAATTTTATAAAAAGATCAAGGAATCAAGTGCTAAGAAACCAAGAACCAAGAATGAAAAAACAAAAAAGAATCAATAATGCAGAAAATCAAGAAACCAAAATCCAAAAACTTAAGAACCAAGAAGCAATAATTTAAAATATTATAGAAGAAATTCAAGAAGCAACACATATAACGATCGGATCAACCATTTATGAACGGAGCGAGAGTAACTAAAGAATTTCATAAAAGATACATAACCTACATGCCTCAATTAATGAAGAAATATGTTTTTAAAAATAAAAACTGTTTTAGTCATCAACAGTTTTACAAAAATCAGGGAATCAAGGAACCAATAACAAGAAAGAAACAAGAATACAAGAACTAAGAACCAAAAATTAAGAACCACGAAACCTAGAAAAAAAAGTTAAGAACCAAAAACCAAGAATTTAGAAGATGGCACAATAAATTAGAGAAGTAATAAATATAGTCACTGGATCAACTATTTATGCAACTTGCAACCCGTCTAACTAAAGAATTTTTTTTTTTAAATTATCATACCAAATGAGCGAAGAAATTTGTTCTTAAAAATAAAAGCTTTTCTAGTCGTCAATAACTTTATAAAATCAAAATAGTCCAGACTTAATATCATAAAAGCAATACTATTTAAAGGTAAATTTATAAATAACCACACAAATACGTCATAGTATCAGTTTGTTAGAAACCGTTGGAGTAATGTTAATGTCAAAGATTTCTAATAAAATGATTTTAATTATCCAATTTTTGTCTATCTTTTTAAGCTAGGAATATAATATTAAAATTTGTCATACTAAAATTACATAATTATAATATATAAAGAAATAGAAATATAATTATGTTAAAAGATTATATAATCAATTTATTAAAAATTAGTTTTAAGTTAATTTTAAAGATAATTATTAGAAAAGATGACAAATTATTATAAAGAGATGATTGGTGATTGGATTTCACTATAAAATTTGTCTAGACTGTTATCGCATATCCTGCTTTCCGATTTTATGTTTGTGTCACTGTCGGTGTTGCATCGCGTGTGGTGGTGGACTATGGACGCCAACACAGAAAAGAAAAGACAAGGACCAGATCGGTACGTGTAACTTCTACGGAGGGAACGGCGCAACACTAACATGACCCTCTGTCCTCCTTCTATTGCCAATGCTTCCTCACACCTTGTCTTCACTTCTCCCACTGCAGGGTAGGTTCTCTCTTTGTCATTTTGCTTACCATGTCTTAACAATAATTATAAACCTCTTTAATTTTTCACTAACCTACCTAACTCCTATCACCATCATAGCTCCATGTGGTTGCAAATAAATTGAATCTATCACCTTTTTCCTCTCATCTTTTACCTTCTTCCTTTAATTAGAGCTGATTTCCCAGCCAGGATTATCATCGATTTTACAACAAAGTCCACCTTCATTTCAAATGCTTGTATGACTTTGCATCAATACTCACCAAATGCCCTTTTTGTTTTTTTTTTTGTGGGGAAGGGGGGTGGATCTCCTCTGACCATGGTTTTCATATGAAATTTTGGATGCTATCCTAATAATAAGCTTTTTTCTTTTTGTCCCTGGTCTTCCATGTTCGTAATTGTATTGTGAATACAAGTCTATGGACTTTCACGCATCACAAGTTTGCATTTGATTAATTTCCTATATTGTTTTATTTATTGGAGAGACAACTTGTGTGTAGTAGAGTTATGAGTATTGGTCACTTTCTGATTAAGGATTGATGTGATCAATTTTTCATTGGGGGTTACAATATACTCATGATTTTGTTTAACAATATGAAATATGTATAAAGATAAGGATAAGGGATGTAGGGAGGAACAATAGCATGTTAAGGGCGCTTGAATGCTTCTCCAATTTCCAACCTTAAGGTTTTAATTTCTGCGTGTAGGTTTCATGTCATGGTTGTAATGCTTCTTAATTGGTTTTTCTGTCTCTGGGACTCTGTAGAATCAACCTTAATGATCTATCACAAGTGAAAAAACCTAATAGAGTTTTTATTAGATATGGTACAATAGTTTTGATATTCATAGCCATTTGTTCTTTGTCGCCCTGTTGTTTGGACTTGGGCCTCATTGTGTAGGCTGTGTTGTTTGTGGTGTGTAGGGAAATCGGTTTTGCTAGGCTTTCATGATTTCTAATTTTCCATTGAAAGGTTTATATGTGGAAGACAAGTGCATTGTTTGCCATAGTCTGACTTTTTCAATCAGAATATCAAGCAGTTTAAAAAGTAGATTTCTGTATCATGAGATAATATTCTTCACCTTCATTCACCATGATATTCAGTGCGTGGCTTGTTCAAGGGAACTTTACTAGTTATATTTGGCGGGAGTAAGGGACCACGGCCGTAGTTTTTATTTATTAAGCTGGAGTTTCCCTTGTATTATATTTTGTTCTCTCTCAAAAGAGTATTGCTTGCCTACTATCATGTAATTTGTTTCTTCATCTGTCCTTAGTGGGGAATTGTTACTTAAAAATAATGGTCCATATTTGTTTATTTGCATCTTGCTTCCCTTATTCTCATTGAGTTCACTGCATCACCTTTTAAATTTTATAGTGTACTTTAATCATAGTCTATAACAGCCTACTGATTGAAGGTACCATGTTTGTGTGACTCTATCAACACAGGTTCCAACCTAGGTAAAGAGCTGTGTATAAAATTGGAGATTAGAAGTATAGATTATGCCTTTTAAGAAAAAGAGTCCTCAGCTGCCAATGGTTTTTCCTGTCTTAAAATCTGTATACTGCATAAGCTGCTAAATATATCCAAGGTGGAGTTTTTATGACTTAGGTTATTTACTATTTAGCAGAGATAGGGAATGATTTTCGGATAAATGGAGAAACAATTCATTGATAGTTAATGCTACCCGAGTTTGAATATTTGATAAATTCTAAAAGAATGTTGGTAAAGTAGTATAATAGTTTTTACAAGGCTCTTAAAGTTCATATCTTGAAGAAACAGTTCATTGATAGTTAATTCTACCCGAGTTTGAATATTTGATAAATTCTAAAATAATGTTGGTAAAGTAGTATAATAGTTTTTACAAGTCTCTTAAAGTTCATATCTTGGATATACCTTTGTTTCTCTTATTTGCCTTTTTTGTCAATTGAGATTAGTTTGTTACAAGAAAGATGTTTGATCGAGACAGTCTTTTTTTCTGAATCATTTTCCATGTTTTTATCATTTATCTAACTTTGCCTGATGTCCTTCTTTGCTGTTTTTTCTTGTTTCATGTTTTCTACTTCCCTTGGACTTTCCAGTTCTGTTAAAACCATGGTTGGTATAGAGGCTTCTAATTTGGCATGTTTGTTGGGCTCTCTAGACTCCTTTCATAAATAATTCCTCTTTGGTTCATGGCCAATAAATATATAAAAATCCTCCTTAGTTTAGTCAAGCTATATATCCCCATTCTTTTACTGCCACAACAACAACTTCCTCTTTGGATGCTAATATATACACGTCTCTCCTCCATTCAATTCCTTTTTATTTAATTTTCTTCTCCATAATTGTTCATTTATGTCATGTTTCCTTTTGTTTCTGTTGGGTCCCATTACCAAGTTCAACTTTACTACTGTATTTTCTTCAAATCGAACACATAAATGGTGCAACAATTTTTTGATATTTTTCAATAGTTTTAGCTTAATATTGCCAGGGAGGGAAATTTATACGGAATTCACTCATATATGTTAGTTAAAATTTTGTGGTCAAACATAATGAAGCTTACTATCTTAAATCCTATGCCTGAATCATGTGGAATCATTTCAGTTCAAAATTACATTCTCATCATAACTGAACAGCCAAAATAAACGTTAACATAATATGCTTTAGAAAAAAATTACACATTGAGTCTGATGCTGACTGCAGCAATTAAATATACCCAGTGTATTTCTTTTCAGAATGTACATATTGTTGTGTGTGTATTGTCTATTTCATTGAAACTGTTAATATGCTTTGACACTCTTGAGGATTTGGATCACAGAATGAAATGAATCAATCTAGAGGTTGGGTAAATTTGCCTTATGTATGAGCTAACATCGTTGGGTGAACTTGTTACTCTCTTGTTTTTTCCCTAGTTATTTAGTTTTGTTTCTTTCTTGGACAACACCAATGATGAATTATGCTTTTACTCTAGGAAGATGCGTGAATTCTCCATCGTTGATGGTTTTGTTGAGATAAGTGAATGCATAGCAGAGATGACCAAGTACGTGGGTAATGAACCATCTGTTGGGCTTTTCTTTATCCAACAGCATGCCCAAAACGCAGTGCCCAATGTCATCGAAGTTAAGAAAAATGTTGCCGAGAAGTCTCATGAAACAGCTTTGCACACAGAAGATTTGGAGGACTCTGTCGCAGTGGTTCGATCAATGAAAGAGCACGGGTTTCCCATAGCTGATAAGATGGTTGGAGAGATTAAAAAATCTCTTAAAACTATGGCAACAAAACAGCCGAAAAGAGGGTTGATTAGTCCATTATCACGTTCTTATTCTGAAAGAGCTAGTTTTTATGCTGAGAAGGGCAACGAAAAAAAGAGTAACTATGTTTCAAATGTTTTGAAGTCAGCGAAACAGAAGGCTAGCAGCTTCAAGTGGCGACAGCTTGATACTCGGGGGTCGATAGATTCCATGGATGAAAAGCAACAGATGTACCCTAATTTGCCATTGTCAGTCTCATCTAAAAGCATTACTTCATCTTTTTGGGCTGCCGAAACTGATGAGTTGCCTGTAGCAAGCCAAGTTGAAGATGAGTCTCTACATGAACAACCTGATGTTAGTGATGTTAGCATTAATTTATTGTCAGTATCATCAGATAGATATGATGACTTCAAAGCTAGTAAAGTAGCTAAACTAGAGAAGTGGCTGGATGGAGCTGGCAACCTTGATGATAATTGCGGTACAGGTGATGAAAAAAGCTTGGCTACACTTCAATAAAATGCTTCGCCCGTAAATGCTGTTGTGCAATATCAACTTTCTTTGAATATTGTTTATAAATAAAATGATTTAGAGTTGTTCTTTATAGTTTAAACAAATATGATACTGTACGGGATTTGGTCAGATATGACTTTGTATTCTTCTACCTTGGGAATTTCAATATTTATTATGTCAACCGAGGTAAGAGGAGTATTTCATGAATGATGAGAAAATAAGACTTGAGAGTAGTTAAATGCTTAGTTTGAGTTTTATGATGGCATGGAAGGTGCTTTATGAAAATATAATGGTTGATTACGAACCTAAAGAAAATAGAATGGCGAGCCAAACATCGAATGGGTTTACATTAGACTGATTACTGTCTATAGGGACTACTATGTGAAAAGTTGGGAATGTAGGTTTATTTTTTGTAAAATGCTTATTGAAATCAACGAAATAGGTTGTCCTTGCACTTGGGGATAATCATGTTCAATTGCATAGCTTTTTTGTTTTTCTCCCGTCAAAGTGGCATTGAGGTTAACTGAACATGTATGGTAGAAACAAGCATTGCAATGGAGTGTTAGCTAGTGATTTCGTACACTAGCATACACGGTAAGACTAATCTTAACAAATCTGAATAAACAGTGGATGTGCAAAGACAAATGTGTCAATGAATGCTTGAATGAAATAAACTGAATCAATCACATGTTATTGTCCTACGTATTAGGAGTAAATTTTGTACTAGTACTAACAAATATCTAACAAACAAAATAATAAACTAAAAAAAAAAATTTGGCAATTCCCTCCTTAAACTAATGCATCTATACTAGTTATTCTAATCATAATCCGAAGTCTTTCAAACTGGTTTAGCTTTAGAGGTTATGTCATAATGTTTGCTAGTTGATCTTGAGAGTTACAAAAATGTAGACTGTTCCATCATTTATCAAGTATCAAAGAAGATAAAATCGTATATCGATATGTTTGTTTTTCCTATAAAACATTGAGTGTTTGGATAATTGTATTGTATAGTTGTTATTACATAAAATTTCAACTTTAGTTATATCCTTAAGTTTAATTTGTTATAGCAATATGCTCAGCCAAACATACTGACAAAGCACATAGAGTTGTTGTCATATATTTCGTCTTTATTGTGGACAAAATTATCACATTTTGTTTCTTGGATATCTAATAAATGGCTCATGTCCGTAGCATAAACACATATCCACAAGTGTTTTTTCTATCATCCAAGTCTCAAGCGTAATCATTATCTGAAAATGCTAGTAGTCTTAAACTGCTAGTCCCCTTCTTATACTAGATTCCAAAACTGGTTGTATTTCTAATATACTACAAGATCCGTTTTGCTGTCAACCAATGTGTTGTAGTAGGATTAGTCATGAATCTGCTAAGTAAACTCACCATGTACATCACATAAAGTCTGGTGGCAGTTAAATAAATCAGACTCTCAACTAGGTGTTTAAACAAAGTGTCTTCAACACCTCTTTCCCCTATATACTTTGACGGCCAAGTCCCTGGCTCCATAAGATTCTTCACAACATTGCTGTCTTGCATTCCAAAATGGGATAAAACTTCAAGTGCATATCTTCTTTGACAAACAAAGATTCCAGTCAAATATTTGTTTATCCTCAATGCGAAGAAAGTGACTCATTATTCCCAAATAAGACATGTCAAAATGAGCCATCATGGATTGCTTAAACTCCTCACACATAATTCCATCATTCCAAGTGAATATCAAATCAACAACATATAAACTGACAATTATGATTTTACCTTCTTGTGATCGAGTGAACAATGTGTATTCACTAGATAATTTCTCAAATTGTTCTTGTGCAAAGTAGGTTTCAATTTTGTGATACCAAGCTCAAGGTGCCTGTTTGAGGTCATACAATACTTTCTTCAATTGATATACCTTCTATTCTTCCCTTTTCTTGATGAAACCTTCAGGTTGTAGGACAAAGACATCAAGTTCTCCATGAAGAAAGACACTCTTGCATCAAGTTGAAACACCTTTCAACTAAATTGAGCAGTAGTAGCCAAAATCAATATAATAGTATCCAATATAGCAACTGGAACAAAAACTTCCATGTAATCAATTCCATGTCTTTGTGCATACCCCTTTGCTACAAGCCTTGCCTTGTGCTTTTATACTTTCCCTTTAACATTTAATTATGTCTTAAAAGCCCATTTGACTTAAATTGGTGTAACTCCATCCGGTAGTAACGTGAGTTTCCATGTATGATTCTTCTCTATAGCTTATATTTCTTTGATCATGACTTCTCTCCAATGTTTACTCCTTGCGACTTTTCCAAATGATACAGGGTCATTCTCGATAATTAGCATTATTGCCAAATTTTCTTCTTCTAACAGTCCTGCACCCGTGTCATAGTCTGCCAACCACCTTGGTGCACTCCTTGCTCGTGCACCCCTCCCTTAAGATAAACTTGGTGAAGTACTGTCCAAGCTTGTGCTACTCCTTTCCTCATTGTTATCAGCACCAACTCTTGTTGTTGTTGTTGTTGCAGTATCATCTGTATCTTCATATATCACTTCTTATTGCTGATTTTGTAGCTCCAATTTGTTTCAATCTTCTCCTCCTCCTCAAATATTACGTCTCTATTAATGATCACAATTTTTGTGAATGGATCATATAACCTCCATGCTTGAGACTCATCACTAACTTTCAGAAAAATGCATTTTTTGCTTTTGTCATCCAGCTTCACTCTATTCTAGTTTGGGACATGTGCATGAGTTACACACTCAAAGACTCTGAAATACTCCACCACTGGTTTTTTGCCAGTCTAGGCTTCTTCTGGAGTAACATCCTCTACAGCTCTTGTTGGACATCTGTTCTGGATATGCACACACCATTTTATAACTTCTGGCCAGAACACCTTGGGAACTTGATTCTTACTTAACATAGAACGAACTGCATTCATAATTGTTCTATTCTTCCTTTCAACCACACCATTTTGTTAAGGAGTGTAGGAGGTAGTTAATTGTCTTTGTATGTCTTGTGTGTGCCAAAATTCTTCAAACTCATTGGAAAGAAACTCTTCACCTCGGTTTGTCTGCAAGCATAACATATGTGCATCTGCCTCCTTCTCAACCCACACCTTAAATTCTTGAACTTTGCTAATGCTTCTGATTTCTCATCCAAAAACTGCACCCACATTTTCCTAGTAAAATTATCAATAAAACTTAGAAAATACCTCTTATTACAATGGGAGGTTGGCTGAATAGGGCCACTTACATTCGAATATACTAACTATAGTCATTTAGATGCTCTCCAAGTTCTTTGCTTGGAAAGAAACATCTAGATTGTTTTCTAGTTAAACATGTATGACATGTTTTCTGCAGATGAGCCAAAGTAGGTAGACCTACCACCATTTCTTTGTCAGCCAAGATGCTCAATTGTAATTCAAGTGTGCAAAACGATAATGCCACAAATAGGTTCTAGCCTTGATAGTTTCTAATTGAAGGCATAATGACTGTGTCAAAGCCATAGAAGCTGTCACATAGAAGATTATGTTCCCACTCATCTTAATTTTCATAAACAATCCCTTTGAAGAATGAAACACCATGCAAGAGTCATATGATTGCTGCAGTCAAAATCAAAATACCACCGTTTCTCTCTTGCATTTGTAGCTCCTCATGCACCATCAAGAGAATTTCTTCATCATCATCAATCTCAACATAATTGGTTTTTCTTTCCCAGTCAGGGCATTCCTAATGAAAATGTCCGATCTTATGATACTTAAAACACTCAATGATGTCATTGTTGAATGGTGGTCTTCCTCTTCCTTTACCACGATTTTCTCTAGGCCCACCACGGTCTCTGCTAGGCCGCTCTGCCTGATCTTATGATACTTAAAACACTCAATGGTGTCCTTGTTGAATGGTGACCTTCCTCTTCTTTTACCACGATTTTCTCTGGGCCCACCACGGCCTCTGCTAGGCCGCTCTTCTTAAGTACTTCTACTGTTGGTGTCCTCATAGGTTGTTTTCAACACATGTTCTTCCTCTTGTACCTCGTGCATCCGTTGCTCATGCACCAATAGACTCCATGTAACTAATCAATGGTGAGAATATTGATGTCAGTTGATTCCTCTATAGTACAAACAACAAAATTGAATTTAAGGATTAAAGATTTGAGTATTTTACTCACCATAGTGCTTTGTTCCATCACTTCTCCATTGGACTTCATTTTGCTCACTATAATCATGGTGCATCCCAAAAAATTGTTTATTTTTCTTTTCCTTCTTTCATGGTGGGTAGCTCAAATTCTCTCCTCAATGCTTGGAGTTGTGCACGTTTCATTCTTATAGACCCCTGATACTTCTGTTTCATATAATTCCAAATTGCACATGATGTGCTTTTATCAAGGATAATCTCCAATATTTCTCTATCAATGGATTGAAACAAACAATTTTGACCCTCAAGTCTTTGAGTTTGGCTTTCTCCACAACTCTTTTTTGTGTCTCACTACCACCATTAGACTCCATAACTTTATAGGAAATTCTCCATGGTCATTGATCAAAAGTCATAATGACTATCAAATTTGGGAATAACGAGCTACACAAATTTTGGGGTTGATATCACTAAATTGTTTTGATTTCTCCTAGGAAATCACTCACTCACGGATTGGATTAGGTCCGTTGTGGAGCTTTGGTATCAATTGGTAGACTAATTTTAACAAAAGGTCACTCACTTACACTTACGGATTGGATTAAGTCCCTCGTGGAGCTTTGGTACTAATTGGTAGACTAATTTTAACACAAGGTCACTCACTTGGATTAGGTCCCTTGTGGAGCTTTCATACAAGTAGACTAATTTTAACAAAAGGTAGATTTGCAAGACAAATGTAATACTTAAGGGACATTGCATTTTATTTAACAATAAAAAACGATTTTATAATACCGCATATAATAAAATAAATTAACTCAATGATACGTTATTAGAATTAGGAGCAAGTTCCGCACCAATACTAACAAATATCTAACAAACTAAGAGAAAACCTATCATGCACCAGTACCAGCAAATATCTAACAAATCTAAGAGAAAAACTTGCCATACACCCGAAAGTCCGGAATCTTATAAATTTGTCTTTTTATTCTTGATGCTTTAATGTTGGCACTTAAGCTTATAGAGAATAATTTATTTTTATAGAGAATAATTGCTTTATAATTTTCTATATCAAACCCTGAAATTCTTGATTTTTAGCTTAAAATCTTTACAAAATTGAATTGATTAACTATTTTAAACATTTTTTCTTCTCAAAATTCACATACCAAAATATCAAAATAAAGTAAAATAAAAAATAACTTATATTATTTCGTATAAAAAAATATATTTATTATATTTTATTTAAATTAAGGATTATTATTTTTATTTAAAAGATTATGATTGAAATATTATAATATTTAATATTTTATCATCTTTTTACTTAATATATAAAAATATACGAATACACGAATAATATATATATATATATATAATAAACAAATAAACATATACATAAATATCTTAAAAATTGTCATAATTTAACTACTTATAAAATCCTTTGAATCTTATTCAATCTTAACTTAATGGAATTTTGCTAGAGTTTAAATAAATGGAATGACAATATTTGGTTGGTTATAAAAGAAAGTAATTTCACTAGCTGAAATCACATGTAATATAAATTAAAGAAAACAAAAATATAATATAGTCCTACTTTAATATCTTAGATGCAGTCTTTTAGACATACAATAATGTACATTAAATTAAACAAACATACAATTAAACTTATTTATTTCTTAGATACACCCTTTTAAATGATATTTTTAATTTTAAATTGGAAAATTTTATTCTTCTTTATAAACAGCTGATCTTAATATTTGCCGTTCTAAGCAACTAATTACCTTCAGATCCTGCGCGGTTGGTACCGCTCCCCCTCGCTTTTAAGATGTTATGTCATTGTTTATAAGATATGTTAAAAACCTACTTGTTCTTACTAGGTCACTTAGTAAGAATAGTTTATCTGTAGTTCAGGCTTCAAGTTTTATCACTCACATGTAACCACACTATCTCTTGTAGATGATATTTATGATATATGCCCAAATAAATTAACCATTTTTAACTTGTAGAATAATTGTTAAAGTATGTAAAATCATTTTACAAAAAAGTCTTTGAAATGAAAGTGATGTGGCCATCTCATCTTCTCCACAAACACCACTAAATCTTGGGAGTTAGTTCGCACATTGATTAGTGACAAAAGCATACAAGCAACATTTGTGTAGCATATATCAATATAATATCACGGGTTGAGCACCCTTCAATTGAAGGGTTACCAGCCCAAAAGGACTACTACATTGTTGGTTAGTTGAGTATAGGTCACGAGCCATAAATCTTTAACTAGTCATTTTTTCTAAAATTATTATATGTTGACATTAATTCCTTTTAACACATTTTACATTACATGTAAACTTTTACACATTTTTTCACATTATATATGTAGTAATAAACCTTTCACTCTATATATTTAATACATACAAAAAATATTAATAGTTTTCTTATAAGTAATTGTTAATAGTTTTAAATGTAGCTGTTTAATTTCATTTGGGAATGGAATGGTTTATTTATTTTAACATTTTATAATTTATTTTAATTAATCAACTTGAAGGTTCAAATAATAAATATCATATTAATTATAATTACAGTTAAATATATTTTTAGAATTTGTTTTTATGCCCTTTACTTTATATATTAATTAGGATTCAAAAACTTTTAAAAAATATTTAAATTTGATATTTTTATAAATTTTATGATGGTAAAAAAATATAATCGAATATTAAATTTAGGCACTGAGACTAAAATCACATACTTTTATAATTTGGAAGACTAAATTTATAAAATTATAATTACAAAAAATACAGGAATAAAAACATAATTTCTCTAATAATAATTATCTTAATAAAAATTGTATTTTATTGATCAATAATTATAACGAATATTTTAATATAGTATTTTCCAAGTTATAAGAAAAGAAAAGAAAAGAAAATGATAACGGTTTAAATAAAAAGTGAATATAATTATACCACGTGACATTTATTGACCTAACAAAATTTTCTTATATTGTATATACTACCAATATATTATAATATTAATTTGTACTTCTGTATATAAATAAAAAAGATGAATTTTGTCATCGATCTTTGGTACAAAATTCCTTTATATTTTAACTGTAACATTTTACAACTGCGTTTCTTCTCAAAATACTTGGGTTTCTATTAGTAATAATTTTAAAAACTAAAAGAAATATTGTTAATTTAAAATAGAGATTTTTTTTAAGGATTTAATAATGGGACAAGCTAGTGGTAAATATATACTAAAAAAAAAGCAGTGCTTGGTCGCTGACTTTCTCAACCAATGTTAGCATAAAAAAATGACATTGACAGTTCCCTATTTTGAAGTTGAAACACAAAAACAATCGCTGGTGAAGCTTCTAACATTTGTGGCCACCCTGCACTTCATCCAACCTTTTGACCATTTATAAGCCCTCACTTCCAAACGTCAACGTTTCGCTTACAATTTCAACTCCTCCCTGTCTCACTCTCCACAAACCGTTTTATTAATCCTCCACCCTGTTTTTCATCGCACCACACACGCACACTCTTCTCTCTCTTTTCTCACCGCCATGACTCGCATAAGAAAACTCGGCACCGTCACTCTCACCGCCATTGCCGCCGCGTATGGCAGCGCTGTCATCCTGCACGATCCTCTCGTATCCGTCAACGACTACGGAGGCGGTTCCCGCCTCGAGGCCCTCCGGAAGAAGGTGCATGACCCCAGCGCCGTCGTGCCGACCAGGAAGGCGCAGCAATCTGCCCTCGCAGCCGCTGGCAAGTCCAATCCGCTAGACGTTCTAGTTATCGGAGGCGGTGCCACCGGTTCCGGCGCCGCGCTCGACGCCGTTACTCGAGGACTCCGCGTCGGGCTCGTGGAGCGGGAGGATTTCGCAGCCGGAACTTCGTCTCGGTCCACGAAACTCCTTCATGGAGGTACATTGTCGCGAATGGATTATGATTTGTTTTGTATCACTGATGCTTTAGCAGTGATGGATAGAGTTTTCTTTAATTTTTTGTTGAAGGAATTTGCATTACGGTGTGCAATCGTTGTTTGGAATCTAGAACCTTCGGTATCGCCGGTGTGGTTTGTTGCAATATTTGATATTCCAGTAAATTGTAGACAAATGTGGCGATGCTTTCACTAATCACAGTTGCTGTTCGTAAACCTTGACATCATGGTGGTGTAGCAGACCGTCTTTTGACCTTTATCAGTTTCACTTAGTTGATCTTTTTGGTCTATTTTGTGATTATCATTAACTCGATTGTCTTAGGTGTAATAATGTGTGTGAATAATGTATGTTGATGATTAATTAATTGGGAATGATTTATTAAAGATGATAAAACTGAACATATTCACATGGAACACCATCAATCTGTTTGAACGGGCTCTATTCCAGGTTGGACATTGGTGTCATGGTTCCTAATTAAGTATTCAAGGCTTTTGCTTTATTCCCCCCTCATATTTCTTTGCTTTGCGGAATCATGCATGAGTCTCTACCTAGCAACATAAGCTTTAAAGAGAGTTGGTATCTGACGTGGTATTGGTGCTTCTATAATCATATGATTTTCATTCTTCTAATTAAAGTTGATTTTCAGTTGATTAAGAGTATGGATAAGAACTGAGAAGAAAAAGAAGAGATGGGATGCAAAAATGATTGACATTAATAAAATTGGTAAAAACTGAACACTTAGATACTTGGGTATCAAATTTCTTCCAAATCAAGTTGGCTACTGCCTACTAGTGTTTTTAAGATATTCTTTGCATTAGGTTTTCAGTTGGAGTTCTCCCATGTGTTGACCTGTCATTCTGTTCTCTTGATATACCCTCGCCCCCTTTTTATTTGCTTTATCTTTTAAGACATTTTTGTTTTTATCGATATTTTCAAACTTGAAGATATCATTAATTGACCTTTTTATCATAAATAATATTATTTTAAAAAATATTTTCCAAAATAGCACATGTGGAACATTATTTACCCAACTAGCATTGTTTACTGTTCACTGTTCACGGTACTCTCGCTCAAGCGAGAAATGCATCGCTTGAGCGAGGAGACTTGAAACTTAAGGGTTTTGTGGGGTTTAATTTCACTTAAGCGATAAAATTCTCGCTCGAGCGAGAAGTTATCTCGCTTAAACGAGAAACCCTTCGCTTGAGCGAGGAGACCTGAAACTAATAGGTAATCTCGGGTGTTTTTTCGTTTAAGCGACGCGTAATTCCGCTCGAGCAAGAACTGATCTAAATATGTGGTGATCCAAGTTGCATTATGTGGTTAACTGCGTTGGACTTTTAGTATGTAGTCAATTCTCGCTCAAACGATGGATAATTTCACCCGAGCGAGAAGTGATTGATTAACTGCGTTGGACCTTTCGTCTGTGGTCAATTCTCGCTCAAGCGAGAAATCCATCTCTTGAGGAGAAAATTTATAATCGATTATAATTTAAACTAATCGATCGTAATTTTAAAATAAGCGAATATTTAAAATTATGATCGATTATTTCTCTCTCGCTCAAGCGAGAAATCCTTCGCTTGAGCGAGGAGATCTGAAACTAATAGGTAATGTCGGGTCAATTCTCGCTCAAGCGATGGATAATTTTGCTCGAGCGAGAAGTGATTGGCGAAGGGGTTCTCGCTTGAGTGAGAGAACTTCTCGCCCGAGCGAAATTAAACCCTACAAAACCCTTAAGTTTCAGGTCTCTTCACTCAAGTGATGCATTTCTTCTCGTTTGAGCGAGAGTACTGTGAACAATAAACAGTGCTAGTTGGGTAAATAATGTTCCAGGATGTGCTATTTTGGAAAATATTTTTTAAAATAGTATTATTTATGAAAAAAAATCATCATTAATTACCTTCTTTTTATTTTTTTATTTTTATCAATTATACTCTTAGTATGACTATCCACCGAAACTTTTATTAATTTAAATATATGTATTTATTTTTAAGTAAAGATAAAAAAAGATAAGATATGAAATCTTAAAACAATCTTACTAGGTTAAATTTTATTTATTGCATTTTTTTTATTTATGAATAAAAACTTCAACAGACAGATAAGAAACTGGATGAGTGCTTCTTTTATATGTATTATTGATTATGCACTGTTTAACATTTTTTTTAAATTAACTTTTCTAAACACTTTATCTAAATCTAATATGTCAGTGTTTTTGTGAATTAGGTGTTCGATACCTGGAGAAAGCTGTCTTCAACCTTGACTATGGGCAATTCAAGTTAGTGCTTCATGCACTTGAAGAACGGAAACAGGTTATTGACAATGCACCACACCTATGTCATGCATTACCATGCATGACACCATGTTTTAGCTGGTTTGAAGTAGTGTACTACTGGATGGGCTTGAAAATGTATGATTTGGTCGCAGGAAGACAACTGTTGCACTTATCAAGATATTATTCTACAAAAGAGTCAGCCGATCTCTTTCCCACTCTGGCAAAGAAGGTTAAAGACAGATGTCTAAGGGGCACTGTCGTTTATTATGATGGGCAGATGAATGATGCACGGCTTAATGTTGGATTGGCTTGCACTGCTGCTTTAGCTGGTGCGGCAGTGCTGAACCATGCTGAAGTTGTATCCTTACTGAAAGATGATGATGGAGAACGGATAATTGGTGCACGAATTCGGGACAGTTTAACTGGTAAACATCCTTTTATTTCTATCTTTTACTAGACATTGGAGCTTTGCAAAATATATATTTAAAAGAAGGGATCCATTTACTCCAAGAATAAGAGTTAAAGACTTCTTGATCTTCGTTCTCATTATTCACTTTTTTGGTAATCTAATATTATTTAAGATGAGTTATTATTTTAGATCATAAGATATACCAAAAAATAAATGTGCCAGGATGAAAAATAAGTCTTTAACCCTTATTCTTGGAAATTGAAATACTATTTAATAGGAATTGAAAGACAAATGACCTGCTTCCATGTGTGGGATGTATGGTGAAACATAAACATTACAGTTTGGGGGCATATCTTAATACGTGAGTTTAAAGAATCAAAATTAAATATTAGTTATTTGTAGCTTAATATTTAACTACCTTTTAATGTTATTTTACATGCTACAGGCAATGAGTTTGATACATATGCAAAAGTAATTGTGAATGCGGGTGGACCATTTTGTGACTCTATAAGGAAAATGGCCAACAAAAATGCACAGCAAATGATTTCTCCCAGCAGTGGAGTGCACATTATACTCCCTGATTATTATTCTCCCGAAGGAATGGGCTTAATTGTCCCTAAAACTAAGGATGGACGTGTTATTTTTATGCTGCCATGGCTGGGAAGAACGGTTGCTGGAACTACAGATTCTAGTACAAGCATTACTTATCTGCCAGAACCACACGAAGATGAAATACAATTTATATTGGATGCCATCTCTGATTACCTTAATGTTAAAGTATGCTATACCTGCTAATATAGATGACTGTTTTTACTCGTTATTATTTTCTGAAGCATTGGTGTGGACAGATCACACTTACGTGATTTTTTATGACAAAGTCCACACCTAATAGGAAAGGCTCTGGTTGGTGTTATTGTGTTTTCCCTCCCTCTTATTTCTGATTTTTGATTCAGAATTAAAAGATCTCTCATTGATATTACTTGTTTGGAAATATTTTTTATTGTCTTAGCAAAAAAGTTAAAAAATAAAAAAGAAGAAAAACAGAATGAATTTCACATCATATATATGTTTGTTTAATTAAACAGTTTTATTTGTTTATTGTGGGAACCCCCTTCCTCTTCTTTTATTGTTAATTATGTTTGTGCTTGTAATTCTTGATTAAATGTAAGCAAATGATGTTAGTGAATATCCACTTAATCTACATGTTTTTATTTTTCTTTGAAAGAATTAATAATTGCATTTTCCATATCACACTGTTTGCTGACGGGGAATGAATAACGTGGTAGGTACGCCGAGCTGATGTTCTTTCTGCTTGGAGTGGCATTCGCCCCTTAGCAGTGGACCCAACAGCCAAAAATACTGAGAATATCTCAAGGGATCATGTTGTCTGCGAGGATTACCCTGGTTTAGTCACCATTACTGGTGGCAAGTGGACTACCTATCGAAGGTAATTATTTAATGTGCAGCTAAAGTTTCTATGTTGAAGTTTTTTCAAATGTTGTTTCGCCAACCAAGTATGTAATTAATGATTGTTGCCTTTCTCATCAGCATGCCAGCAACATTAATATTATTCTTACCAAAATGTCTTTTCAGCATGGCAGAAGATGCTGTTAATGCAGCTATAAAGTCTGGAAATCTGGCCCCCACCAGTAGATGTGTGACCAACAATCTTCGGCTTGTTGGTGGTGAAGGGTGGGAGCCTTCATCTTTTACAGTTCTTGCTCAACAGTATACACGCATGAAAAGTACATACAGTGGTAAAGTTGTTCCTGGGGTAATGGATTCTGCTGCTGCAAAGCACTTGTCTCATGCATATGGAACATTGGCTGAGCGTGTGGCTGCCATTGCTCAGGTTTGCTTTTGTTACTTCGTTCCTTACTGTCAATTTCATTGAGCAATAAACATATACAAATGCATCTTAGTGTAACATGTGTGATATGGTGTCATGTTGGCAACTTTTCATTCCTAGTACTCACTCACATTTCAGTAAGTACAGCGCTATGTTTTGTAGTTTTCTTTCCATTTGTTTTTATATAGTAAGCCTTAGGTTCGAAGAATTTACTTAATGGTGTTTCATATTTTTGGTGAAGTTTGTTATTTCAGAATTTTAACGATTGAGCCATAATGTCTCAATATACCATCTGTATCTGTCAGGGATACGAGATTATAGTCCAAATTAGAAACGCTCTTGTATGTGGCTGGAGTTCTTAATCATGCACCAGAGAAGACATTGGAACATGAGCGTGGGGTGTTTTCTTATTTTTACCCTTTTTCCTTTTGGTTATTCTGTTATTACAGAAAAGATAAATCAGTTTGTGCATAAATATGACAGTTGGATGTGGTATAATTTGTCTTGCAAAATTGTCAGAAAATTATGAATTAATATCTATTACGGGATGCATCACGGAATGGATTAACTGATGGTAGACAGACTCACTATTTCTCTTGATGTTATCGTAGATAATTTGCCAAGTCATAGGGCATCTTAATAATAGTTTCGTTGCTGGTTGGTGCGATTAGTGAAACGAAATGGGATTCGAATTTTGTTTTCTTGACCTTGCTATTGGTGATTGTAAATAACAGTAACAGATCTTGTATAATGATAATTGTGCATTATCTAACACTAAGGAGCTTTGCGGTATGATGTTAATATTTTTCTAATAAGAGGCTTCATGCATGTTGTAGAACTTCTAGTATGTTCATTGTTTGACAAGTGGTGGAGTTAAATTGATTCTGTATTTTTCCTTTTAGAATGAAAATTTAGGTAAACGACTTGCCCACGGTTATCCTTATCTGGAGGCAGAAGTGGCCTACTGTGCTCGTAATGAGTATTGTGAATCTGCCGTTGATTTCATTGCAAGGAGGACTCGTCTTGCTTTCCTTGAAACTGATGCAGCACGAAAAGCATTGCCTCGTGTAATTGAGATATTGGCAAATGAGCACAAGTGGGACGATGCAAAGCAGAAGGAAGAGTTGGAGAAGGCTACAGAATTTTTGAAGACTTTTAAATCCTCCAAAAATGCTAAGTTCCATGATGGGAAGCACAGTTAGCTTTGTACCTCTGCCAAAGTCATCAACCAAATTAAGAAATCAAGGCCTTTAGTTTATCACTTTACCAATGATATTTGTATTTTGGTTTTTGCCTTTCCCCCCACATCCCAATTAATTTTTTTATATTTATTTGTTCTTTTAATATTGCGGGGTTATACAGAATAGAAGTCACTTGACTGAAGCAGTTTCGCATAACACTATTATCAGTTTTGTTAATACCAGGCTTAAAGTTGATGCTGTGGATGCAAAAGTGAAAAAGCTTTTACTGAAAATTAATTATTTTTTGAATAATTTTTCTCTCATTTTTGAATGTAACCAGTGGGAAAACAAGTGTTATTTATCTGTGTCCATAATTTCTATAATATCATCTTCTTTTAATGTTATAAAATTTAATATTTATATTAATTTTAATCTTACTTTTATATATTTTTTAAAATAAACTAATGTATTACTTAATCAAATGATATAACATAAGAGAAATTTGATGTGGGTAGTTATTTGAGTAATTAATCATTTATATTTTTATTAAATGATTAATTACTTTTATTTGATAAAAGAATTTAAAAAATTATTTTAAGTGAAATAAATAATTACTTAAGGGTTATTAATTTATATTTTTATTAAATAGTTAATTACTTTTATTTAATAAATAATAAAATATTGTTGTAAAAAGTACAATTAAAAAAAGTTCTTATTTATTTTCTTCTTTATATAATGAAGTAGATAAATGTTTTTTTAATTAGACATTTTTGTATAATTATAAAACTATACTTTTATTGCAAGAATGGCGCCTATATAAACCTTCAATTGTATTCTTTAATAACAAACAAATACTAAAAAAAATCTTGATTCTTTAAACTGAACTTGAGACTAAACTAAGGTGTTAAATTATTCGTTATAATTGTAAAAAAAATATATATACTAATTTTCTTTGATAAAACAAACAGCCAGCTTATTTTATTTAGATTCATTTTGTAATGAGTCATTACGTCCATGACCATAAGTTTTTTTGTACGGCAAAAACTTAAAAAAAAATGGTTTATCCATAATGCAAAATATTTTGAAAAAGGAGTCTCAATAAAATACATGCTATCATGCTATATAATAAATAGGTAAACAATTTAATGAAAAAATTATTGAATAATAATTTTTTTTTTGCAAACACGTATAGTATTGATATGGGTCTTACGTTTTTGTTCTTATAAGTTAAGATTTATAAATTATTTTTAACTTTGATTTTTAGGTGATGTTAGACTATTTTAGGAGAACACTTGTATGAAAAAAATAGTAAAGTAAATTTTAAAAACTAAACTAAACTTTTTGTTTTTGAAAAATGAATTAAAATATGAAAAGAAAATACATATCATGGGAACGAATATAAAAAAATTTGTACACATGTAATCTGTACCTATTTCTAAAGAAATCAATTTTAATATAATCAGCTAAAAGATTAAACCATTGAAATTCAACTTTATTGTCAATGTCAAGATTAGCAAACTTGTCAGAAGCACTTGTTGTCCTTTCTAATTATACGTGTGATTCTGAAATCTATTGTTTTATTCCATTCCATGCAAATGACCCTTGAAATACCAAGGTACAATAACAAATTTCTGGTTAGCTTGAATCACATACATAGAATCACACTCCAGCCAGAGATATATATAACTTTTACTAGCAACCAATTTAATGGCAGTCATGAGACCCATAAGTTCAGAATATAATGCAATGTTGGTACTAAGAAAAGTATAAAACTCACCAATGAATTCACCCTTACTTCCTCTGAAAATACCACCTCCAACAGCAAGTTCTGGAGTACCACAAGCAGCTCCATCAACATTACACTTAATGTAGCCCACAACAGGGAAATCCTAGTTAACCTAGATGGTTTTATAATGTTGTTTGAGGTGAATTTGAATGTTCAAATGTTTGAGAATCGAGAATCCTCAATGAATTTGTTCATGCTGCCTTTTGATTGGTCACCAGTAAGTTTAATACTGCTTTTGGTGATGCTAATAGCAGATTGAATGGACAAAGGGTTCTGGTGCTTGTAAGTATTCCTAAGCTTCTAAATTATCCAAACCATATTAATTAGTGTGGCTAGTTTAACATCTTTGAGTTGAGAGCTGCAACTTCCCTGCATAAAATTCATTGGATTATCAATTGTAGAGAAGTTCATACCATGATTGAATGTGTTTTGGAACCAGAGATTGTTTGGAAATTGAGCAGTGAAGATATAAGCGATCCATAGCCTCTGCAACATTTTTACAAAGGTAGCATCTGCAGACCATATGAATGAATACCTCTTCTCTAGATTACCTCATCAATAACAAGTTGTTTATAAAGCAACTTCCATAACACAAGAGACGTAGCAGGTTGTATGCTTTGATGCCAGATTTCTCTTCACCATTCTTTGAATGTCTGATATTCATTAACAAATTTGAAAGCCACTTTATGGTTAAGACATCCATCAGAGGATGCAGTCCAAACAATTTCATCCGTCGTATTCGATATGATGATGTGCTTGAGCCAACCATTGAGTCTAAACTTTCTGCAGAATGCAGTTAGGAATGACCCAAACAGTACCTTCCCAAGCATCACAAACCTTGGACTTCAGATTAAACTTGACTTATTTAGGGATGTTAAGCACTTCAACAATCGAATAATCCTTTAGCCATCTATCAGTCCAAAAATGTGTTGTCCAACCATTGCCAATACTCCACCTTAAGTTGTTCAGCACCACATAATACAAATCCACAATGCCCGACCAGAATAATGAGGACTAGTAGTTTGACATAATTGTAGTGCTTAAGGAATCTAGCACACATAAGCTTAGCCTAAGACATATCACTATAAGTAGAGTTCCAGGCCAGTTTGAGCATAATTGCTTTGTTTTCTTTTTGTATATCAATTACTCCAAGTTCATCCTCCTTAGAACTACAAAGTATTTTCCAGTTAACAGTTACGGTTTTCCTTTGATTAATGTTCCCTGACCAGATAAGGTTTCTAATGCAACTTTCAATGTCTTTTAGGAGGGCAACCAGCCATTTATATACCCGAAATCAAAAGCAAAGTGTTCCTGCAATAACTGAATTGACCAAAACAATCTTGCCGATCATGCTAAGTATTTTACCTTTCCAAGAATTGAGCTGCATTTTAATTTTGTTAACCATGCTTCTGAAATACCCAGCTCTTGAAACTCCTTTGAAGATAGGCACACCAAGACAAGGAAAGGGCGTTTCCCCTTTGTTAAAACCCAGTATATCATGAATCCTAGAGTGAAAACTAATGGAACTGAAAACTGTTAAAACTTGGCTTTTAATTGTATTTACCAGTTACCTAGAAGCCTGCTCATATGCAGTAAACAAGTGTTTGAGGCTCATGAGATTACTCTTGTTAGATCTACAAAATATGAATACATCTGCATACAAGGTGAATTCAGTACCTTTTGACCTTGCCATTGGGAGCATGTATTTGCTTTCGATCCATAAGCTAATGCCTCTACTTAAGACAATAATTATCATTGAAGTTTCTATACCATATCTAACCATACACCATAAGGATCTACTTACACTTTTCATGTTATTTGATATTTTGAGAGAGAAAGAGAAAATGTTATATAGTCTTTTATTTGATTTTAATAAGATAGAAGATGAACTCATCTCATACAATTAAGGATGAGTTATAGAAATAATTCCCATTTAGCTTTTCCAAAAATTATTATTAACTTTAAAAGTTAATGTTAACTTGAGAGACGATGTAAATTCATTTTGGTTTTTTAATTTTTTATTTTCTTTTCATTTTAAATGTCTATTGAGAAGTTTATTCAAATGAAAAAAAATTCAATCAATGCCCTTGTATAAAATTTGAAACACAAGTATAATGTCTATTGATAGTGTCACAGTTGTTATGAAAGAAGATTATCGAGTTAGGACATTGTATTTTTTTTCACTAACTTAATTTGCCATCATACTAAAAGAAGTGTAAACAATAAACTATAGTATTTAAATAAGTAGAAAATATCTGAAAAAGAATAGACACACTCTTCATCCTCCTTACTCTCCCATCCAGGAAACAAGATTGCAGCGGAAAATGGGTGCAACATCGGGCATTAGCGCACTCACTCTTCTACAGTGTTTCTCCAAGTCCCACACTCTCTCGCTTTCACCATTCCGCACTCTCCCTCGCCTCAAATGCTCCTTCTCTTCCTCAATCAATTTCAACATCTCCTTCGCTCCCCCTAAACCCAAGCCCAAGCCCGACCTCGACTCCCAACCTGACCCATCCAATGACCCCGATGGGCCGCTTCTCATTCCGTGGATCGTCCGAGGCGAGGACGGTAACCTCAAGCTCCAATCCGAACCTCCCCCGAGCCTCCTCAAGGCCATCGCCACAGCCCAAACCGGAACCAAAAAGGACAGGAACCAAACCAAAACCACCGCCGCCACCACCAAACCTCAAAAGCTTCGCGCGACTGCGCCGCCGCACCATTCCAAGGCGGCGCGGCGGTTCTACAACCAAAACATCAAGGAATCTTCCGGCGCGCGCCTCAGCAAGGTTCTCGCCGCCTCCGGAGGTGAGTTCGTTATATTTGTTAACACCGTTGCGAGTTGGTTTCGCTAGTTACGGAGTTTGTTATTGTGAATGTTTTCAGTTGCGTCGAGAAGAAGCTGCGAGGAGCTTATCTTCGAAGGGAAAGTTACGGTGAATGGCTCCGTGTGTAATACGCCTCAGGTTTGGTTTGCTTTCTTCAATGAATTTCATTTTCTCCGACTTATGTGAACTTCGAGGTTTTGATTGTTGTGTGTGTAGACTAGAGTTGATCCTGCGAAGGATGTTATCTATGTGAATGGGAACCGGCTTCCCAAGAGGCAACCTCAGAAGGTTTATTTGGCCTTGAACAAACCGAAAGGGTATGCTTAGTGTTAAGATTTTTTGAGGATAAATTTTCTCATAAACACTTATAAGAGAACTAATATCAACTTACTTACTTCAGCTTTTGGAGAAGTTACATAAGAGTTTTCTAAAAGTTGAGTATATAAATTGATTTTAGCTTGCAATAGAAATTTAATTCATTTACCTTTCTATTTTCTTCTCCTTTAAGGGTTATGGAAAAACTTGTCCAACTACGAGTTATAAATGTATGTCTACTTTGCGTTAATTGAATTTGTAGGTGATACAAATGCAATTGCGTTTCCACAGATATATATGTTCGTCTGGGGAGAACGAGTCTAAATCTGTGACAAGTTTATTTGATGATTACTTGAAGACTTGGGTATGTGACACTTTTAGCTTTGTTGATTAGTATTTGATTAATAGTGTTTTTTTTTAACTCTTTGATCTCAAATAGCTATGTTAAGGCATTAGATAACTCTTTTTGAGATGATGTATCATTTTCCAGGGTAAAAAGCATCCGGGGGTACCCACACCACGGTTATTTACTGTGGGGCGCCTTGATGTTGCTACTACTGGGTTAATTATTGTGACCAACGATGGTACGTGATCTGCTGTGAAAGCAGATTTATTTCCATTCTGTTGCTAAATTATGTCTTAAACAAGATCAGTTCATCTAATACTTCATGCAATGATTCTTGGTTACAGGAGATTTTGCTCAAAAGCTTTCACATCCTTCATCTAATTTATCAAAAGAGTGAGTCGAGGAGTTTGGGTTTTTGTGTGTGTGTTCTCAGTGAAAATACTTATGCTTCTCTAAAGGTTCTCGGGGGAACACATTGTGTACAGTATGTTTGGTTCAAATGATTTTGATGCTGTGGCGTGTTTCATAGTGTTTTACTGTTTAGTTGCACTGAATGGTTGAAAATGATTAGGTTCTCCCTATCCCGTGGCTATCATTTCCTAATCTAACACACTATTGTATTGTTTAATGTATGCTTTATGTTTTTCTTTTTGGTGTTTGTATTTCTGGGACCAACTGAGCAATAAAGTCCTTCATTCAAATAATTTCTCACATTCTTTAAAACTTCTCGTTTGTTGTATCAGATACATTGCAACAGTCGATGGTTTAGTTTACAAGAGGCACTTAATAGCCATAAGTGAGGGGACAACCATTGAAGGTGTTCATTGTGTACCTGATGGTGTGGAGTTACTTCCACGCCAGGCAGATATGCAAAGAGCTCGTATTCGCATTGTGGTAATTTATCTTTTGGTCTATATCAGTTATATAGTGTCTCACTTATGCCACAATATATTTGTGTGTAAGGTTGATGAAATTGACTTTTTTTGTGCAAATGATAGTGTTGTAGGCTATGGCATGTCATAGTATGAGTTAAGAGAGTAAAGAGAGTTTAAAAGAAGATTTATAATTTAGTGGGATGATATTCTCCACTCTATGATCTCATATATATATATATATATATATATATAGAGAGAGAGAGAGAGGATTACAACATTTAAAACAACAACTACCAACCACCAACTACTAACCACTAACCACTACCTAATAATAACTCATTCCCTCTCAAGTTGGAGCATACAAATTGTATGTGCCAAACTTGGAACAAATAAATTCAATTTGAGGTCCTCTTAAAGACTTTGTCAACACATCTGCAAGTTGATCATTGGATCCGACAAATTCAGTGCAAATTTCTTTAGACATCAATTTTTCACGAATAAAATGACAATCAAGTTCTATATGTTTGGTCCTTTCATGAAACACCGTGTTAGAGGCAATGTGGAGAACTGCTTGATTGTCACAATACATCTTCATCTGTTGGATGTCACAAAATTTCAGTTCTTGAAGGAATTGTTTCACCTACACTAGTTCACAAGTGAGAGATGCCATTGCTCTATATTCAGCTTCAGCACTAGACTGGGCCATTACATTTTGTTTCTTACTTATCCAAGAAATAATATTGCCTTCAATGAGAACACAATATCCTGTAGTGGAGCGTCTGTCAATAGGGATCTAGCCCAATCAACATTACAATACCCAGATATTTGGGTACCCCCTTTATCTTCATACAACAGACCTTGTCCTGGAGCCTTTTTGAGATATTTTAGGATGTGAACGACAACATTCTAATGATCAGTACGCAGATTTTGCATAAATTGACTGACAACTCCAACAACAAAAGATAGGTCAGGTCTGATGATGGTGAGATAAATGAGTTTCCCAACAAGTCTTCTATAGCTCTCAGGATCAGAGAGCGGTTCACCCTGATCCGCCATTAATTTCTGATTTGGATCCATAGGGCTGTCTACTGGTCTACAATCAATCATGCCTGTTTCTTTCAGGATATCTAAAACATACTTTCTTTGGGAGACTACGATGCCTTCTTTTGATTGAGCCACTTCAATCCTTATAAAGTATTTGAGACAACCAAGATCCTTATAAAGTATTTGAGACAACCCAAATATTAGAATGAACAAGAGTAAAGACAGAGTCACATCTAGATTCAGAATGTTTAGGAAAAGAAGACCTAGTATGTTTCCCTAGTTGACATGATTCACATTCAAAATCTTGAAGAGTCTGAAGTGCAGGAACCATTTTTTTAAATCTTGATAAGTGAGGGTGCCCTAACCGTTCGTGTAATAGTTTTGGAGACAAGGATGCAACACAAGATACAGATGATTTAGTCCCAAGGTAGTATAAGCCTCCATATTCATGTCCTTCGCCAATCTGTCGACCCGTACCACGTTCCTGTATAATAAAAGAGTTGGCATTAAAGGTTACTAAACAATTCAATAATTTGGTTAATTGACTTAGGGAAATGAGACTAAAGGGACATGAAGGAACAAAAAGAACAGATTTTAAGTTTAAAGACGGAGAAATGGAGACTTGACCAGTTCCTTTAGAGGCTACTTTAGATCCGTTGTCTAAGGTTATGAGATGAGGAGTTTTAGGAAATGAGAGAGAAGAGAACAAAGAGGTATTACCAGACATGTGATCAGAAGCACCTGAGTCAATAATCCATGGATTTTGACTTTCCACAGATTGTGAAATGCAAGCTGTTGATGAATTTGGGGTTGTTGATGACTGTGCTAGATTACTGGATTTCAACCTCAAATATTCCTGATATTCTTCGTGAGAGAACTTGGGTTCAACCATTTCAGATTTGGAAAAATTGACAGTTTTATCAGGAAAACCGTGCAAAGAGTAGCAATTTTCCACTTTATGACCCATTCTCTTGCAATGAGTGCACTGAGGATGTCCTCTACCTCCACGTCCTCCTCTAGTGTCGCGACTTCCTCTTCCATGGGTAGAAATCATAGCAGAAGATTCAACAAGTTCTTGATTATTGTTTTCTTTGAGAGTTGGAACACGAAGCAGTCTTGTAGTCAAACTTTCCATAGAAGGAACTTCTTGTCCAGTTAAAATTTGATCTCTAACATGATCAAATTCTGAATTCATAGCTCGGAGAGTCATAACCATATAGAATTTATCCAACTTTTGCTTTATCTCCTCTAACGAATCCACCTCTAGGAACATCTTTAATTCTTCAACTGCTGATTGAGCTTCAGCAATAAAGGTCATCATATCTTTATCCACTTGCTTGAGAGAGGCTAATCGATTAGCGGAATCATAGAGGCGTTGGATATCATTTGCGAAGATATTCTGAGCTTTTTTCCAGAAAGAGTTACATGTTTTGAAGAATCTGAGAGTGTTCAAAATATTTGGTTCTACTGATTGCCACAGTAGAGCACAGAGTTGATAATCAAGCTTTTTCCATTGTTGAGCCTGATCTTCTGGTATCTTACTTCCGTCTTCTTCTAGATGATCGTGAAACCCTTGTCCAAGGAACCAAAGTTCCATTGAAGAGGACCAAGACATGTAATTTTTTCCATTTAATTTCTCAGCCGTTATCGTGGGAGTTCCGAAAAAGGAGGTTGTGGGCCCTGACGACATGTTTTAAATAATGTAGATGTAAGATGGAGACAATGGAACCTGTAAGAAAGAGAACACCCAAGATAGCCGGAAGGTGGTCGGAAAGTCGTCGAACGGCAGCAAAAAATAAAGGTGACTGGACGGGGGACTGACGGTTGCCGAAAAGTGACCGGAAAGTGGCCGGACGGTGATCGGAAAATGACCAGACGGTGATTGGAAAATTACTGAACGGTGACAGGAAAATGGTCGGACGGTGACTGAAAAATGGTCGGACAGTGACAGGAAAATGGCCGGACGGTGACCGGAAATGGCCGGATGGTGGCCGGACGGTGGCCGGACAGGTAGAGCAGGACCAACCTGCTCTGATACCAAGTTAAGAGAGTAAAGAGAATGAAAAGAAGATTTCTAATTTTGTGGGATGCTTACTCCACTCTATGATCTCATATATATATATAGGATTACAACATTTAAAACAACAAATACCAACTACTAACAACCACCATCCACCAACTACTAACTACTAACCATTAACCACTAACTAATAATAATTCTAACAAGAAGAAACAAAAGAAAAATAGGAAGGAGACAATCTATGGTAGCTAAGAAAATTGTAAATGGGATGTGGATTACGAGTAAAGCGAGTACCTTTGCGAATGGCAATGGGCCAACTTGAGTCATCATTATCAGGAATCGTGGTATCAGGGGATGATTGAGAAGGATCTGCTGAGGAAGACTCATCTTGGGACATGGGACTGATCATTTGGCTCCTGTGTTGATAGGTAATAAGAGGCAGTGATGAGGATTCCGGTGTATTTTGTGTGGAATTTTGGGTGTCAGGAGAAGGAGGTACAAATGGCTCCACTAAGGGTATAGGTAGGACATTTTGGACCGAACTAATATCCTGCATAGAAGAAGGGAAGAAGGGAGTTGACTCAAAAAAAGTGACATTAGCAGACATGTAGTACCTCTTGGTTTCAGGAGAATAACATCGATATCCTTTTCAAAGACGAGAATATCCCAAGAAGACACATTTGATGGCTCTAGCTGATAGTTTATCTAATCCTGGAGACATATCATGAACAAAACATACGCAACCAAATACACGAGGAGAAACATGAAAGAGTGGGTCCTTTGGCAATAGAATAGAGTGTGGAACTTTATTGTTAAGAGAAGAAGATGGCATTCTGTTAAGAATAACATCTCCCCAATGATGAACGGGCATATTTCCACCAAGTAATAAGGTACGAGCAGTTTCAACCAAATGTCTATTTTTTCGTTCTGCTATACCATTTTGTTGTGGTGTGTGAGGACAAGTAGACTGATGTAAAATGCCTTGGGAGCTTAAGAGAGTAGAGAAATCAGTAGAAAAATATTCTTTGGCATTATCATTTCGTAAAACTTTGATTACTTTTCCAAATTGATTTTTGATTTCGTTAAGGAAAGACTTAAAGATAGGTAATAATTCAGAACGGTCTTTCATTAGATAAATCCAAGTACACCTAGAAAACTCATCAATGAAGGTAACAAAATATCTATAGCCAAAGGATGAGACACGACTAGGACCCCAAATATCAGAATGAACAAGAGAAAAGACAGAGTCACATCTAGATTCAGAATGTTTAGGAAAAGAGGACCTAGTATGTTTCCCTAGTTGACATGATTCACATTCAAAATCTTGAAGAGTCTGAAGTGCAGGAACCATTTTTTTTAATCTTGATAAGTGAGGGTGCCCTAACCGTTCGTGTAATAGTTTTGGAGACAAGGATGCAACACAAGATACAGTTGATTTAGTCCCAAGGTAGTATAAGCCTCCAGATTCATGTCCTTCGCCAATCTGTCGACCCGTACCACGTTCTTGTATAACAAAAGAGTTGACATTAAAGATTACTGAACAATTCAATAATTTGGTTAATTGACTTAGGGAAATGAGACTAAAGGGACATGAAGGAACAAAAAGAACAGATTTTAAGTTTAAAGACGGAGAAATGGAGACTTGACCAGTTCCTTTAGAGGCTACTTTAGATCCGTTGGCCAAGGTTATGAGATGAGGAGTTTTAGGAAATGAGAGAGAAGAGAACAAAGAGGTATTACCAGACATGTGATCAGAAGCACCTGAGTCAATAATCCATGGATTTTGACTTTCCACAGATTGTGAAATGCAAGTTGTTGATGAATTTGGGGTTGTTGATGACTGTGCTAGATTATTGGATTTCAACCTCAAATATTCCTGAAATTCTTTGTGAGAGAACTTGGGTTCAACCATTTCAGATTTGGAAAAATTGACAGTTTTGTCAGGAAAACCGTGCAAAGAGTAGCAATTTTTCAGGGTATGACCCATTCTCTTGCAATGAGTGAACTGAGGATGTTCTCTACCTTCACGTCCTCCTCTAGTGCCGTGACTTCCTCTTCCACGAGTAAAAATCATAGCAGAAGATTCAACAAGTTCTTGATTATTTTGTCCTTTGAGAGTTGGAACACGAAGCAGTCTTGTAGTCAAACTTTCCATAGAAGGAACTTCTTGTCCGGTTAAAATTTGATCTCTAACATGATCAAATTCTGAATTCATAGCCTGAAGAGTCATAACCATATAGAATTTATCCAACTTTTGCTTTATCTCCTCTAACGAATCCACCTCTAGGAACATCTTCAATTCTTCAACGGCTGATTGAGCTTCAACAATAAAGGTCATCATATCTTTATCCACTTGCTTGAGAGAGACTAACCGATTAGCGGAATCATAAAGGCGTTGGATATTATTTGCGAAGATATTCTGAGCCTTTTTCCAGAAAGAGTTACATGTTTTGAAGGATCTGAGTGTTCAAAATATTTGGTTATACTGATTGCTACAATAGAGCACAGAGTTGATAATTAAGTTTTTTCCATTGTTGAGCCTGATCTACTGGTATCTTACTTTTGTCTTCATCTAGATGATCGTGAAACCCTTGTCCAAGAAACCAAAGTTCCACTGAAGAGGACCAAGACATGTAATTTTTTCCATTTAATTTCTCAGCCGTTATAGTGGGAGTTCCGGAAAAGGAGGTTGTGGGCCCTGACGGCATGTTTTAAAAAATGTAGATGTAAGATGGAGACAATGGAACCTATAAGGAGTACACCCAAGATAGAATTAGATAGAGAGGGAAGTATCAATTTTCACTTTGCAAGAAAACTGACGAATGTCAGCCGCAGACAACTGTAGCGGAACGGAGGCTGGAAGGTCACTGGAAGGTGGTCGAAAATTCGTTGGACGGCAGCAAAAAAGTGACTGGACGGGGGGTTGCCGGAAAGTGACAGGAAAAGTTACCGGAAAAGTGGCTGGACAGTGGTCTGATACCGTGTTAAGGTTCCAACAAAAAACCAATTGACAATATGTGGAGTAGTCTAACATGTATTTAAACCATATCAAATGACATGAGGTAGGCGTTCCAACACACCCCCTCCAACGAAGTCTATCAGACCAGACAAAGGGTACTTTTGACCCAACTAAAAGACAACTTTTGGCCCATGACAATAACCGGAAAGATGTTAGGTTTTGGTTCTGATACCAAGTTAAGAGAGTAAAGAGAGTTAAAAAGAAGATTTATAATTCAGTGGGATGATATTCTCCACTCTATGATCTCATATATATATATATATATATATATATATATATATATATATATATATAGGATTACAACATTTAAAACAATAACTACCAACCACTAACCACTACCTAATAATAATTCTACCAGAACAGAACTATTGACTGTGTTATAATGGTAATTTTTCTTAAGAGAGTCAGGAAACATAATATGAAAACTTTGGGCGTACGGACTCTCAAATGAAATGCTTTGGCATATTAATGACAAGTCGTGTTTTCCTTTTATGTTTCTCAGTGTTCAATACTATTTTGGAATGTGAACACTAAACATCAGTGGAATATAATGCAGGATATTGACATCCTCACCATCTCAAATTGGCTTTATTTTAGTCTGTTGAATTTTTGCTATCGACTTTTTGGAGCATGTGAGTTTTCTGATCATGAAGAGAAGACCTAGCTGACATTTGTTTGTTTCCATTAATTTGAATTCTCATAGGTTCATGAAGGGAGGAAGCATGAAGTTCGTGAACTTGTCAAAAGTGCTGGACTTGAGGTTAGCTTAAATCATACATTTTCTGGTTAACTATTCCCAGAAGGTCAAAATTTACTAAATGCTTAGGAATATTCAATGTGAAAATCATGAAATTTAGTGAACCCAATTCCAGTCAAATTGGATACTGTTTAGATTTTTTAGGGGTTTATTTAATTTTGTTAATTGTGAATTGGCATTAATTGTATAGATAATTAGATATGTGGTGATGCTATTTAATTTTTTCATGTGAGTATTGTCCACTGCTGAAGTATGTTCTGGGTTACATCACATATGGTCGAAATTGTTATATCTTCACACAGTATCATGCTTTCAGAAGCACATATACCAGTTGGTTTCTCGTAACTAGATAGCACTTTCATGATTTGCGTTTCAATAATTTATCTCAGTAGAAAATGGAATAATTCTGACCTTAATTGAAGATGATACTCTGTGCATGTTGTGTGACATTATTTCTGTTTTGTAATGTTGACTAAGACTCTTGTTACGTGGTCTTGCTTTATGTTAAATCCATCAGCAAAGTCAGGCCAGATAACATTTTTTTGGTACTGCTTGACATTTATCACTTTCCTCCTTGTCTTTGGTGGTATCTGTTTGTGTTTACGGGTTTGGACTTATGGGCGTTTTAATTATGGAGAGTTTCCATAACATGGTAAATGCTTTTTCATTTTTCAGGTAAATAACTAACTACATGCATTGGTTTCTTTCAGATTCATTCATTAAAGCGAGTACGCATTGGTGGGTTTAGACTTCCACCAGACCTTGGGTAATTGCCATGCATCCAATTTTCCTTAGTTCTTGAACTAGTCTTTATTTTGGATCTACTAGTAGTAGCCGTATTAAAGTACAATTTCTATAGCATGTCAGTTGAATTCCCTGGAAGTTAAGTGAATTAAAACATTTTTCTTCTGTTTCATTTTCAGGTTAGGAAAGTATATTGAGTTAAATCCAACGAATCTTAACGCATTGGGGTGGAAGAGTTAACAAATGTGCCTCTTAATTACTGGGAGTTAAAAATATTTCTCGAGCTTATTCAGATTGGAACAGCAGCTCTGATGATATTAGTGTTCGTCAGCAGTTGTTTGATTTGAGGTGTTAAATTGCGATACCATGGTGAACTAATTGGGATATTATTTTGAATAGTGGCAGCTCACAATGGAGTGTTTGACGTGCAGCCAATATGCTCTGGCAATCAAGAATAGAAGAACTGGACCGGGAGAAGAATTTAAACTTGTGTTCTATGAGCTTTTCCTATGAACGTAGCCCGGGGACTTATTTATTGAAATCGTTGTAAACGGTGGAGTGCCTGTTTGTAAAATGATACAAGTTTAACCTAGAGGCGGTCTGTTCAAATTAGTGGACATATTTTGATTACTTGGACTCTAATTTGAAAAAAAAAAAAGAATCTTGAAAATAGTCTACTGAAAATGCACCAGGTAAATGGTTTTCTTTAAACTTTCTTAAACATTTACGAATTTAAGAAATTAATTTAGTTCTAAAGTTTTAGCGGTCATTTTAAATACACTTTTTAGTTTAATTAAAAAGATGCTAGTTTTGGAAATTTTAGAAGTTAGCAATTTTGTTGAGGTATAATTGGGTCACATGGCCATCTCATAATACAAAGTGCTAATCATTGGCAAATTGAGTATATTCAGAATATATTTGACATAAAAAATTTCGTTAGTTTCCACCCTGATCGAAATCAAGTTTTGAATCCCATGCGTTTAGGAACTTTACAGGAAGAAAATGTGCGTGCACGGACTTTCCAGACGATGATCTAGAGTCTGATTATGAAGAGGGCATCCCCCCTAACAAAATTTCATTTACAATACAATAGGGCAAGCGATTGTAGAAAGTAATTATACAATATGCTTAGCATTGAAAATATTCATGTGATTTTCAGGTTGTTCTTAATATCGACTAAAATGGAATGCTCATCACACCCAAACTCAAGACCCAAAAAATAGAGAGCGAAAGTGCCAGTCAACCTAAAAGGAAAGCAGCGGCAACCAAAATTGACATCACCATTTGTTTGTTGCATCAGCAATTTTATAAATATGAATAAGAAATCTAATTGATATAAACACTCCAACAGTCCAAAAATTCTGGAATAGTAACGAAAAAGAACTTTCTACATGGATAATATATCAGATACTCGATCTTGTGCATCAGGAGGAATTTCCCTCCCTGGAACCTGAACGTTAAGAAGGTTGGAATACCTGTAGAAATATTGTGTCAATACAAGTCCATAGAAGTTTATTAGCAACTAAAATTTGCATAAACTTACTCAGTGCGGGTGAACAAGTGTATATGTTCTGTAATGAAGGCAACCAAGGCCTGCAACAGAAATAGGAATACTAATAACATAAGATGACATCACAAAAATTTCAAACAACGTGAAGCCATTAGTTGAGTTGAGTTGACTTGCCTCAAATGGCATGTTCAATAGTTCATAGTAGGTGCGGACTCGATCCAATCTTTGTTGCACTGCTTCACTATTTATGGACGGAATAGCTGCCAGCGCCTGTACCATCATCCAAAATTTTTATGGCTGTCAAATTTCATTGTTGCTTTTACATTTTCTCAAGTTCTAATTCTATCTGAACGTACAGTTTTACATTCTTGAAAAGTTAGTCAACAGGCCATATATATATATGTGTGTGTGTGTGTGTGGGAAACATTAATTACCTGTTCCAATGCAATAGCATTTCGACAAATTTGCTGAACGCCAAAAAGATTGATTGATTTCATATCCGCCAAAGCCTAGTATGTAAATAAGAGAACTCTATCATTAGCAATGAAAGAAAGTAACTGATAGAAGTGATTACACTGAAAATATAGCTCCAAAAATTAAAGAAAAAACTGTAAACGTATCACACCTTAACAAATGCATTTGCTGCAACCCCACAAATTCCACCAAATATGTAGTTCCGCTTTGGACTTGAAATAAAAGGAGCCATTTCCTCATCTCTTCGAGTTATCTGGGGATTGCAATAACAATTTCCATTTCACGGAAGGAATCAATGGATATAGAATTTACAAGCCTCAAAACTCAAATAATTGCAAAAGGCAAAACCTTTGTGTATATAGAACATGCACTCAAGATCCACTACCATCTTCTGATTTGGCTATCACTTTTATAAATTTTAGCACAATGAACTTGCAATAAATTCCAAGAGCTTAATCAGAAATTTACAACGCATTACTTCATACAATTTAAAAAATAGTCTTCCAGCATCTTATCCTGTTTTACTTGATTTTTTATTATCCATGGCAAATAATTTCATGCCAATGAAAAATTTGTAATTTTATCAATTGTAATTATTAAATTTGATCAATTTGTTCATTAAGAAAGAATAAAACAGGATGATCATAAATCATCCTAAGGCTGTGCAGAAAATGAGAAATTACCTAAGAGAAACCATGATGATAAAAACAACATACAAAGATAGAAAGACACACCTGTGAAGTGAGCGAAATTATGAAGTCATCTGGCTCTTCAGCGTCTTGGTCATCCAAGTATTCTGTATTTGCCATTTCCTGCTCAAAATTGTGATGCTCAGTTAAGTTTGAACATGATTAACTATCAAATAGTTATTCCTTCCACAAGAGATGCAAAATAACCTCACTAGTGACAAACCTGCATATGGAATATTGTCTCCAATTGCATCTCTATACGTAAAACCTTGAGGCAATCAATTGCTAGTTTCCTATAATCTTGAGCAAACGAAGCTAGACTCCTTGAAGGTGCGCTGCTGTCAGAACGACTGTGATGGTTTTTTGATCCAACATGATTTGACGGTCTATGAGTTGTCTGTCCAAGCCTGCAAATCTAACAAAATTTAATGTACGACAAGTATGCTCTAAATATTTGGAGAGGGATTTTCAAATTTCTCTCATTTATGAAACCAGTAAAAACCCCATCTCGTACTTCTCATTAAGGAAAGAAAATGGTATTATATTATATGATTCTGTTGAAAGTCCCACATTGCCTACCTCATATCATTTGGTATGGTTTAAATACATGTTAGGCTACTCCACATATATTGCCAATTGGTTTTATGTTGGAACCTTAACATGGTATCAGAGCCAAAGCCTAACATCTTTCCGGTTATTGTCATGGGCCAAAAGTTGTCATTTAGTTGGGTCAAAAGTACCCTTTGCCTGGTCCGGCAGGCTTCGTTGGAGGGGGTGTGTTGAAAGTCCCACATTGCCTACCTCATATCATTTGGTATGGTTTAAATACATGTTAGGCTACTCCACATATAGCCAATTGGTTTTATGTTGGAACCTTAACAGATTCAAACATGATATAGGTCAATACAGTATCAGTATATGGATATACAGAGGAAATATTGAACGGGAATTTGAAAATATAGACTGATACATGGCATTAAAGAGGCCTTGGTCTCACCCTCCCAGGTCTCCCTACTCAGTTCTTTATTTCCCTTCCCTTCTTTTTCCTCTTATCATACTCCTAACTGAATCTGCTCCCCTTCCCATGGCCAGTTTGTTACAATGTTAACCTACGTCTTTCTTATCAGAATCTTTGCCCTCATTTCTCACATAAGTTGTGGCTCAGCATATGGGGGAATCTTTCAGACAGCATAGAAGTAATAGAGAAAGTACGATTGTATTCTGAATGAGTGTTACATTGATTAACACAATATACATATTTAGACTTGAATATCAGCTTATACCCTTTACTTGTAGACAAGATATAACTTTTATCCTGGCAAAGAAGACAATAAAATAAAACCTATTCAACAGTCATAATCCATTTTCCCCATCAGATAGGGAAAGACCAATATATGATATAAGAATGTATAAATTATATAGATGAGGGCAAGCTGTCTTCTAAACAGAAGAGAAAGAAAGCCAGCAAATAAATGTTCAACACAAAGCGGCTGCCTTATTACTTTATGCTAGTGAAACTTGCCTCAAAAAGGCATGTCAAACACCCTAGAGGATAGCCATGTAAAGAACTATCAGAAGTTTAACGATGTAACATTTGATTCCTAAAGATTTTAGTATTCTTTAGCTGGAAAGACCAAACAATAGAAAAAAAATGCCTTGTTTGGTGCAACCTTTTTAATTAATTATAAGAAGATGAAGAACAGACTCCCACCAACAGAAACAATAGCCCAGTTCCATAAACTCCTGGCCATGGGAGCAGAACAAAAGACAACCATTCTCAAAATTAACGGCATTCAAAAGATAATTGCATACTCCTAACTCCCTCCACTTTTATTGTGTTCAAGTTGGAATTTACTATTGAACAAAGATAATTGCATCGTCTGGAAGGTTCAATAAATGCACTCTGTTTTGCTAAGCATGAATGTCGTACCAGAAACACATGCCAGGGGCTCACAGGAAGTAGAGTCACTCACAAGTACAAACCCAATTGGATTCAAGGGAAACAATCACACCCAGGGAAGACTCTCACAAATGAAGTTGCACATTAGATAATAAGGAGCAAGGGGTTCTTGTCTGCTGGGGGGTCCAAACTTTCTTTCCCCTAACTGAAAATTGTTCGAGTATGATTGGCAATTTGCATAATTTTACTAATCTTACAAGCAATTCCTCCACAATCCCCGCAAAGCAAGTTTCTGACAGGGAGTGGAATCGTTCCACCACCCATAACCTACAGATCATGGCATCTACAATCTAAATAGCAACACTGACAACATTGCATATATACTTACTTCATACACAATAGTAAAATATGCAATTAAAACATTGTCTAAATTGCAACGCATGTAGAAAATCCACCTTTCAATATCGTCTGCAACATACTCCAATGAGTCACTAAGGGATGCCAACAAAATAAGTTTGTTGTCATCATGGATTAGGTTTTCCTGAAGCAAAAATACAACGAAGTCACTAGAGAAGCATAATAAATAGGAGTTCAATAAAATTCAACATTAAAAAATAGGATGAAAACTATATCAAACCTGCTTAATAGGACGCAAATTTAGCATTAATTCACTTAGTTCTAATTCAGCCTCAATTGTTTCAGCATCAGATGAATTACTTTCCACATTAAACTGACCGAGAAGATTTGCTAAATATGCACTTGAGGGGCCAAGCCTCATCAGTTTCTCAACATCATGTCTCCCAATAAGCATATAACTCTGCTTCTCAAGAACAGCCTGTAATATAATTGATAAAAATGTTGGGAAAAAGTCAAGGCCACCATTAGAGTAAACAACTATGTATACATATGTCAATGATCAACAATCTCCATAACCCAAAAGCTTCAGCTATTGGGTGGCATAACAAGACAATTGTTTAGGGAAAGGATTGGGGTTGTAAATTTTATGGGGCTTTTTTGTGATCCTACATCAACTATAGATATGGACAAAGCAGAGCTTATAAAGATTGGGACAATCCTCACCTCATGAGCTAGCTTGAGGTTAAGTTAGACTCATCACTATTTTAGGATGGAAACAGCCTATCATAGATGATATTGGGTCACCCTCAACAGTCCAAAAATGTACCTGGTTCAGTTTTCTCAGTGCAATTTACTTCACTTTAGCTTTCCCAGTACAATAAAAAATAAAATCAGTCTATAGATTGAGGTCTCATGATCTAGCTTTTAAGGTTGACTTAGGCTCAACCCAAATTCAAAAGGTTTAAATTATATTCTACAGAAACAAAATTTGTTAAGATGTTTATTGAATTTTAGAAAGTTTTGGGATCCCATCAGACAGTCCGCTCATGACACATTAAAATGACCTGTTGGTTGTCCCTTTGGGCTCAAAGGGACAATCACCAAACCATACTTCTGAAACTTAATTTAATTAACAAACAACAGGAGCAGCAATAATTAAACTCCTGAACATTTGGTCATAGAATTGTTAGCTTCTTTGTGACACTCAGCCGGTGGTTGTTTCAAACAGGTGACTTTGTCTGGTACCATGAGGATTCGTCATATTTCTCAGAAGATCATATATATATATATATATATATATATATATATATATATATTTTAATATTCCTCAGAGGATCATCATATATCCTTCATAATTGAACAAAGTCTTTCATTCCATTCCAAGTTTTCTATCTGAAAAAGTAAAAAAATTACCTCCGTGTATGCAGTCCGACATCTTTCATAAGTCCTCTCCAGAAAAGTTTGCACATACTTCACAAGATCATTGGCAAACTTGGGCATTGCTTGTGCCCAGCCAAGCACCTATATTAAATTAGATGCAAAAGTCAGGGAAGACATCCATGTTCTACAACCATCAAATGAAAAACAATTCATCAAGTATAGTCAATAAAATAATGACGAAACTCAGAAACTATTATTCTAGGTATCATATCATCTTCTGCTAATATAGAAGAATAAACTATCATATCTTTGTAAGAATATTATCCAAGTTATCATTTACCTCCTTTGTCAAGTGATCTATAGCCAATAATCCTTGCAACACAGGTCGACCCTTCTCAATTGAAGGAGTGTAAGCAGCAGCCACATGTGCTCTCGGTCGAAATGCAGCTGGACCTAAAGTTTATATGTTGGGTCAGTTATTCACTCTTTCCATATTTTGATCATGAAATAAGAATTATTGTCTAATAATTTCATTTTTATTTTCAAATGACATGTCTATAAGCCAAATAAAGTATGTTAGCATATCACATAAAACCTAACTTCAATACTCTTTAACACAAAATTGACATACTACAATTTAGATGTTTCAAAAAACTAAGATGGACAATAGACCATAATAGGAGCCAAACATAGTGCCCAAAACATGAATACGGAATGAACAATCAGAACAGTATAAAGACTTGCTTGATATGGCTTGCTGTACGCCTTTTCGGTAGTCCACAAACATAGTCGGTAAAAAGTGGTCCTTAACAAAGTTCTCCACAAAAGCTAGCAATCCATCATTGCTGCAAATCACAAAGTGGACAGCACCACCAATTAACATTAATAAGGTTGAATAACAACAAAATTTGAGCTTGAAAACAAGTATTATTGTTGATTTTACAGAAAAGTAGATACATTAAGCATGATGGTATGCTAAAATGATATGTAAAATTTAACAGCAAGAAGTAATGACAGGAGTAGCTTCCTAATTTCATTCTATTTCCTTACTTGATTGGGGTTAGAAGTCTATTGGATGATTGGGGTTAAAAGTCTATTGGATTAGTTAGATAGGGCTTATATTATTAGAGTTACACTAGTATTTAGCCCGAGTCTTAGTGCTTTAGATTTTATTCACATCAAATCAATCCAATCGCACATTATTCAGAGAACGCTATATAAACTATTATTTTCAACACGATAGTAGAGCTTCTATAATCAAGTATGCAGATTTTAATACTTTCTGCCCAAGTTTCAAACTGCAAGGAGGTTCTGGAATTCATTTATAATGGACATTTGGTATGCCTGTACCTCTAAAGATTGCTATCAGAATTATATAGGGTAAGGGAACGGAGAGAAAAGAAAGATGGCCAACAATGTATTCAATATATAATTGATCAATACATCTATGTTATAACAAATCAAAAACCAAAAAGAAAATGATAGAAAGTAATGAATCCAACTCCTCTGCGACCAGCTTACTTTAATGGACAATATTATGTTTACAGGCATAACAAATCATGCACTCATTAATATTAGCCTAGGAAATACTCTCCAATATTAGCCTACTCTAAATTCCCTTGTGAAAAGATTCTGTTTTCTCTCTCTCGAAATTCAATATAGTATCTGTGGCATCCACTTTGGCCTATCCTATCACAATTCCACTGCCATGTTCCAAACAACATAGAACTGTTTAACTTTCTGCATATTCATGTCTTCCTTTTCTGTCATCAATATTGTTCACTTGTCAGAACCATTCCAGCAACGTACAACTGCTGAGAAATTCTCTGGCAAATTTCACCAGCTATCTGGTGACTTCCTTGGTGGCTTTCCAATGACTTCTCAATTTGAAAGCATGCCACTATTCAAAAATTTGGAACACTGGATCACTCCACACCACTTACACTGCTAGAGTGGCTGTTGATAACTATGTTAGTTCTTGTTCTACATCTCTCACAGACACAGCCAGAAAAACTAAAGTAGACTGTCCAGTTTGACCAACCAATATATTGATCATTGATTAACATTACCATCTCTGCCTTGCATCTACTCTCTTATTAAAAAGAAGTCCAAGTTACCAAGTTAATTTCAAAATTTACTTCTCTAGAATACTCAATTCCATTGATTTTATTATATGAAATTTGGATGGGATTGTTCGTGGTTGTCCAGGTTTGGCCACTAGCACTGGTATCTTCACTGGTAATGACTGTGATTCTTTGGGCGGTTTTGTGTCTTGTATCGGTGTCACTACAGCTTTTCAGGTCGATCTTATGGCTGTTATCCTAGCTATTGAACGTGCACATTCACGAGGATGGAATAAGACGTGGCTAGAAGCTGATTCTGAAGTCATTTTTATGGCTTTACAAGATGCCTCTCGAGTCCCATGGCATATTCCAGGTAGATGGATTCATTGTCTGCACATTTGTTCCTTAATGAAATTTTATGTTACTCATCTATCAGGAAGGCAATGCTTGTACTGATATTTTAGCAAATCTTGGCTTTATTAATAGGCTTGACTTTTGTTGGTTTTATGTTTTACCCTATGTTATTAGAGATAGTTTTTATAGATATAAACTTGGGTTACCAGAGTCCAGGTTTATATAACCTCTTTTATGAGTTTTTATTTGGTCTCCTCATGGTTCTTGTACTCTCTTTGCTTTTATACATTGATGTGCAGCAAATGATTGATGGACATTGAGGTGTCAACATAGTTGGGATGTCTTTGGCTCCATAATGATGCTTTTAAATGTTACCACTAAATACCTGATGCAAAATCCACATTTGGTGACTCTTAGGAAATCAATTTGGACCTAAATCATACAAAATTGGTTCACAATATGAAAACTACCCCATTTATATATTATAATTTGGTCACATCTATAGTTTAATGTGGGATCTTTAAGACATCTCCCTCATACTAAGAATTGACATATATACAAATACTCTGATTACCCAAAGGGTGCAACAACAATCACTAATATTAGAAAGTGAGTTTTGACCTAACTCTATTAAACTAACTTATAAGATGAGGTTTACCCCCCACTGATATATTATAGTTTGACCATATTTCTTATGGATATAAATCTCTAACAACCATAATTAGTGAGAGATAAAAGAAAATGAACAAACACCAAGTCACTAACGTATCATTACACACTCGAACCAACTTTCTAATTTCATACAATTTTTAAACCAAAACAAGAAAGCAGCATTTTGATTTCAAAAACATGAAATAAAAATCCATTTAAAAATTTAACAAAGACTAATGAAAGGATTATTTCTAATTGTGTACATACATGTTTCTTATTTATAATGAAAAAGAGATACAATAATAAGGAACAAAATAATTAATTAATAATGAGAAACTAAGATATTTTCATATTTGATTTAATCAAATCTATTCAAGTAAATGGTGAAAAGTCATGTAATGGAATCCTATTGTCTATATGCATATAGAGGAACATATACATACATTCATATATATATATATATATATATATATATATTGAGAGAGAGAGAGAAAGATCACAATACAAAGAGATAAGCCTAGGCCCATATATTTAGCTACCTTTAACACTACTCTTCAAGTTGGTGCATATAAATCTTATGTACTGAGCTTAATACAAATATAATAAACTCTAGGACCTCGCAATGATGTGGTGAAGACATATGTTAATTGATAATTGGAGTTAACAAATTGAGTAGTAATGTTTTTAGATACAATCTTCTCTCAGATGAAATGACAATCTATCTTAATATGTTTGGTTCTTTTGTAAAATACTGGATTTGAGGCAATATATGAGACAACTTGGTTGTCACAAATGAAAGTCATTTGTCTGACTTTCTTAAATCTCAATTCTTTAAGCACTTGTTTCAGCCAAATACACTCATAGAGGCCAAAACTCTACTATGCTTTTGTACTAGATCTCGTCATTACATTCTACTTTTTACATTTTCAGGAGATCAAATTATCACCAATGAAGACAATATTTGGAGGTGGATCTCCTATCAGAATGAGAGTCTGACCAATCTATATCAGAGTAGTGCATAACTCAAGTGTGATTATTGTGACCATATATAACAAACCGTTTCTTGGAACACTTTTAACATACTTTAAAATGAAAATAACTACATTTTAATGTAATATAAATAGAGAGAAATTGGCTTACCATACTAACTATAAAGGACATATCAGGACAAGTAACCATAAGGTAATTCAATTATTCAACAAACCTTTTATATTTCTCAGGATTAGGAAATGACTCCCCTCTGAAATTTGGTATAGGATTCCATGGGTGAGTCAATGGTCTTGGAGATCATTAGTCAAATATCTTTCAAAATATTCAATGGATACTTTCTTTGAGAAATAACAATTTCATTGTTTAACTATGCTACCTCAATCCCCAAGAGATATCTGAGTTTGCTAAGGTCTTTTATCAAAAAATGACAACAAAGGTATTGTTTTATTTGTGAGATGCCATTGTGATTACTAATTGTAAGAACAATGTCATTAACATACACCACCAAGTAGATACATCCATTATTTGTGTGACGATAAAACACTAAATGATCATCCTCGTTATAAGTTATACCAAATTGTTGGATCACTACAATGAATCTTGCAAACCAAGTCCTCAAAAAATGTTTGAAACCATATAAAGATTTGTAGATGCAATATACTAATCCAGAAGACACCCCTTGAGTAACAAAACTAAGATGTTGCTTCATATAAATTTCATTCAACATCACCGTGAAGGAAGACATTTTTGACATCTAATAGTTAAAGGGCCCAACAACAAAGGGCAACAATGGTGAGAAATAAGAGGACAAAAGACATATTGAAAACTGCAAAGAAGGTGTCATCATAGTTCAACCCAAATATCTGAGGATAACCTGTGGTGACCAAGTGGGCTTAGAGTTGGTCAATAATGTCATTAAGGCCAACTTTGATAACAAAGATCCGCCTGCAGCCAACAACAAATTTCCCACGGGGACAAAGGTAAAAGATCCCAAGTTCCATTATCCTGAAAAGTATACAGTGCTACAAGCATGACTAGTCTCCAACTAGGATTACCTAAAGCATCACCTATAATTTTAGAAATTGACACGAGAGAATAGAAGGACAACTTTGATCGGCTATAAATCAAGCAACATAGTGGTTGCCAAAGAAAGACAACTTTGATTGTAGGGCCACATTAAAGGTTAAAGACGATGTAGCAACTGGCAGGGAGTAAAAACTACATAGAGGTGGGATGGCTACTAGAGAGCAAAAATACTCAAAGGGCACGACAATTATCGGAGAGAAAATAATGCTCGTAGAGTGCAGTAAATGCTAAAGAGCAAAAAATGTTCGAAGAACTCTATATGTTCCAGAGAGTAATAAAAACTCAAAGACCAAAATGACGACCAAAGAGAAAAAATGCTCAGAGAGGATTGATGGAGAGAGAAAAACATAAGGCTTAACAGGCATGGTTGTTTCGTAAGAGTAAAAATGCTTAGAGGGTGTAGTGGCTATTGGAGATAAAAAGTGTTTAGAAGGCATGGATAATAAAGTGCAAAAATGTTGAGAATGTGGTGACTGTCATGAAGCAAAAGTGCTCAGAGGACATGGCAACTACTGGGGAGCAAAGGTGCTCAGAAGATGGAACAACTCCTGCCGAGCAAAAAATGTTTGGAGAATGTGTTGGTTTTTGAAGAGTAAAAGATGTTGCAACAAGTATTGTTTATCCAAGAGGAAAAGTCAGAGTGACAAAGTTAACACCATTGCATCTAGGGCAAAATTCACAGACTTAGTGGATTAGTGGCAAAACAGGTCAAAGAGGTTGATACCGCTCTAATACCATATTGAAAGGATTGCTTGTAATAGTGTGTTGTGTACACACAAGAATATTCTTATTTATAATGAAGATAAGATACAATAATAAGGAATCAAATCAATAATTAATAATGAGAAATATCTACGATGTTTTCATATTCGATGTAATAAAATCATATCATATTTTCTAATTCAATGTAATCAAATTATATTATATTTCCCTTTTTAAGGTGATCAAATCATATCTTTAACAGACTACAACGTTTTTGAGCTCACCCAAGTTGAGAGTACTTTGTTGGCAGCATTGAAGCAAGTTTATCAGTAAACTGCACAACAAAGTGAAGAACCAAGTCAGGAACAAACATGATAAGGAACATGATCAAAACTTTACACGAGTATAACATTCCAATATGCAACACCTGAAGCACAGGTCGGTATATGGATGCAGCTAGATAAATGCCTTCCTCAGGCAACACTGCTGCAGAACCATAACCCTCTTGTAGCACATTGGGACCCTTCCTACTCCAACCTTGGCGAACATGATCAACTCCTGCATATATTGCAACCAGCCATAAATGTTGGAGAAGAAATTAGCAGCTAAATAAACAAGTAAATGATAAAGAAAGACATGAGTATGTATCATATGCTATAAACTTGTGTTTTAGAGACGATGACTCATCATTGGATCATAAACTGCAAGTTGAGAATAAAATAATATCAACTAGTACAATTAAAGCTATTACAAATATGTACAGGCCAGAAATATATACTATAGAAATGGAGATTCTTCACGCCCAGAAGAAAAACCATATACAATTATAGAAATAGCCAGAAAACAAATCTTCCCTAATATCAGTAATTGTTCATTTGTATTCTATCTAAAATTACTTGCAGTCTTAAACATTAATAATTTGCTTATCCAGATAAGATAGTAATAAGATTCATACTATCATATATCATGTCTATTGGACAGTAGCGTTAACCATCTCAAATGTTAAACAATTACGAAGGAACTAGGAAACAAAAGAGAGAAACATGCCAAAATTCTGACAAACACGAATTACCTGCTCAAATACCTATCAGTTCCACTTTCTTTGACATTGCAACTTTTTCTTGCCATCAAATTAACCACATAAAATACCCAAGAGGCTCTTTCTCTATTAAAAAATAGAAATTTTATGCCAAAATAAAAAAGTTGCAAGGAAAAGACATCTCAAGAAAAAGAAAATCTAAACACTATGAGAAACTAAAAGATGCAGCAAGGCTACCCAATCTCTCAGTATATAAGAAACACTTGTCCTAAATATTTAAGTTATTATGTAACTAATAATGTGCAAAAATAATGCAGAAAAAGATGCTAATACACCTAAGATGAGGCATTCGCCATAACTCATGGCAAATATGTTGTTTTGTGGTGAAAAAATATATATCCAGCTATCATTATTGATTGAACCAAAAGGATATTAATACATGGTAAGGTAAAGGGGCTTAAGGATCAACAACCCATTACAAAAACTATGATATTCTAACAAAATACATCAGAATTACTTGTGCAGATGAGATATTTTACACATTCAAAGTGCATCATTTTAGCCTTTACCAAACGCTGATCACATGTTCATCCAATGGATGATAGAATGCGCCACAGAAAGAAAGTCTAAATGGCTCTATTTTTTTCATGTTAATATATCAGCACAAAGCTACAAAATAATGTCATTAGTACAAAATTTGTCCTCGGACTCAAATTGACTCATTTGGATCATTCAGAAAAAAATTATAAAGGGATCAAGGTGTTATCCACATCCCTGAATCTCAACTCTAAAGTATGACTCATTTGGATCAAATATCCCTCTAATGCTCGATTATCAGAAATAGTGTCTGTTGAGTATTTATTAGATTAGTTGTATCTAACTATTGACCTAGTTCCTAGAATGTATCTGTTTATCTTCTCTAGGTTTAATTATTTTCCCCTATTTATTGTATCTCAGAATTTGTATCTTTATCCCCTATAAATAAGAGAACACAAGAGAAAAGGATATGTTCTCAAAAACATCTTTTTATTTTCCTATTATCTATTTCAAGTGTGTCAAACAATCTAAGTCAGTATCCTATCAAGGAGAGCCTTCTGTTATAACTTCATTGGTACATCTCTAGAGTGCATAATTTGTGCAAATTATGTAAGTTGAGTCCAAATCGTATAGCATATCTCAATAACTGTGACATCAACGTGATTCTTTCATCCCATTACAAGGTGAATTAGAACTAATTCAATCCTACAAAACTTATTAAGTGAGGATTGTCTCCACTTATATATTTTATTTTAGCACTATCTTTAGTCGATTTTGAACTTGGGTTTTTCCCTATCATCTGTTAAAGTTTGAAAATACATATAGCTTCTTTCATAGAATTTATCATACCCTGGTTAGGAATAGATATTGTAGCATCTGTAAAGCGAAATGCAAAGGTAAGACCATCTTCTGATCCATCCCTGTAAACAATAAGAAAGGATAATCAATAAGTACATCATACAAATTTAACTCAAGGTGGAGTTTGTTTCTTACAAAGAATCTTTCCTTTCAATTCAAACTAAATCACTTTATTGTCCCAAGAATAGGATTCTTGGGCTGTTTTTTGGTTATTAATCAACTTTCATAGGAATAATATGTTAATTTCTGATGAAGTTTTATTCTCATGGGAAAGTTTAGTAACTTGACAATCAACTTGCATGGAAGTTTATAGAAAATGTTTGGTTATTATATCGAGGTCAATTAATATTCTATTGGGGTAAGAAATAACTTTGCAAACCATATACTCCTTAATTAGAATATTGTAGAGAATCCCAAAAATAGTTTTCTGCTATGACAGTTTGCTTCTAGTTAAATTTATTATATTTTAAGTTCCTATGCCATGTTGGTAGATTTAACTAAATTTCTTGATTCTTAGGACATCTCTTATAGGAGCAACTCACATAAGTTGCTTCTTACCTTAAAAAAATATAAAACAAATATTTATGATGCCGCATCATTTTTAAGTAACTCTATTGATTTTACTCCTTTAAAAATTTTCTTAATAAATTTTAAAAAACTCATTCTCTTTTATATTCTCTCTTCTCATTTACTTTGATTTGCTTATTTATGTAAGTTGTTTGATGAAACAACTATCAAAAAATTTAAGTAACTTATTATGCCACATAGGATTTCTTCAATGAAAAGTTGCTCCAAACAACTAATACTTTATTTAAGTATCTCAATAAGCAACTCACATTGGAGATGCTAGGAAATTATGTGGCAAAAGGACCATATACAATAAAAAAGGGAAGCCAGGTGGAAAAGGTTCCCTCACGATCTGGGGAGGAGGGTATATTTTTGCAGCCTTATCCCCACAAACAAAGAGGCTGTTTCCTGGATTTAAAACCTGTGACCCCCAAGTAACTAGGCTGCAAACATACCATTGCACTAGGTCTCATCCTCTCGAATGACCCTATACAATAGTTCAAAATAAATAAAAACTCGAATTGAGCAAAGATTGGTGTTAAATGTTATATTAAAGAACAATATAATTTCAATTCACTTGCCTTTTATCTTTGGAAGGGACTTTGCTTGCAAGCCTAGCTGTTTGAACAGCAGCATCAGCAGATGCAGCTTCAGGAGTGGCCCGCAGAATTTCACATATTAGTTGTTGGCATTCACTCTATGAAAACAAGGGTGAAGGAATATAAGATGAAAGAATAAATAAAAAATAAACAATATATTTTAGTCAGTCTCATAAATTAGACCCTCGTTTGCCATGAACTGAAACAAAAACTTCAAACGCTTTCTGTTACAAATGGTGAGATGGAACATGCCACGATAGGATACGAATTATTCACATCACATATCCTGGTTTCATATAAATTAGGCCGCCCTTTGTCATTAACTGATGAAGCAGAAACTTAATGTGTTTTGGTCACAAATGATCAAACAGAACATGATAACACAAGACAATGCTACACTAGCCAGGTTGCGGCCATAAAAAGAATTCATGCTTTAATACTAATCAAATAGTGCATGAGGGGTTAAAAATGAATACTATATATGTGTGTACACCAAAAATCACCAGGACGCATAATATTTCCTAATAGTGTCTTGACAGTTGACACTCCCCAACAAACTCTTCAGGCCACCTATGAAATTGTTAGACATAATAGCCTTCATATTAAGCCTTTACCTAACAAGCTAAGGGGCCTGTTATTTTGAGAAAATGGTGTCAATTTTTTATTTTTTCGTTATTAATAACAAAAGTGTCATCTTATTTTACTTTGTTTTCTATTTCAAAGATAGTGGACGGTAAATGGTGATAACAGCATTTACTTTACAAGTCTTTTAAAACAAGACACAGAGAAAACAAGGTGAAATTTTCATGACAATTTCCCAAGCCAAATAGGCCCTAAGCTGTTACGTATGAGCAAAGTTGGTTTCTGAAGTGCTAGCTAGCAAAGTGACCAAGCTTCAACAACCAAGTAGTCAACAGTTCAGTTCTTGCAGCTCTAATTAGATTGAAGGTAAGCTCCTCAGTGTACCTTGTGCATTGTCCACGCTTCAAGCTCAAAGGGCTCTTGCAAAATGGGGGTATTTTAAAAAGAAAATCATTCATCGGGTATCACTTAACGGCTTAATGTTCTAAGGAAAATTGGCCACTGACAATGTCTTACTTATTTAGAGAGAGAAACTTCTAGTGTATTAAAACTTCTATAAACTATAACCAATATTTCATATATATTATACATCGTGAAGGGTCTGTATCTTAGACCAAAACAACAACCATGTCCATGTCTAGCCATAATAATATGTATATTTATTTTAACTTCTATCATAAAATATCTTGCAACTAAATTGCCCTCACAGAGACTACCTGTAATACCGTCAGGGAGAAACCAATGCTGTAACCTCCGGTGACTTGAGATGCTTCAGAGTCAGGATTCCAATTTACATCTACTGGCATCATTGATTTGGGCGTGTTTATGTCAGAATGCTGATTGGCTTTTGCTTCCAAGAGCTCCCCAACAATAATATGATTCTCTAAAGTGTGACATATGATATCGCAAAATTACTTTATGAATAATAAATGATCAACATAGAAAGGAGAATAATACTTAAAACTATTGAGTCTCACCAAATAATCGAACAACAGCATCAAAAATTGAATCAAGAAGTTCCCTAGCAGCAACCTGTGCTTTCCCACCAGGAGCCATAAGAGGTGATACGGGGCTCACAGCTAACAGAGTCCCAGCTATAGATATTCCATTCTTACGCTTCTGTTTTGGCGGCTGATAACTTTCCAGCTGACCTTTTATGAAGTGCATATTACCTGTTCCAGGCTGAGAACCTTGACCAGTGCTAGACCTTGATGAATTCAAAAGCTCTGCATGAGCTCTAATCTTTGATGTAATTATCTCGTGAATTGTTGGCCGCAATCTTTGGCTGGTATAGAATAAAACCAGCACAACTTATACACCAGCATAAGCAAATATAGCAAAAAATATAATAATAAAATAAGGTGAGACATACACAGTACACACACATCCAAAGACATAATAATAATAATAATAATTAGATCACCAATATTTAGTTCTTTTCTGCCAAAAGGGTGATTTGCATTTGGAATTCAAGTTTGTCCCAAAACAAACCACTAGAAGCTTAGCACACATACACAAAGGAAAGAAGAAACCCCACAGCAATTATCAATCAGGATTGAACCCAACTTCTTTCTGTACATCTGCAGACAATTGCACAATATCTAACATGTTGTAAACACTAGCACTGGATATCACCATCTACGTTGAGCATAATGTAGAATAGTTCTTTATTAAAAGCGAAGGATAATGTTAGAAATTTAGAATTTTTTTATCTACTGTTATTTAAGAGAATATAAAAGACTCACAGCTACAAAATACACATTATTTCTTTGAATTGGGAGGGTACCAGCATCTATAAAGTATGATTTGCATGAATTAGTATGTCATTAATTGGAATAAACAGAAAATTGATATTAAGTGATATAAAGCTTTAAATAAAAAAATAACAATGGATTACTTGTTTAAAATAGGATAAGCAGAAAACGTTTTGATGATTGATAAACTCGGATGGAGAAAAGAGATCATGCTAACAATCGAAGTGTGCAAGTTAGTATGAAAAGGAGCTTAATTTAGAAAAGCATTTCAAAATCTTCAAAATTGTAATAATTAAATTCAGTTAAAAAAAAATAAACAAAAGTGCAGGGGATGTGCAAAATAAGACAATATTGAAGCTTATGTTAGAAATCCATTTGGATAAAATTTACAATATGAGTGTTTTTGAAATAATAAAAAATTGTCTAGATAACAAACCATATAACAGCACCAGCAGCTGCAACTTTGCCAAGAATGCAAAGGCACTCAACCATGGTCTGAAGATACTTCACATGAAGCGGAGCATCACTCTTTGTAATTGTTTCCTAAGCATAAGAATCTCAGAGCATCAGTTCAAAAGAGTAAAAGACACCAGATTCAAGAAGCATTTGTGACTTTAATACGATTAAGTTGCTCATACAAGAAATTCATCTGGTGTCGAATTCAAAAGCCATGATGGCATTTGATGAAGAGCATTATTGGAGTCCTTTGGTACATCTGAGGTAGCTTCCTCATTTGAATCTGCCTCTTCATGGCCATCGAAAGAACTGAAACACATTTGATGATAGAATTTAATATATGTTTACAAGTATATTCATAAACCAGAATCCCAAAGGAGACAAATACAAACATACATAATTGGGAAAAATTGCGAGATTATCCCTCTAAATTAGTATTATACGCTATAATTGAAACTAGTGAATAGAGCTCAATCCAAATGACACACTGGGAAAACGGATAATTTCATCAAACTCAGAGTGTCAGAGGTAAATAAGTAACCACGCACCAAATCACACTATCGCAGATAGCAGGGAATAGTGTAACCAGTATACCAAAATAACATGAAAATTGACGCTACCAATAATTCTGATCATGTACAGCAGGAACCAGTTTCCTTAGTTTTTCTTTTTGAGAGAACTCTATAAACAATCTTTTCCATTTCTGATAAATACAACCAAGTTATAGGAACATCATAAAATTCGCCTTGTACTATGAAAGAAATATTGGCAATCAACAGTGCAAGGTACAATAATAAAATTATATTAAGCACAAACTCAAAATCAGTAACAGATTTATGTAGTACAAGACAAGTAGAAAAAAAAAATAATAAATAAATACTGATAAATTCAATTAACCAGTATTACCCTCCATCCATAGATCCAGGCCTATACGATCCATCAATCTGGAGACTATTTTTATTGTCACCTTTGAGTGATCTTGTTCTTCGAGACAGGGATTGAGAATTGTGTGCAGTAAGGGCAACAGCAATGGTGGTTGGTATTTCATCATCATTCTCTAACAAAGTTGAGCCAACAGCACTGCACAAATTGCAGTTCAAATACATTTAACTTCACAAAATAAATAAATCACAACTAAAACTCGATAATAAATACTTCACTTCAAACTACTCAGTCAGATTAAAAGTTTGTTGTACTTGTACATTCCTGAAACATCCTCCATGACATCCAAATGTTTCCACACAAAAATACATGCAAACAACATACAAGAGAAAGTAACTAAAAAGAAAATAAAGCTCCTGAGTCTGCATGAGAATAGAATGACAAAAGATATGCAGGAAATTTTATGCTTAAAGTTAGACATCAGATGGGAAAACAAATACCTATATTCCCCCTTATTGTATAAATGGGCATGCAAATCCTCCAAAATCTTATAAAAGAGAACTCCACGTAACTTTGTTAAATCAGAACGGACATCCTGAAGCGCCCCAACCTGGGCCACCCACAAAGAATAATTATGACATACAAAAAGCACAAGGAAATGTTCATAAAGACAATTAAACAAGTGAGAAAATATGAATAATGTGAAAAAATGGAAAGAAAAAGACAACAACAGTACTCTAGACATGAGATGTCGAATGGTTACATTTGGTGGAAAGTTCAATACAAACTAAACAAATGGAATTTTTAAAGCCTTCCTTTTGCCCTTCAGCAGGATAGGCCTGATTAGAACATTTCCATGCACTGACAGAATTAAATACTATAATTAAGAGATTAGGCCAGCTGACTGATTTAGTATATATTATACGGGAACCATTAACCCCTAATTTTAGGAATTAACTGTATATGCATTAGTTTAGGAATTTCTTTACTATATCATTCGAATTCTATTTAAGAGTAACTGCACTTCTAGTCCAATTACCCAAAAACATTTTGCTGACTCACTTCCATCTGTTAGAGGAAAATCGTTATTGTCTCTCTAGTTCTTTTGCTATGCAGAGAGGGGCATGGCTTTGTTGTATACTTGTATTTTCTAAGGTTTGCTCTGTTTAAGAAATCTGTTATATCTTCTGTTTTCTCTAATAATTGAAGAAAATGTCACCGTGTTTCATCACTTCTTGTACGAATATTTGAAATAAGAAAAATAAATGAAAATAAGGTGACACTTTGGTAATAACAATAAATTAAAAAAATATATCTCAAAAGAAGTCGGCCTTAAGCCTCTCTGGCTCATTACTTATTTTTTGGCTTTAAGATACATTACATTCCCCTTTACTCTAAAAAATTAAAAATCCTCTTTTACCAAAACACAAATACAAGAAACAAAAAATAGAGTGGTAGAAGTCCTCTATGAATGCACACTGAAAATGAGATAACGATAGTAAGTTCAAATCTTACATTTTGTAGACCTCGCTCAAGCATCAATATTGATTGCACATCCAATTGAACCGCAGCATAAAATTGCTTCTCTGTAATGAGCTTCTCAATGCGCGCTGGTACCTGCATCTTAAACCTTTAGAATAAAAACTGTCGGAAACTGATAATTTTAGACAAAGTAATTGAAGGGAAAGCATGAGTCAAATTTATTATCAAATGAAAACACTAAAATGTAAAATTATAAATGCAAAATGACATATAATTTGCTCTCGTCGGATACTTTTCAAACAGATACTATGGGCTCATCAGTGCCTGAGCATTCAGGTCAAGATGTTATTTGATACAGTATTAGAATTTAGAACACAGTAGATCAAATGGTTATAGTCCTCTGTCATCATCAATCTAATAATTATAATTTCAAATAAGTGTTAGGTGTTGGCCTCTAGTTAATCTTTGTTCCATTCCCCATGGGCTTACACATGTTGTTTGTCATGTTCAAAGCAAGCAATTACTGTTCTCAGTTTTAAGGTTAAGTGGTTCTTCAACAGTTGAAAATCACCGAAGATTTTAGACCTAAAAAAACACTGTCTATCTAAATATAATAACTTATTCTTTTGCAGTTAAAGGAACATATTATACAAATACCAAAACTTCAAATGCTTTAATCCAAAGCATAAACAGCATACGTAGCTCAAACAACTCCAACTCAGGGCATATAGAATCAGACCAAGAAAGCATAAATTTAATTGATGGAAATGAGATTGTCTTATTCTCATCAACTGACCCAAGTCGCAGAATTGGATCAGAATGTCAAAAATAAAGAATGGACCTTAGCAATGTCTTCAATTTGATCCAATAAGGATATTATATGTCGCAGTGTGACTGATCGATACCAGAGTTGATGCAATTGCTTATTGCGAGCACTTAGGCGCTTCTTTGCCTCTGCCAGATCTACTTTTAAGACAGATATACTATCAGTGGATTCACTGAAGAGCTTCAAGATCTGGAGATAAACAAAATATATATCAAACAGAAAGTCATAATGATGGGCTACCAGTTATAATTAAGCAATAGTTAAAATCTAAACAAGACGAAATGAAAGGGAGAAGAAACTGGAGAAATCCTGTTACCATTGAAACTGTTTCATGTTCATGAAACAGAAAATTTAGGAACCACAAACAGTTTCAATTTTTTATTCAAATATTAAATAAAATGTGTTTTATTCTATTTACATTTAATAACTCCTTCTCAACTTTAATTTCTTAAAATACAAGAAATCCTCGTTAAGATTGTTTTTCGTTTGTCATATTTTAACCTTGCATTCCGGATCACATAAAAGTGTCAAGATTTAATTGTCACAATCAATTAAAAAAACTAGATTAACCTGTCATAAATTAGGCAGAAACAACAATGTAATGGTATATAATACATTTAAAAAACAAAAGTAAACATAAGCAGTGGAATTTAAAAACAACAAATTTTGACCCACAAGAAATGAAGCTAATACCCATGTATGAAACATATTACCGTTATAATTAAGAAAATAATTTGTTCTTTCCATTGTCTTATAACTAACTTATGTGAACAAAAGAAGCTGACAAATCTTTGAAAAATGAACAAAGTACCCGCTGTTATGCCGATGATATGAACCTGACATTGGGAGAAAAACTATAATCTGTAGAAGGATCTATGCATACACATAATCAAACACCCAGGACTTTCAATAGCAAATAACCCAATTGTTCATGGTTCAATGTATACTTGTTGAAGTGATCACAGAAAAACAAAATCTAAAGAAACCTGAGAATAGTTTTGGATAGCTCTGTTGAAGCCACTATGGTAGGAATGTACTACTTCGTCCACAACATCCTCAATAATATCACTTTGCTCCTTCAAAAAGTGGGCAGCAGCATCACGGTCTTTTGATGTCAAAATGTGAACAACATGAGGTAGTGAATCAAATCGAGCAGCAATCCAATTCTCATCTACCCTCAAGAGGTCTTCTCTCAAATACTGCATTCAGATGGTGCATTGAGACTCAGATTACCAAATATAAAGTGTATGAATGACTTAGTGCAGAAGAAATACTGTAAGTCCGTAACAGCAGAAGCTGCAGAGCATATAATTTAGGCTTATAATTTATAAGTTTACAGTCAAGAAATCTTTAGTATGAATAAATTAATTAATTAATACATGCTGCTACAGAGAGAACAAGTTGTCAATATATGTACAGATTCATAGTTAGACCATTTTCAATAGAATGATCCCACATTCAACTCGTATTTGTGGATTGAAGTTATCCTGATGTGCCATTATCCAGTATACTTAGGGTATAATTCTTGATTTGTGTCATTGTTTAAGACAAAAATAAGTGGATGAGTACAAGTAAAACAAAAAACGTAAAGATAACTCCATAAAAGAAATATTTGAATCATGCATCTTCGATCTTGGGACTCAAAGAAATGTAGAGAGTAATATTTATTACTCTTCAACTAGCATACTGCAACATAGAGATTTATTTAACAGATGACTTAATCATTCAAAGAGTTAGCTTGGATTATGGAATGGAGTCATTAAGACACAAAGGGAATATTGGGTTTGGCGAGCAATGAAGTATAATAGTGGTTTTCACCAACAGCATTATCTCCTACTAAAATGGTCAACCTAAAGTGAGAAGTTCAAAAAGGAATATTGTCCCTCTCTTGTTTAATTAAATTGTTGACATTTGAGTTGGAAGTTACTGCAAGGAGCAAACTCTAAGTTGATATCTTGGTCAAGAAATGGATGATATCCAGGTTTGGCACTTTCAATTTGCAGATGTTATTCTTTGCCTCCTACGCAGGATAAATACTCCGCCTAACTCATCCTTACAAAACCTACTTGTAGGGTAAGGATGTCCCACTCATATACTGTATTTTGCCTTTTAATGGATCTAGGATAGGCTTGTATACCATCTTAGAAAGTAGGTTTAGGCCTAGCTCAATCCTACAAAACTAGCTTGTAAGGTGAGAATTGACCCACTTATATATATACTATATATTAGCTCTATCCTTAATTGGTGTGGGACATTGGTTTTTCCAAATACTTGTTAATGTGCTTTGCATTCTTTAAAACTTTTGAACTAAATTGGTGTACACATTAACCTAAGAAAGAGTATTTTACTCGGATTATGAAAGACTGTTCTACCAAATATGGCAAATATAGCAGCTTGTGGGGTTCCATTGGGAGGACACACAAAATCAAGTTCATTAACAATTGAGAAGACTATTACAATACTTTCTCAAGTCCGATGTGGATGGCTCCTGTTGAAAGGATTAATGATAAAACAAGTCATGGAGGATGGTAACATTTTGATACCATGCTGAGAAGAAAGAAACCAAGAAAGAATATAACGTGAGTATTCTTATTAATAATTGTTAGAGATATTTCTCTCTTCTGTTTATTATGAAACGTAAATGTTTAGTTACAACTAACTTATTAGTAATATATATGTATATATATATATATATATATATATATATATATATATATATATATATATATAGGTTTGCAGCAGAGAATTATAAACCACTAGAGATTGTATTTTTTCTTTTAGTATCAATATATCTTTCTTGCAATAATAATGAAGAAGAGATACAATAAAAAGAAATAAAACCAATATCTAATAATGGGAAATATTAAATGAGATATTTTCCTATGAAATCATATCTCTAACTTAATTAAATCATAATTCTAACACTCCCTCTCAAGTTGATGCATATGTATCATATGAGACAAATTTGTTACAAATGCCATTAACACAAGACCCTTTGAGAAATCATGTCAATGAGTTGATTGTTGGAAGTGATAACGTAAATAATGAGAAATGATAACTTTAACAACTCCAAAATGGCTTTTAGTTGGAAGTTTACATTGACTTTGAAACTATAACGAAAGGGCTTAGACAGTAGATGGATGTGGCATCTTCCACTAGAACCATATCCTATGAGGCAAAGGATGATCAAGACTCAAGATTTTCTACTAGATCAAAATGGTTTGAATCTCAAGGCTAGGAAGGTTGTCTTGTCACTCATCAATTGAGCCCTTCAAAATAATTTCCCAGATATATACCCTGATTATGTTGCACATGGATGATGGTTCTCATCTCGATCTCATTTCCTATTCAAGAACAATCATTGCTCAAGTCCAAATGGAATGACCATAAAGAAAGTTTCCCTATCTGGAGAGAAAATTTGGAATCTCAACCTCCTAAGGGTCAACATCCCAATGGTTGCACTCTGCGATGCTTTCACTCAGCCTATTTGGTCAGTCCCTTTAAAGGTAGCCTTTTCTAGGACGCTAGCAATAAAATTTAATAGGCCACAATTAAGGCAACTTTCAGAAATGTCCAAGGGACTTTTTGTGTTGGTTGAAACATTATATTCTTCTAAAATATTAGAACTTTACATGTAATGAAGTACATCATCATGAAAATTTCTATTACAACAAGACATAAAATGTGAAACAGCAAGAGTTGAAGGAATTTATGATACCACATGATTCACAAGACTCGGCCAACTAGCTAGAAAAAAATAAGATGCATTCAGGCCACTTATTAAACCTTATCCAATCTCTCAACACAGAGGACATTGGTTTGAAATACCTAAGAAAGGTTGTTTGAAACATGGAATGGCAAAAGGTGCATGGGCCTGATGGTTTTACTTCTCCATTGTTTTTGAGGTGTTTAAATTTGGAAAAAGGGATAAGAAACTTCAAAAATTTGTTGTTGTGTTTTGTCAAAAGCACAAAGAAATAGATTGAATACATACAAAAATTCCTCTTCCTTCTGCCTTTGTATTGCAAGGACTTAACATAGAACACAAAGTAATCTTGTTCAAGCTAAACTGGAGTACCACACCAAACAAGTGAAATTTTCCCACAACTTGCACAAGTATAATTGTCATCTGTGCCCACCACACATGAGTATGCCCAAAGGATCTTAAAATTGAAACATTTAAGAAAATCCCTCAGTCAAAAAGGCCTGGCTAACTAATCATGAATACAAATCTCAGAAGAAACAATGTAAAGCTTACAGCTTTATCTGAAGGCAAAGGTAACTCATCAAAAATTCCCATGTCGAGTCTTCAATGTCTCCACACACCATGAAGATAAAGGATTAACTTGCGCCAGCAAACCCACAACTTTAACTGCAATGCATGGATACAAGTTAAAAAAAAAAAAGTTTTAAAAAATTGGAATAACAAAAACAGAAACTTGTCCTACAAAATGGTTTTCTGAAGCTAATCATAAGGCCCAAAAATAATATATGCACAATATAATGACAACTCTCTTCGTCATTCCGCAAAAGCCAAAATAGCTGAGCAACAAATTTTCTTTCGTAAAAACCATGTTTTTTTCCAATGCAGTTTCTGAGAACTACTAAAATTCAATCAGCACCAAACTCCTAATAAAAATCAATCCAGCATAACATTGAAAGAGACTAAAAATCAACGTACAATTAGGCATTATTATTGTCATTTCTACGGCGATATTAACTACAACACCAAAAACACGATTCAACAACTACGAACAGAAGCAGATCCCTGATTTCCGCTCACCGCACACTTCAGTTGAGCTCTTTAGCAATTTACTCACGGGAAACAGACTAAGCAGTGCGATAAGGCAAAAGCATTTGACAATTCAGAGTGAAAAACTCAGGAAAAAAAAAAAAAAAAAAACCGGTAGCAACAATTCGGAATACACATTAAAAGTTGAAAGATCTTGAGAAAATGAAGCTCGAAATCGAGAGTCAGTGTTTGAACGATCAATCGAAGGTTTTGTGAATCGAACCTGGAGCTGGAGGAATGAATCAGAGGCGAAGAATTCAGAGTAATGAAGAAGAGATGGTGGAGGGAGCGCGTGAGGAATAGACACTGAGCCTACGGAAAACAATAGTGAATTGATATGATTGACTGGTATCAATTTTATTTTTTTATCTATGACTAGTATCAATATGAATATATATATATATATATATATATATATATATATATATATATATATATATATATATATATATATATATATATATATTAGGAATGTTAGTGATGTTTTTTTTATTTTGTATTTTGGGAAATATTTTTTCTCTTTCTGTTATTACTGTTAAGTTTAACGGCTACAGATTGTACAATAAAATTTGTACATCAATCTACCTGTGTCATAATGTGACATTTTATTAATCACATTAATAATCTTCTAACAATAAAACAATATATTATAAATTTTGAAAACTAAACATCTACAAAACAATTTGGAGAAATGAAATTTAACATAAGCTATTGTAGAGGGAAAAGATATTTTTAATTAATAATATATTTAATTTATAACATTTTGTTATTGAACTAATTTCATCCCTTAAATTAAAAAAAATGTACAATTTTAGTCCCTCTAGTATACTGTTTAGAAACTAAAAATGATTTAAAATTTATTTTAATCTCTCAGAGTTAATGTTTATAAAACTAAAATTTTTTGTTTTCAAATTTAAGAGACTAAAATATTTTAAAAATGAGAAATAATCAAATTCATTTTAAATTTTAAGGACAATTAAGTCTAAAAATACTATTATTATAGAATTTATAAAATAAGATTAAATATTAATAAGTTTACAAACATTATTAATTATTTAAACCATTTTTTTCACTTATATATGTTTTATGTCTTTTCTTAATATTGTCCGATTCACCACCAGTTATAAGATAACGTGTATTTTTAACAGATTATTTAATATAATCAAATATTAAATAATACAATAACTTATTGCACTTTTATTTTATCTTACTTCTGCAAATATTACTACCATAACATATAATAATAGACTTAAAAAAAATCATGCATTTTGTAATCATATTTTTAAATATTTTGCATGTTTTATCAGCTTATTAATATATGTAATATCATAGTCACGTGTTAAATAGAAAGTTTAGAAAAATATAAAAACATATCATTATATTATAAATTTTGACAAAGTGACGTCATTAAGCATTTAATGGACGAGTAAAATACACTTAAAAAATGGAATAGTTAAATGTGTGACAAAATACTAATATTAATTAAATAATAGAGTATGTAATTAATTCTAATAAAAAATTATTAGTGAACCTACTAGTTGCGACGAATTCCAAGTATAGTTTGATGAGAGCTTGTTGGATACAATACCAGTCTTGGTACAACATTAAATGTTGACTTTTAGTACAACAGAAAGTTTCAAGAATTACAAACTATGCTGTGAGAGACGATGACAGAAACTAATTCCTTCTATTATCGTCGCATAACAT